ATTTGTCTTCTCAAAGTTTGCTGCCTCAGTGTTTTTAGATATTTTTGTCAGATGTAACTATGGTATACTGAAGTATAATTACAAGCATTCCATAAGTGTCAAAAGCTTTTATTGACAATTACATAAAGTTTATGCAAAGAGTCAATATTTGCAGTGTTGACCCTTCTTTTTCAAGACCTCTGCAATCCGCCCTGGCATGCTGTCAATTAACTTCTGGGCCACATCCTGACTGATGGCAGCCCATTCTTCCATAATCAATGCTTGGAGTTTGTCAGAATTTGTGGGTTTTTGTTTGTCCAGCTGCGTCTTGAGGATTGACCACAAGTTCTCAATTGGATTAAGATCTGGGGAGTTTCCTGGCCATGGACCCAACATTTCAATGTTTTGTTCCCCGAGCCAGTTAGTTATCACTTTTGCCTTATGGCAAGGTGCTCCATCATGCTGGAAAAGGCATTGTTCGTCACCAAACTGTTCTTGGATGGTTGGGAGAAGTTGCTCTCGGAGGACGTGTTGGTACCATTCTTTATTCATGGCTGTGTTCTTAGGCAAAATTGTGAGTGAGCCCACTCCCTTGGCTGAGAAGCAACCCCACACATGAATGGTCTCAGGATGCTTTACTGTTGGCATGACACAGGACTGATGGTAGCGCTCACCTTGTCTTCTCCGGACAAGCTTTTTTCCAGATGCCCCAAACAATCGGAAAGGGGGTTCATCAGAGAAAATGACTTTACCCCAGTCCTCAGCAGTCCAATCCCTGTACCTTTTGCAGAATATCAGTCTGTCCCTGATGTTTTTCCTGGAGAGAAGTGGCTTCCTCGCTGCCCTTTGACACCAGGCCATCCTCCAAAAGTATTTGCCTCACTGTGCGTGCAGATGCACTCACACCTGCCTGCTGCCATTCCTGAGCAAGCTCTACACTGGTGGTGCCCCGATCCTGCAGCTGAATCAACTTTAGGAGACGGTCCTGGCGCTTGCTGGACTTTCTTGGGCGCCCTGAAGCCTTCTTCACAACAATTGAACCTCTCTCCTAGAAGTTCTTGATGATCCGATAAATGGTTGATTTAGGTGCAATCTTACTAGCAGCAATATCCTTGCCTGTGAAGCCCTTTTTGTGCAAAGCAATGATGACGGCACGTGTTTCCTTGCAGGTAACCATAGTTAACAGAGGAAGAACAATGATTTCAAGCACCACCCTCCTTTTAAAGCTTCCAGTCTGTTATTCTAACTCAATCAGCATGACAGAGTGATCTCCAGCCTTGTCCACGTCAACACTCTCACCTGTGTTAACGAGAGAATCACTGACATGATGTCAGCTGGTCCTTTTGTAGCAGGGCTGAAATGCAGTGGAAATGTTTTTTTGGGATTAAATTCATTTTCATGGCAAAGAGGGAATTTGCAATTAATTGCAATTCATCTGATCACTCTTCATAACATTCTGGAGTATATACAAATTGCCATCATAAGAACTGAGGCAGCAGACTTTGTGAAAATTAATATTTGTGTCATTCTCAAAACGTTTGACCACGACAGTAGACATGTTGTGTAAATCAAATGATACAAACCCCCTAAAAATCAATTTAATTCCAGGTTGTAAGGCAACAAAATAGGAAAAATGCCAAGGGGGGTGAATACTTTCGCAAGCCACTGTATCTCTGCTACCATACAGCAAGCGGTACCGATGCACCATATCTGGAACCAACAGGACCCTGAACAGCTTCTACCCCCAAGCCATAAGACTGCTAAATAGTTAAATAGTCCGGGTAGCAATTGGTTAACTATCTGCATTGACCCTTTTGCACTAACTCTTTTGACTCGCATACACTGCTGCTACTGTTTATATATCCTGTTGCCTAGTCACTTTAAGCCTACCTACAGTGCCTTAGGAAAGTATTCAGACCCTTTGACTTTTTCCACATTATGTTACGTTACAGCCTTATTCGAAAATTGATTAAATAAAACAAATCCTTAGCAATCTACACACAATACCCCATAATGACAAAGCGAAAACAGGTTTGTAGAAATTGTATTAAAAATAAACTGAAATACCTTAACAAAAGTATTCAGCCCCTTTGCTATGAGACTCGAAATTGAGCTCAGGTGCATCCTGTTTCCAATGATCATCCTTGAGATGTTTCTACAACTTGGATTGGAGTCCACCTGTGGTAAATTCAATTGATTGGGCATGATTTGGAAAGGCACATACCTGTCTATATAAGGTCCCACAGTTGACAGTGCATGTCAAAGCAAAAACCAAGCCATGAGGTCAAAGGAATTGTCCTTAGAGCGGTGAGACAGGATTGTGTCAAGGCACAGATCTGGGGAAGGGTACCAAAACATTTCTGCAGCATTGAAGGTCCCCAAGAACACAGTGGCCTCCATCATTCTTAAATGGAAAAAGTTTGGAACCACCAAGACTCTTCCTAGAGTTGGCCGACGGCCAAACTGAGCAATCGGGGGAGAAGGGCCTTGGTCAGGGAGGTGACCAAGAACCTGATGGTCACTCTAACAGAGCTGTAGAGTTCCTCTGTGGAGATGGGAGAACCTTCCAGATGGACAACCATCTCTGCAGCACTCCACCAATGAGGCCTTTATGGTAGTGGCCAGACGGAAGCCACTCCTCAGTAAAGGGCACATGACAGCCCGCTTGGAGTTTGCCAAAAGGCACCTTAAGACTCTCAGACCATGAGAAACAAGATTCTTTGGTCTGATGAAACCAAGATTGAACTCTTTGGCCTGAATGCCAAGCGTCAAGTCTGGAGGAAACCTGGCACCATCCCTACGGTGAAGCATGATGGTGGCAGCATCGTACTGTGGGGATGTTTTTCAGCGACTGGGAGACTAGTCAGGATCTAGGCAAAGATGAACGGAGCAAAATACAGAGAGATCCTTGATGAAAACCTGCTCAGGACCTCAGATTGGGGTGAAGGTTCACCTTCCAACAGGACAACGCAGGAATGGCTTTGGGACAAGTCTCTGAATGTCCTTGAGTGGCCCAACCAGAGCCCGGACTTGAACCCGATCAAACATCTCTGGAGAGACCTGGAAATAGCTGTGCAGCGACGCTACCTATCCAACCTGACAGAGCTTGAGAGGATCTGTAAAGAAGAATGGGAAAACTCTCCAAATACAGGTGTGCCAACCTTGTAGCGTCATACCCAAGAAGACTCGAGGCTGTAATTGCTGCCAAAGGTGCTTCAACAAAGTACTGAGTAAAGGGTCTGAAAACGTATGTAAATGTATTTTTCCGTTTTTTATTTTTAATAAATTAGCAAACATTTTTAAAGCTGTTTTTGCTTTGTCGTTATTGTGTGTAGAAACAATTTAATACATTTTAGAATAAGGCTGTAACGTTAAAAATGTGGAAAAAGTCTGAATACTTTCCGAAGGCGCTGTATATGTACATATTTACCTCAATTACCTCGTACCCCTGCTCATCAACTCAGTATTGGTGCCCCGTGTATATAGCCAAGTTATTGTTACCCATTGTGTATTTATTCCTTGTTATTTTTCTGTTTCTCTTTTTTTCTCTGCATTTTTGGGAAAGGCTGTAAGTAAGCATTTTACTGTCTGCACCTGTTTACGAAGCATGTGACATTTGATTTGATTTATATGTTGTGTGAATGTTGCTGCAAAGCTGTGTGCAAAGCTGTCATCAAGGCAAAGGGTGGCTATTTGAAGAATCTCAAATATAACATATTTTGATTTGTTTAACACTTTTTGGGTTACTACATGATTCCATATGTGTTATTTCATAGTGTTGATGTCTTCACTATTACTCTACAATGTAAAACATAGTAAAAATAAAGAAAAACCCTTGAATGAGTAGGTGTGTACAAACTTTTGACTGGTAGTGTATATTTAGATGAAAATGTCATGAAAAACCAATTGAAGGGCTCAGTTTTTTTTTTGCGATTAGATGACACATTCAACCCTCATGTTTATGTAATATTTGATTTTTTTCAGCATCCCGTTAGGTAAGAAATTGAATATTTTCACTTCTCGCGCTATTTCACCGCAGAGGATATCCAGCAGCGGAGAGGTAGCTAGCGAGGGAGGTTGGGTGAGTTTGTAAACATTTGACATGCTCGTGTTCAGATATCAAGATGTTACCGAAAATACTTTGTCGCGGAGCAATTGACCGTCTGTCACATTTACTTTCCTCTTCGCCATTCTGAAATACTTATTTGACGCGCCTCAAATTGTGTCAGTGCCCTAGCCAGCTAGCCTGTGTGACACCCTTGTTGTGTACAGTAAGTATCCTCTCTGGCAAGGCGTTAGTCAGTTAGCTTTTAGCTGAAAAAATTCAATAAACTAGCTTAGCAATAACAGCGACCGCCAAGAAGCCCTCTAAATTCGCTCGGCCGTTATTGCCAATGGTGGTTGATGGTCTGCTGTACTCTCTGTACCAAACCATCTGATGATAATGCTAATGGCCTGTCAGATCTTGAATAGCGAGGTTCATTCTTCGTCCTGTGTGACATTATCTTGCTAACTAGTTAGCTATATCTAACGTTAACTTGAAGTGCTGTTGTAATCATTGGCCCATGGCTAGCTACCAAGCAAGGGGCAAAATGGCTAGCTAGCTAGTTCGTTACCTTGCTAGCAGTGTATGTTAACTAGATTCTGTGCCTTGTTGAGGATGCGCTGTTTGTTGACAGTTGGCAGAAAGGAGGCCATTTACCTAGGACAGCTAACCAGTAGGCGTATTTTACTATTAGCTAGCTAGCTTTGTATTTAATAACTTTTTGCGCTAAGAAAATGAACGTGTCACCATTATTAGCTACCTTTGTTTGATACTAGGAAAATAAATGGCATTGTGTTATGTAATGTAAACGAAGTGCTTTGATTGGAAGTAATGAACATGTAGGCAGTAAGAATATATATCATCTGTTAACCCTAATTTATTGTCCAATACAGCCGTTTTTTTATTACCTAGGTGTAAGAAGCAGACAAAATAACACATTTCCATTCTCTTCCTTTCCCATACCTCTTTATTGCAGGCTCTTTGTGTGAGATGGGGGACGATCGACCTTTTGTGTGCACCGCCCCAGGCTGTGGCCAGGTAAGGTCTCCTTCCCTCGTTTTCCCTTCATCCCTCACTCTCTTTCCCCCACCCTTTCCCCTCTTTACATATCTTGGATTTCAGGAGCCATCTGATGTTCGACTATCACCTGTATCTTGTGTTATCTTTGTGCACAGAGATTTACTAATGAAGACCATCTATCAGTCCACAAACACAAGCATGAGATGACCCTGAAATTTGGTCCTGCCAGAACTGACTCCGTCATCATTGCAGGTGCTTGCCTTTAACAGTCCCAGCATTTCTCAATTATACTGTATAAAACAATTATATGATAAGAACATATTTTTGACTAGCTGTTAAACAAACACCACCCTGTGTGGACTAGCACCAAGACCCCTAGAGGGCGTAGTTCTTCCTGATTTCGTACTACCTCTTGGTGTCGACGCAGCCAGCCCAGCCGGCTATACACTCGTGTCCCCCATAAAACATCCTCCATTCAGGCTGCAAAGGCTTCGGTTTCCTCCTTAACTCGCTTTAATGGTTCCACCACGCTAGACTGGCTAATGCTACTTCCTGATGTTGCAGCCAGGGGTAAATAAGACTGCTGCCACCTAATTGGCTGAATGCGGTGTGCAATATACGGAAGTTGTCCGAAAATGGTGGTGGAGAATTGTGTATTATTAAGACAGTATGCATATTTTTCCTGTTTTTTTTTCTCCCGGAAGCACACCATTAAAGCTAGTTAAGGAGTAAATGGATGCCTTTGGAGGATGATTTATGTATGAACCGGGCGCTGGAGACACTAGTGTATTACCAGCTGTGCAGCTTAATGCAGGACGTCAATGGCAAATGACAAACGTAAGGATAATAGCGCTATCTGGCGGCAGCAGGGCTAGTGTGGACAGATGAGCCATCTCTGTTGTTAACACGTACTATGAAGTCTCTAAACCAGTTTCTCCTCTCTCTCTCTTTCTCCCACCAGACCAGACCCCCACACCCACCCGCTTCCTGAAGAACTGTGAGGAGGTGGGTCTGTTCAACGAGCTGGCCAGTTCCTTCGAGCAGGAGTTCCGGAAGGCCCATGAGGATGACCAGAGAAACAAAAACCCGGTGAGGGTGAGGACGGTGTAGGGGCTAGGATGGGTTCGGTTTTGAAACACTGGTAGTTTTACCAACTGATAAATGTTGTGTGTCTGGTTGTTGGTCCCCACACAGCTCACGGCCCCCCAGCTTCCAGCTCCACCCCTACAGACCCCCTCTGGGGTGAAGGAGGAGGATGAGGGGCCTCTGGAGGTTGACTCCTCCCCACCAGGAAGTCCTGACTCCACCTCCAGCATGTCAGACAGCAGCAAAGAGCCAATGGTGAGAGGAAAGGTACAACCTGGGGGCCATGTGAACAGGGTGTATGGTTGAACAGATTAATTGATGTGTGTGATTTCCTCTTGTCAAGTTTGCATGGTAACTTGGGTGAGAGAGAGAGAAGGGAACATTGGTGGCCAAAGAGAGGCTGCAAATGAATCACTTAACTGTGAGGCAAGTAAAGATGTCAGCAAAAAGTAGAAATTTAGTAGGTTTCTTAGTGGATTCACCTCAGCGGCCTATAGTGTCCAACTCCCACCTGAGTTTCTCTCTGGCTGTGTTTACAATTCTGATCTTTTTTTCACTAAGTGGTCTTTTGACCAATCAGTTCAGCTCTGAAAAAGATCTGATTTGGAAAGATCTGATGTGATTGGTCAGAAGACCAATTAGTGGGAAAAAATATCAAAATTGGGCTGCCTGTGCAAACGTAGCCTCTGTCTGACTGGATGTGATTTGTGTTGACAGGAGACTCCTCCTCCTCCACGGCCAGTGGTGAGCTCCGCCCCCACGCCAACCATCGTACGCCCAGGGTCCCTTCCCATTCACCTTGTTTACGACCCCCTGCACCCGACCCTGCCCTCGCCAACCTCTGTCATCACACAAACCCCGCCCTCCAACAGACAACTGGGGTGAGTCTAATCTGCCAACATCTCTCTTTATTTGTGTTCACTCTATTTAATTTATACTAATCTATCTCCTGTTCTCAGCTCTCCGACAGGCTCCTTCCCACTTGTAATGCATCTCCCCAATGGACAGACGGTCCCTCTCCTCCCCAGCCCAAATATGACCTCAGTCATATCTGTGAGTCAATCACATTTATTTATAATGCCCTTTTTACATCAGTATTGTGAGTGAAAGTAGTAATTTCTAATGAACATGAACAGTCTTGATAATGGCAGATCATTGGTAGGTGTTATTTTGTCTTCTCTTATTTTGACCCTTCCTGTGTAATATGTAGCTGGCAAGGCCGTTTAATATGGTGCCCAACATCCCTGGGATTCCAGGCCCTCCGATTGGTGGGACCAGCAGTGGCTCCTCCTCCCCATCTGGGTATAGTCTACACTCAGAGGCCAAGATGGTGAGAGACGCATGCACTGGTGGATACACACACACAGAGTTAAGAAACAAATAGCACTGGGCCTACCCATACCCGTGGCAGTGGAAGGCACAGGGTTGCAATGTTACCGGTAACTGTTTATTACCAAAATTACTGAAAGTTCTGGTCATTTTGGTAAATTAATGGTAGTTTTACAACCTTAGTAAGGCAGGTTGTTGATGTCTGTATGGCATTTATGTGTGTCCCCATCCCTCCCTCTCTCTCTGTAGAGGCTGAAGGCAGTGCTGACCCAACAGCAGCAGCAGCATGGCCCGGGGGCTCAGAATGGGTCTGGAGAAGGCCCAGGGGGGGCAGGGTCCAGTCCCGCTGTCCCCCAGAGACACGAGCAGAGCCAGCAGCCCTCGCAGCACTCTGACACCCCATCTCCCGCACAGCCACAGGTAACACACACATACTGACACACATAATACCTAAGGGTCAGGTGGAATCTGCTAAATCTTCTGTTCTCCCTGGTTGTTATACTCTGTTAGGGCTGCAGCCCAGTCACCAGAGGGGAGTTTATACTAGAACTGATGTGAGGAGTCACCTCTGAAAGGCCTGAAGGGGGCTAGTGGCAACGACAGACTGAACCTCCAGAAATTATCAAAATACTAGAAACGACACTGAACAAACCAAAAGCTGTTACAAAACATGTTTTGTAGATTAAATATGCTGGATAACATCTCTGCAGATTCCTTATGGCCCTGTATATAGTTAAAGGACAATTTCACTTTAACAAATCAGTATTTTGTTTGTAAATGGCATGTTATAGAAGTGTCCGGACACTTTTTGTGATTTCACTTGGTTTTGAGAAACGTTCCCTACCAGCGATAGAAAAAATGAATAAAGGTTCCAAAAACACCCAAATACTTTTAGAACTGCAACGCTCTCAGTATAGTGATGCAGGTCTTTAGATGTTGTACACATGAAATAGTGTCCTTCCGAACTTTATCCGCAACGTTTTATTTCATTTTGTTGGACTCGAGCGATACTTCTGTGTAGCCCGAGTCCCCAACAAAATGGAATATAAAATTGCGGATATAGTTCTTAGATCTCATGTCGTTTGCATGTATTTTCCTAAATTGTGCACAAACAATGAGTTCAAATATGCACAGGCACACTCTCATGCCTATATGATTTACATATACTCACACAGCAAACCAGCAGTGGCTCCTCCTCTCCATTTGGGTATAGTCTACATTCAGAGGACATGATGGTGAGAGGCGTATACATGGAAACACTTTAAAATACACATGCAAATGCACTTTTACACGCGCACACACACAAGCTCACACTCTTGCATTCTTTCTTATTCTCTCTCTCATACACACTCTCATACACACACCCAGTCCAGAGTGTATAACACCTTCCCCTCCCGTCTTCCCCAGGTGTCCCCAGCCCAGCCCACTGGGGGTAGAAGGCGGCGGGGTGCGGAGGTCGACCCAGACGAGAGGAGGCAGCGTTTCCTGGAGAGGAACAGGGCGGCGGCGTCTCGCTGCCGACAAAAACGCAAGGTTTGGGTCGGCTCTCTGGAGAGGAAGGCAGAGGACCTGGCTACCATGAATGTTTCTTTGACCGTGAGTCTACAACCGTAACTGGACTTAGACTGTAACTGTCTATTACAACAGCAGAGAAAGGCAAACTTACAACCATGAACCTGTTTGTGATTGTATTATACTGGTAGGATCCCTAATATTATTATTGTGCCCATGAGGTTTTAGTGTATGATTGTCAGTTGTTGAGAAGACAACTTTGTGTGTACATTGTCTTGTGTGATTTGTTATGTGTTCTGTTTCTATCAGAATGAAGTGGGTCTGCTGAGGAACGAGGTGACCCAACTGAAACAGCTGCTACTGGCCCACAAAGACTGCCCTGTCACTGCCATGCAGAAGAAGTCTGCCTTCTTAGGTAATAAAGACTTACCATACATGAATCAACTATCAATCACACAAGTCTTTCATTCACTCCATCTGTTTGATTTATCATTTAGGCTCTAATTTATCTGTCTCCATTCCATCAACGTGTACATCCACCCACCTACCTACCGATCCATCAACCCAGGATCAACCTCCTACTCATCCATCTAATCTATTGCTTGCCTCTCACCTCTCTTTAAGGGTGAATGTTTCTCTCTCTGTCTGTAGCTGCAGGAGTGGAGGAGTGCTCCAGGGACTCCCCCTCTGAGCCTATGGGCTCCCCAGCCCCGGTTATCCAGCAAGGGCCTTCGCCCCTTGCCCCCAGCCCTGGGGCCATCACCGTCAACGGGCTGAGTGTGCGTGCGGCTGAGGCAGTGGCCATGTCGGTCCTGGCCAGCATGGGGGCGACCCAGCAGGGAGGGGTCCTCATGGCCACACAGCCGCAGCCCGCCCCTAGATGATGAGCAGGCACAGGGAGCCAATAAGAACTCTACATTGGGCTTTAGGAGGCTGGACTGGTACAATGACGTGTGAGAGAGAGATTGAAAGGGACCTGATTTGAAATCTGAAATCCCACCTGTTGATAGTACGTCTCACTCCCCTCCCCATCTATCTCCATCCAACGCTCTATGACCTTGGACACACTGGTAGCCTCACAGCCAATGATAATCACTGAGTACTCCCTTGGGCCCATTTTCTGATGGACCCTAGCTTGGAAGCACTGTCACTGTGTATATAGAAGCTTATGTACATACTCACACACCCGTGACATATACACACACTCGATCAAAGAATGTAGTTTTTTGTCTATTTCCAACTCTTCTCTCCCCTGTCTACAGTGTAAATCGCTCCTTACATATTTATGTTCTTTATACAGTTGTTCATCCTTGGGAAACTCTTTTTCATATTTAGTGCTGAGTAAGTGTGAAATATTGTTTTCCCATTGTCATGGAGTGAGCCAAAGTAAGGATACAGTCAGTGTCTGGAATTTTTTTGCCCTCGTAGGAATTCTGCATTCAGACAATGTGTATGAAACCCCTTATTGACTGCATGGATATTAGAGGACACTGATGAAGACCACTGTCTGTATGCTGGTGTATGGTAATATTATCGCTGGTTTTTATGATACTGCTTTTCTCACCCAAGTGATATCAAATGACTGATGCAAACAATGATAATGTCCTAATGTAACACTTGAAATTGGTTAGGTTTTAGATTATACTTTATGTAATAATCAACAAACTTCATTAGATTTATAAATAATTGACCCAGGCTAAAGTAAGTTGACAAAAGTAACAATATATTTTTATATTCAATATTAATGTTCCTGCGTTTTAGCTGAAGCGTGTGTAGCGAAGTCAGTGGTAGAACGATTTGTTCTAATTCAATGAAAATGAATGAAATTCTAGGTGATCAAAGGAAATATAAATCTATGACGTTCTTGAATGCAAGTCTGGATTAGGGAACATCTATACGAAGTTATAGATTATGCCCTAGGCTCAGATGCTTTACGCTATTTGAAAAACTATATTTTGCTTTGAGGAATACCATATTGTTGATTTTTCTCATCTTTTTGTCTTTAACATATCAATGTTTTAAAATGTTCTATTCAAGTCATTTTATTGTTATTGCTGTAGCTTCTCCACCCTGTCATGTTACCAGTCCCCCTCATGTTCTGTCAAGAGGAGGGAAATGTCTGTCTTCAACAGTGAACCCAGAGTGTAACCTCTACAAACAAACTATTGTGGAATTTGATTGTCCCTAAGAATGTGTCGGGAGTTTCCCCAAAAAATAATTCCACCTCAAGGCGGGTGGAATTAACTTGTGTATAGTCTCAACTAATAAACTATCTCTGACAAAATAAATTACGTAATGGTTTCAGGTTAATCATTTTCATGCTGAGGATCTCTGTCTGCGTGCCTATCCCCTTGGTGCAGAGCTCCATGACAGAGTAGGAGCAGAAGGTGTCTCTGATGCGGTACTGGCTCAGGGTGCTCAGCTACAGGTGCTGAAAACTAGTGGACTGGTGGCCCGAGTACGTACGTACGTACGTACGTACGTACGTACACACACGCAAACGCAGAAAATGAAAAGGTGTGTACCAGGGGAGAACGACTCATAATGTCTGGAACAGAGCGATTGATACCTTTCCACATATTCCGCTCCAGCCATTACCACGTGCCCGTCCATTACCACGTGCCCGTCCTCCCCAATTAAAGGTGCCACCAACCTCTTGTGGTGCATACAAACACCTTCCTAATATTGAGTTGGAAGTTAGGATTAGCCCCTAAAATTGTGTGCTTCACCATGATTTGTGTGAGCTTGGGATGTTCATCTTGTCATGAAATTGAAATAACTGACATATCATGGACCATCGTTTCATAATCAGTAGCCATATCTACAGGTAACTGCCAAAATAAAGGAAACAACATAAAGTGTCTTAATAGGGCACTGGGCCACCACGAACCAGAAGAGCTTCAATGCACCTTGTCATAGATTCTACAAGTGTCTGGAACTCTATTGGAGGGATGCGATGCCATTCTTCCACAGGGCACGAGAGGTCACTGAATAGTTTGAGGAGCAAAAATTATGTAAACCATGCCATGGCTATCTCAGTCACCAGATCTCAACCCAATTTAACACTTCCATCAACAAAACACCAAATGATGTAATTTCTCATGGATGGGGGCATTGTCATCCTATCAGGGCATAGCCATGGTAGCCAAAATAATGACCTGCCCAGTATTTTTATACATGACCCTAAGCATGATGGGATGTTAATTGCTTAATTGGTTCATACCTGTGTGGAAGCACCTGCTTTCAAAATACTTTGTATCCCCCATTTACTCAAATGTTTCCATTATTTTGTCAGTTACCTGTATGTGTTCTGTCCGTGGTGTGCAAAATGCTCTTCTACATTCAGTTGCCATACAGTAACGCCAGGGGGAGCATACCGTCTACTGATCTCATGCCCCAGTCACATCAGACATGGTCATGTGACATATTCCTTTGGTGAGTTATTCATCGCTCACAGTTATGGCGGTGTCAGGGAGTCGCAAGGATGGAGTACAATCAACATCTTGATATCTGCTTTTCTCGTTGACTCAGGAACGTATTACCACTTTTCCTTGATTTTTACATACTACTCCGTATTATTGCTGCAACGATGGCGTGCCGAGGCGTGGATATGTCGGCACTACCAAAAGAGGTCAGGGACCAATTGGCGGAGTTGGATTTGGAGCTGTCTGAAGGTAAGGGGCTTGGAGAGTGAAAAGAGAAAGAGTTAAAGAGTTAAAGAGTTGTTGTGTCCGGTAAATGCTCCAATGAGTGTGTCCCAGATAAAAACATCAACAAACACCCGTCCGGTGTCAGTGGTGAGAACTGCAGTCTATACCCGGGCAGGCACGACTCGCTCGCGCTGCTCTGTTGCCCGCGAGGATGAAAACACACTGACCTCCTTTTTTTAAATTGTCATTTGATTAGCTGGTTAGTGTCATCAAAAAGCTGTTGGTCTTTATTATTTTCGCCTGCAATGTCATGTCATATTGTTGTTGAGTAATGAGAATATATAGAGAGATGACTTATTGGATGAGGCTTTTGATGTGGCTACTGTATTAACTGTATGCTACAGTATATCCCGTGACTGGATGTTTTTTTAATAGGGCTATTTGTTTATTTATTTATATTTGACATAATACTTACCATCAGAAGTAACCCTATAGCTCTCAACGTTAACACAATCTTCCAATTTGCTTTGCAGAGTCAGTGCATTCTTCTCTAGTCGCTAGGATATAAACTGCCTTCATGTTAATTGCAATATCAAGGAGCCCATACAGGTTTTCTTCCTGTCATAGAAATTAGGTCAAAGCTCTCTCCCTCTTCACATGTCTGTTTCTGAAGTCATGTGGGAATGCAGCTTTTGCCTTGTTTTGAGAAATGGCAATGCTAAAAAGAAAAAGAAATAATATGGTGTTATGCAAGTCTCCTCCTTGGTGGGTTAATCACAGTATTGCTGGATCTGTGCGGTGCTGTTCCAACGCGCCCGGTTCCAAGTTGCTGGTAATAGGCTACACCAATGGTCGGCAACCTTTTCCATTTGGAGTGCCAATTTATCTTACCATTTCTACCAATCTGCGTGCCAGTTATGATTTTCATATGCACATTTTTGTGGAACAGTTTAATTTAATTTCTTATAGTATTTTTATCTAAAAATCATTGTCTGTGGTTAATCTAAATTATATCTAAATCTAAATGAAAATTATACAAATCTTAAAGTAACTTTTATTGCCATTGTCAACTATGTAAAAATATCCAACATAAAGCCAACACATAAAAACATTGCAGCCTGCAGGCAGAAAATATCCTGATAAAAATAAATATCCTATGAATCACATTGGCTATGCGTGGCCTGTTTGCAAAGAACTTGAAACATTATATCAACTATCAACTGGTTCCCCAGAAACTCCTGCTGGCAAACTTAAAACATTGGAGAAAATATTCTGGGCCCTCAGAGTTTCCCGTGCCAGTAAGCATGGGACGGACACAGCTGTAGGCTATTTGTGCAAGGGATAAGAAGTAATCAGGTTTTTTATGACGTTTCCACTGGATCTGAGCATTACATTTTTCTCTTTAATTCCTAGTGGTTATCGAAAGGAGAGAGCTTGAAATATTATTCCAATACTTTGAGGAACTATTGTCATTGTCAATTGATTCTAAAAACAGACTTTGTTTACTTACTGTTTGAGGTGAAAAAAAATTACTTTGAGAAGCTCCACAGCTCATTAGTGGTGGTGAGTTAAGACAATCAGAAATCTTATCAGACATCCCCAAATGGGTACATTTATAGGCCTACATTTATGCACAGGCCAGGTAGACTAGTCCTACGTCTATATGCGTAATCAGGTGCTCGTCCTTACTCAACATTGACAGGAGCGTTTCAAACCAAAGACGATTAATAAATTGACAAAACTTGTAAATGGAATGAAATTAACAAAAACGTCTATCTCACAAGTGTAGGATATGATGTGAGTTCTGCAAAAGACATGTCCACTCCGACAATGAGAATGGTAAATTACTGTAATAATAATATATTGAATGCATTAACAGAAATTACGGTAACCGAACAAACATTGGAGATTAAAAATAATGGGAATTAACAGTAAATGTAGGCTACAAGTGGTTATACAGTGGGGAAAAAAAGTATTTAGTCAGCCACCAATTGTGCAAGTTCTCCCACTTAAAAAGATGAGACAGGCCTGTAATTTTCATCATAGGTACACGTCAACTATGACAGACAAAATGAGAAAAAAAAATCCATAAAATCACATTGTAGGATTTTTAATGAATTTATTTGCAGATTATGGTGGAAAATAAGTATTTGGTCAATAACAAAAGTTTCTCAATACTTTGTTATATACCCTTTGTTGGCAATGACACAGGTCAAATGTTTTCTGTAAGTCTTCACAAGGTTTTCACACACTGTTGCTGGTATTTTGGCCCATTCCTCCATGCAGATCTCCTCTAGAGCAGTGATGTTTTGGGGCTGTCGCTGGGCAACACAGACTTTCAACTCCCTCCAAAGATTTTCTATGGGGTTGAGATCTGGAGACTGGCTAGGCCACTCCAGGACCTTGAAATGCTTCTTACGAAGCCACTCCTTCGTTGCCCGGGCGGTGTGTTTGGGATCATTGTCATGCTGAAAGACCCAGCCACGTTTCATCTTCAATGCCCTTGCTGATGGAAGGAGGTTTTCACTCAAAATCTCACGATACATGGCCCCATTCATTCTTTCCTTTACACGGATCAGTCGTCCTGGTCCCTTTGCAGAAAAACAGCCCCACAGCATGATATTTCCACCCCCATGCTTCACATTAGGTATGGTGTTCTTTGGATGCAACTCAGCATTCTTTGTCCTCCAAACACGACGAGTTGAGTTTTTACCAAAAAGTTATATTTTGGTTTCATCTGACCATATGACATTCTCCCAATCCTCTTCTGGATCATCCAAATGCACTCTAGCAAACTTCAGACGGGCCTGGACATGTACTGGCTTAAGCAGGGGGACACGTCTGGCACTGCAGGTTTGAGTCCCTGGCGGCGTAGTGTGTTACTGATGGTAGGCTTTGTTACTTTGGTCCCAGCTCTCTGCAGGCCATTCACTAGGTCCTCCCATGTGGTTCTGGGATTTTTGCTCACCGTTCTTGTGATCATTTTGACCCCACGGGGTGAGATCTTGCGTGGAGCCCCAGATCGAGGGAGATTATCAGTGGTCTTGTATGTCTTCCATTTCCTAATAATTGTTCCCACAGTTGATTTCTTCAAACCAAGCTGCTTACCTATTGCAGATTCAGTCTTCCCAGCCTGGTGCAGGTCTACAATTTTGTTTCTGGTGTCTTTTGACAGCTCTTTGGTCTTGGCCATAGTGGAGTTTGGAGTGTGACTGTTTGAGGTTGTGGACAGGTGTCTTTTATACTGATAACAAGTTCAAACAGGTGCCATTAATACAGGTAACGAGTGGAGGACAGAGGAGCCTCTTAAAGAAGATGTTACAGGTCTGTGAGAGCCAGAACTCTTGCTTGTTTGTAGGTGACCAAATACTTATTTTCCACCATAATTTGCAAATAAATTCATAAAAAATCCTACAATGTGATTTTTGGGATTTTTTTTCCTCAATTTGTCTGACATAGTTGACGTGTACCTATGATGAAAAGTACAGGCCTCTCTCATCTTTTTAAGTGGGAGAACTTGCACAATTGGTGGCTGACTAAATACTTTTCCCCCCCACTGTATATGTGATGGGGAATTGATAGACACAGCAAACAATGCACACAATGAAGTTAGGAAACAATGAATAAAAAGGCGCGAGAGCGCATTCTGGAGAGAGACGTGCCTTGTGCATCTGAGCCACAATCCTCCTATTCTTGGACCATGGCATCCCCGCAGCCTCCTCAATGGATTAGTCCACTGAGACAGGTGCAAATCAGAAAGGTGTCTTGTGTGCCATTAAAAAATAATATATTTGCGACTACTCGACTAAAAAAATCTAATGTTTTCGTCACAGACCCCTTTTGTCATACAGTATTCCATATAAGGCACCGAGACCTTATGAACGTTGCACAGTATACCCTTAATCTTGTAATAAATCAAATCTAGTGATGCATAACTTGACATTTCTGCCATCCATTGTGACATTGTGGGAGGATAACCAACCTTCCAATTAATGGCAATGCATTTCTTAGCCGCTATAAATGCTAGGTTACACATTTTCTTCTGATAACGGTTTCCAGTATCAACATTTCCAAGCAAACAAAAACAGGGAGAAGGGAGAATCTGAATCCATTTATCATCATCAATAGTGTCTCCCAGGTCTTCTTCACATTTTTGCTTGACATGTTTTGTGTCATCAGGAAAAGCCTCTATCAACCCTTGATACAGTTTGGAAATCAACTTTAGAGGTTTGTCAGACTGCTTTAAAATAGTTTCAATCTTTGAAGCTTCTGGCTTGTCCAGTGTTTGCTGCACAGAGAGAATAAAGTGTTGTATCTGCAAAAGTTCGCCTCAGCGTCGTCACAGACTGGTCTTCACTGGTTACATGACTGTGCTGAGGCCCCTGTCACCATCTGATCCTGCTCAGATGAGGCATGACAAAGAATTACCTTGGTGTACATTTATTCATTATATTATCCAATAATATAATTAATGGTTCAATAATTGAAATGACCATTATTCACAGATCCCAGACTATCCATCAACTCAAGATGGAACTTTGTATCCATTCACTGATTGTTATCATACACTGCAAAATTCACCTGAGCTCCGTAGACTGGTCTTCCTTGGCTGTCTGACCCTGCTGGGACACCTGTCACCATTTGATCCTGCTTAGACATGATGAGCATAGTGTTGTGTACTGACTGTGCACCATGACAGTGTAGCCTGTAGAGCTGTTTATACCGTGTTGGTGTGAAAAGTAGGGAATTAGCTAGGCAAACTGACAGATCAATAATTTGACATTGCTATACTGACGCTAATAAAAACTCACATTGTGCTGTGAGAAAATGTCAGAATATCGGTCTTCAATGGTTTGGCCGCTGGTTTCATCGTTTGATTTAGGTCTAGTGTGATTGATACAAAAATAATAGCTAAAATACTAGCCAACTTTTGGCTAGTTCTAGTGGTACATCAACTGGTGAAAACTAGCCAAGTTAATTTACATCTGTCGAAACGTGACAAAAAAGCTACAAAACATTTCCATACACACAACAGCTGTTAGATGCTGCTACCTGACAGATAGCTAGAGGCTAGAGCTGAACTGGCTGTGGTAACTGCTAGCTAGCTAGCTTAATTCTCTTCAGACAGAACTTCAGTCGACAGGTGATGAAACATTAGCTAAATTTACACGTCATTTACACTACTACCTCAGCACTGGGAATATATATTTTGTCTTCTGTTAAGTCAAACAGCTGTTACCTTGCCAGCTACATCAGTCAAATAAAGAGGTACCAGTTTCTGCTCTGCTTGCTTTTACAACCCAGAGAAAAAGCGCAACACACAGAGACAGCAGCTGCAGACAGCAGCACCGTGCTGGTCCTATAATAATAGCTTTGCCTTCACACAGCCTGTCCGACGCTCTGTGGTGTCCATCCGGTCCTAAATCCAGCCCGCTGAAACTGCCAAACAGCCTACCCGACCGCTCTGAGGTGTCCACATGCTCCTAAAGCACATCGATGCTGTTTGTATCACAGTGCAATTATAAAACTGGGGGGGACAAAAATGCAATTTCAGAATGTGGGGAGGTCATGTCCCCAGTGAAAGTTGCGCCCCTGGCCTATTGTAGAAGTGCTCACAAAGTGACTTTTTGGACCAGAATGCCAACATATTCAAGAGATCAAGGTGCTCAAAGTTTACGTATTTTGCATACCCCACCATACCATGAGACATCCATGTCTTCATCACTGGAAATTGATTAAATTATATATTTTTCCTACAGATCTACACAACCTACTCCACATTTTCAAAGTGATAGAATGTGATAGAACATTTTCCAAATTAAGAACAAATACAAAAACTGAAATATCATAATTGGATAAGTTTCCACCCCCATGAGTTAATACTTGGAGGAAGCACCTTTGTCTGAAGGTACACAGCTGTGAATCATTTTCAGCTGAGAATAATTTTAATTCTACCAACTTTGCACAACTCTTACGGCAACATACATTGCATTCGGAAAGTATTCAGCCCCCTGACTTAATCCACATTTTGTTACGTTACAGCCTTATTCTAAAATTGATTACATTTTTTTCCTTCTCATCAATCTACACACAATACCCCATAATGACAAAGCGAAAACAGGTTTTTAGAAAGTTTTGCAAATTTATACAAAAACATACAGTATCCAGACCCTTGAAATTGAGCTCAGGTGCATCCTGTTTCCATTGATCACCCTGATAGAAAGAGGACAGAAAGAAGGGAACACATTGTTACTTTGGCCCAACGCCTAGAAACTATGTGTGCAAGGTCATGATCAGCTAATTGCACCCTGAGAGCAGAGACACCTAGTTTGTGCATGAGTATAAAGAGTGCTGAAGGGGAGCACCCCTTCAGAGCTTCTGACAGACTTGTAATTTGAGTATTAAGTTTGTTTTAACCTCTCCAGCCGTGATAATAAAGATCTGTTCAGTTAACTTTGACTTGGAGTCCTTAGTGGTAATTTCCATGACAATTTGGCGTCACGAAACAGGATGATTGATTCTACCTGTGGAGCTCAGCATTGGGGGTCTGCGAGGGAACACCGGTGTCACATTCCATGTGAAGGCGTGCAAGGGAAATTCCCGTCTGACCAAAGACGACGTGGACCCGCCCAGACCAGACCTCCACTGTGGGCTGCATGGGAGAAAACACATCATCTACAAAACTTGGAAGGACTGACAACTGAATATCAGCAAGTCAATTTAAATGAATTTTGAACAATAAGAACTGTTTTGAGAAGCTTAGAAAAGGATCCAGAGTCCCAAGATGGGACTAGGCGGGGATAGAGGGACCCCGTCAGCAACGTTGTCTATAGGTATTCAGGGATACTTACGTAGGTCTGGGAACTACATGGAAGTTCTGGGAACTCCATTTTAGGATTTAGAGAATAGTAAGTGATTGAGTGGAATGATTTTTGCATGATTGACTAATTTACTGAAAAAGGGAAATTAGTTCCCAGATGATTGAGGTATGAGTGTGATAATTGTTAGAGTAAAGTAAATTGTTAAGGTATAATTCAAAGTAATAATGGGGAAAGGGAACAGTAAAAGTAGATATGAAGACCCAGATTGGGCACCAAAGGGACCCAGTAAAGTGATGACTAAAAGTTTTGTAAGTGGGTACTGTGCCAGACAGAAGATTGGACAGCATGGACTGATGGTGGTTTCCCTGAGGATGGCACCCTGAGCTATGAGAGGTGACACCCCGGTGAAAGTTGTCCCAAAGAATAATCACAGACCATATAAAGCTCAGTACCCTCTTAGCAAAGAAGCAGAAAAGGGTATTATTCCCATCCATCAGGCCCTGGTTGAAAATGGGGCTTGTATCCCATGCCCAAATTCTCCTTGTAACACCCCTATTTTACCTGTTAGGAAGCCACCTGGTGAATATTGTTTTGTGCAAGAGCTTAGAATAGTTAATGATACTGTTCACGCAAGAGCACCCCTGGTGCCGAACACAGTTACTATTCCTTCCCAAGTTCCCCCAGGGACCTGCCATTTTTGCCCAGGAAATGGTCGAGGAACCTGGAAGGTTTTATTCCCCCTGGGGGTAGTACTGTGGTTCAATACGTTGATGACCTGTTGGTCTGTTCCTCATCTGAGGAAATCTGTCACGACGATACTAAGGCATTGTTCATTTTCTTAGCTGAAAATGGTCATAAAGCTTCCCCCTCTAAGATGCATTTGTGTAGAAGTTCTGTTAAATATTTGGGTCATGACATTACTTCTGAGGGTCGCGCCCTCTCTAAAGATAGGCTTGAGGCAATAAAGTCCCTGCCTAAACCTGCTACTAATCAGCACAATGTCGCTGTTGGGAGTGGCTGGCTCCTGTCGCCCATGGTTGAAAGACTATGCGGAGACAGTACAGCCTCTGCAGGATTGTATTTATGGCAGAAAGATGGACATGTCTGAAGTGGTGGAATGGACAACTCTAAGCGTTTAGACACTGTTATCCAAGGCATGCTTTCTTGCCTCCGCTCTGTTGCTGAGGCAACTGAGGCGGTTTTGGCATGTTCTGATATTGTAGCAATGACTGAGCTGACGGTGCATGTTTCCCATGCGGTTCATACCATTATTACACAAGCTAAAACTGCCCATCTTACACCTGCCAGATGATCAGAACATCCTTTTGACGATGTCTCATATTACACTAAAGAGACGTACTGTACCTAACCCCTCTACTCTCCTCCCTACAGCTGATGCCGTTGAAGAACATGACTGTGAATTGACCATTGAGATTGACTGTAGCCCTAGGCTTGACTTAAAAGACATTCCTCTTTTGAATTCGGACTTTGAGTTTTTTGTGGATGGCTCTGCCCAGCGAAACGACATGGGTGAACCTTTACTGCCCTACCAAGCAAAAAGGCAGTAACTACTAATTTGGTCAAAAATTAGTTAATCATTTTTTCTACATTAAATATATGCTTAATCATGTGGACAATTATCCTGCCTCTATTGTATTGTGTTTTGGAGAAAATGGGGGTCATATTAGCAGTAACTGCAAAAAGTTACTGTGAAACCAAGGTAAATGGCAGTAACTGAACTTACTGCCTTTTAGCTTGGTTTCAACCTGCCCTTGGCAGCAGTTACTGCCTTTTACCTTGGTATCATATCATTTTATTCTGATAGTGACACAATCGAACCTGTATGACACTGACACACACATGCATTGCTAATCTAGGGACACAACATCATGGCACAGCATTCCCTGGGGAAAATGATGGTTGAACTTGCTCTGAAACGCCTAAACCAGACACTGGTAAGAACTAGCTAGCTAAGTAGATCTGAGAACATAATTAATTAGCTAGCAAGCTAAGCTAGCTAACTAGCTAGCGAGCATAGACTAACAATGCTACCTTCTCCCATAAAAGGAGATCCGCAATTGATACTAACTTCAATCTATTAGCCCTATAATGATTTATATTCTGAAAGTTCATCTGATGGTTTATTTGAATCTGTAACGTAACAAAATGTGGATAAAGTCAACGGGTCTGAATACTTTCCGAATTGACTGTATACTGTATCCATAGTTTTTTGTCCAATTTGCTCAGGCTCATTGATCGACAGCGATATTTAACCCTTGTCTCTGATTTTTTAAAAGCAGATTTATGTCAGAACTGAGACTAGACCACTCAGAAACACTCAACACGTCTTGGAAAGCTATTCTGGTGTGTCTTTTGCACAAACATTTGTGTAATTGTCCTGCAGAAAAATAAAACCCTATTCCATGGTTAGGTGAAAACACAAAGGGATCAACAACATTGCATTCACTCCAGGTTACTGGCCTTTTATGGCAAAGTGAAAGGAAAGAAGCCTGTGTAAAAGGAAATCCACTTCAAACCATCCATTCTGTTTGCAACAAGACTGTTAAGTAATACTGCAAGACAACATGGCAAATACATTACATTTTTGACCTAAATTAAAAACTACAGGGTTGGGTCAAATCCAATACAACCTCTTTATTTTCAAGTATTGTGGTGGCAGCATCATGTTATCGGTATGCTTGTCATTGGCAGGGACTGGGAGAGTTTGTCAGGATCAAAATAAATATGAAAAGAGCAAAGCCCAGGTAAACAGTTAGAGAAAAACCCACATCAGTCTTCTGACCCTAACCCTGGAATAGTTATTTTTTCCCCAAGGCCTCCATATCCATAGCAAAGGTGATATATTTTTTTATCACTATTCTGTCACTGCCAGATCTTTGGTTGTGGGCCCTGGCACTTGTGATTTTCCATCAAATCTGCTGAATATAATTTCCAAATTTGTCCAAAAGTCACTACCCACCTGTAATAGGGTTGCTTTTCTGAAACGTCTCAAAGTAAGGCTAACAAGAGAATCATAGTAGAATCAATTAGCCTGTACACACATCATCAAATACAACCCCCCTGGGATACAGCCACAGCGACGGCCTCTCCGTGGTTACAAACCATAAGCAAATCAAAACAACTCCCTCAAAAAGACGTGTGAAATCTGTTTTATCAAATCAATTAGATTGGGCTGTTTGAATGTCACAGGGCACTTCTGAAAAGGCCTGAGCAATGGAGGAGACCTAGTTCACTGTAACACACAGTGGGTGACCTCACTTTTACATGACAGTGTGGCCTCGTTAATAATAGACATCAATTAACAGTTTGGTTAAGGAGGGGTGATGCTCTGCTTACGATCACACGCACACACACCCACACACACACACACACACACACACACACACAGATGGAGAGAGAGTAGCTATCTATTAATAATAATGGCATGGCACATTTTATGATGTACTGCATAAACAGACTGTCACTATTTTTCTGCTGTGTGTGCAAATCAAGTGGAAATGTTTGATGAGAGTGTGTCGTTGTGTGGCATACACTGGTTGATTGCCAGTATGGGATTTTTGACTGAAGAGTTCAGCAGTAGTAGGCCTATACAACTCTACTACTCAACTGTAAATGCCAGCTTGCTGTATGCTTATTGGTCCATTGTCCTCAGACATTTAGAGCAGTAGTTTCCTACCCCTGAGAAGACCTAGGCCTACGACCAGTTCCTCACGTAGGCCTACCCCTTGACAATCTCTGTACATTGGCAGACAGTGTAGCCTTATTAAAATATAGCCTATATACATGTTTATTAGGATACATAGTACTTTGAATGATGTTGAAATAACTTGTAATTGTTATGGCTCCAGTATGAGGTGTTTACTCCCTCCCGTCAGCCTTGTAACCCTCAGCTAGTCCACTGACACTCACCCAGACTCCATTTTGAGCCCCAGCAGCACAACATCTATCGATTGATTCACCACAGAGAGAAGGCTGTCTCATTACTCCAACCACACTGAGCCATGACCAGATGGCCGGACCAGAGTGGCCATGTTTGTAGTTCCATCAGGCTGCTGGTGGTTGTGGTATACCTGTAGCTTTAGTGGTAGTAGATGAATTGGATCAGTTGGAACTAGAGTCAGTTAAGACTTCAGCAGCACAGTGACTCAATAGAAACTCGACACCCCCAGTGTGGCCATCACTCAACTGTCATCTCTGTCATAGCGGTGAAGGGAGGACGACACTGTACTGAACATCGAACAGTCTTTTCCCCAATCATGTCAAAGCTGTTACTGTAAGCACATAGCCTATTCTCTTTTATCTATGTTTTGGGAAGTACTTTATCAGTATTATGCACCAAAACACATCATCATCCATTTTATTGGATTGCCAGTACAACTACATTGTATGGAGTAGGAGCAGTCTTCTTAATGTTTCTCATGCATATCCTTTACATTTCTAATAATCAGCCCATTGTTGTCACTCTGTCCCAAAGACAGGACTGCCATGGCAACAAATAGAGGAAATGTGCACCATCAGCATATTTTAGCATCAGTAGTGGTGGTGCATTGTGTGTGTGTCTATGTGTGTCAGTAGTGGTGGTGCATTGTGTGTGCGTGTGTTAAGTTCTCCTCCACATAGCTCTAACCCCGGTGACTGTGTGGACACAATGGGAGCCATTGAGAGGATCAAAGCCATGGTGGCTGGGAGCTCGGCTGGAATTCAGAACACTCAACCACAACCCTTTGTGTGTATTAAGCTTCTCAAATTAACTGTGTCACGCACACAAACACACGCACACAGACAATGTGTGCCCCTTTGCCTGGTTTTGGTGACCCCCTGCCTGTTCTCCAAGGCCTGTGTGTATAATAGTATTATAGAATGGCGTAAGTGGTGTAATGCTCTGATAAGAGCTGAGTGGATATGACTCCCCTTTGGCTTTGCTCAGGGCCCTGTCTTTGTCCCAGTGTGGACTCTCGTGACTTGTGTGTGTTTGTCCAGTCGTCTGTATGTGTTTGAGTGTGTGTGTGTGTGTTCTGTCTGTGTTGCTGTGGGAGGAGAGGCAGGTTTTTCAGCACAGCAGCCTGTTCCATGCTGAGTGGAGAGCGGGAGAGAGCGGGAGAGAGCGAGAGTGAGAGAGAGAACCCCGTGCCTGTCTCCCAATCTAGGTCACAGAGCATCAGGAGGCAACATGCCTGGCTCATTTAGCCCTCTGAGTCACAGTGAGCCAGCACTGCTGCTGGGGATCTCTCTCTCTCTCTCTCTCTCTCTCTCTCTCTCTCTCTCTCTCTCTCTCTCTATCTATCTATCTATCTATCTATCTATCTATCTATCTATCTATCTATCTATCTATCTATCTATCTATCTATCTATCTATCTATCTATCTATCTATCTATCTATCTATCTATCTATCTATCTATCTATCTATCTATCTATCTATCTATCTATCTATCTATCTATCTATCTATCTATCTATCTATCTATCTATCTATCTATCTATCTATCTATCTATCTATCTATCTATCTATCTATCTATCTATCTATCTATCTATCTATCTATCTATCTATCTATCTCCCTTTCTCTCTATCTATCTCCCTTTCTCTCTATCTATCTCCCTTTCTCTCTATCTATCGTGCATATAGGTGCGCGTGTGTGTGTCTGGGGAATCTAACGCAAATGTAGCTGCCCTCACAGTGTTGGCCACAGACACACACTGCAGGAAGCTGCTTTAGCCTATCCATTGAAAAGCTCATTAACTGTGACAGGAGCTGTGCACTGATCTCCAGCCATATATGAAGGCCAAAAAATGCCAAATGGAGAAGGAAGCACAGCTCTACAGTCAGTGTGTGAACCTATTGTGGAAAAACTGTTTGAAATGTCCAGGGGAGTTCTCTGTTTTGGAAATTAAGCATTTGTGTTACATAATAGCATGCATCTCACGCTCCCAGACACACTATAAAACACACACACACACACAGACACACACACTATTTAGCTCCTTGTAAAGTGTGTGTGCCTACACACACACACACTTACTTAGTGGGGTGGCTGAGTAGTTTCCTATGGTTCCCAGGCCTCCCCGGGGTGCTAGGCTTTTGCTATGTGGCTGTAAGGAGAGTGAATAATTCAGATGTGTCTATGGAAGCCCATAGGGGTGAGGCAGGCTCTCTAGTTGACTTGCATACACACGCTCGCACGCACACACACGCACATGGGCGCCTGACTTTGTCTGAAAGTAGGGGTGCAAACAAATTGAATTTAACATTTTAAAACCATTTACTGCAATTCTACACTGTTTCTTTACAGCGGGAATCCATATTTATGAACAAAACACACAAAAAAATTGTAGGTTTATATTGAACTCGAGTACTCGAATGAAAACAAACAGAAAAAATATGTTTGCATTTATCTACAGTGGGGGAAAAAAGTATTTAGTCAGCCACCAATTGTGCAAGTTCTCCCACTTAAAAAGATGAGAGAGGCCTGTAATTTTCATCATAGGTACACGTCAACTATGACAGACAAAATGAGATTTTTTTTTCCAGAAATCACATTGTAGGATTTTTTATGAATTTATTTGCAAATTAAGGTGGAAAATAAGTATTTCGTCAATAACAAAAGTTTCTCAATACTTTGTTATATACCCTTTGTTAGCAATGACACAGGTCAAACGTTTTCTGTAAGTCTTCACAAGGTTTTCACACACTGTTGCTGGTATTTTGGCCCATTCCTCCATGCAGATCTCCTCTAGAGCAGTGATGTTTTGGGGCTGTCGCTGGGCAACACGGACTTTCAACTCCCTCCAAAGATTTTCTATTGGGTTGAGATCTGGATTCTGGCTAGGCCACTCCAGGACCTTGAAATGCTTCTTACGAAGCCACTCCTTCGTTGCCCGGGCGGTGTGTTTGGGATCATTGTCATGCTGAAAGACCCAGCCACGTTTCATCTTCAATGCCCTTGCTGATGGAAGGAGGTTTTCACTCAAAAATCTCACGATACATGGCCCCATTCATTCTTTCCTTTACACGGATCAGTCGTCCTGGTCCCTTTGCAGAAAAACAGCCCCAAAGCATGATGTTTCCACCCCCATGCTTCACAGTAGGTCCTCTGTAGCTCAGCTGGTAGAGCACGGCGCTTGTAACGCCAAGGTAGTGGGTTCGATCCCCGGGACCACCCATACGTAAAAATGTATGCACGCATGACTGTAAGTCGCTTTGGATAAAAGCGTCTGCTAAATGGCATATTATTATTATTATTATTATATGTTCTTTGGATGCAACTCAGCATTCTTTGTCCTCCAAACACAACGAGTTGAGTTTTTACCAAAAAGTTATATTTTGGTTTCATCTGACCATATGACATTCTCCCAATCCTCTTCTGGATCATCCAAATGCACTCTAGCAAACTTCAGACGGGCCTGGACATGTACTGGCTTAAGCAGGGGGACACGTCTTGCACTGCAGGATTTGAGTCCCTGGCGGCGTAGTGTGTTACTGATGGTAGGCTTTGTTACTTTGGTCCCAGCTCTCTGCAGGTCATTCACTAGGTCCCCCCGTGTGGTTCTGGGATTTTTGCTCACCGTTCTTGTGATCATTTTGACCCCACGGGGTGAGATCTTGCGTGGAGCCCCAGATCGAGGGAGATTATCAGTGGTCTTGTATGTCTTCCATTTCCTAATAATTGCTCCCACAGTTGATTTCTTCAAACCAAGCTGCTTACCTATTGCAGATTCAGTCTTCCCAGCCTGGTGCAGGTCTACAATTTTGTTTCTGGTGTCCTTTGACAGCTCTTTGGTCTTGGCCATAGTGGAGTTTGGAGTGTGACTGTTTGAGGTTGTGGACAGGTGTCTTTTATACTGATAACAAGTTCAAACAGGTGCCATTAATACAGGTAACGAGTGGAGGACAGAGGAGCCTCTTAAAGAAGAAGTTACAGTCTGTGAGAGCCAGAAATCTTGCTTGTTTGTAGGTGACCAAATACTTATTTTCCACCATAATTTGCAAATACATTCATTAAAAATCCTACAATGTGATTTTCTGGAAAACATTTTCTCAATTTGTCTGTCATAGTTGACGTGTACCTATGATGAAAATTACAGGCCTCTCTCATCTTTTTAAGTGGGAGAACTTGCACAATTGGTGGCTGACTAAATACTTTTTTCCCCCACTGTATATGCCAACAGAGCTCAACAATGCCTAATTTATCATAACCATTACAGAGAACAAATCCTAATTGCTAAATTGCCCCATAGACACTGAGTATACCAAACATTAGGAACACCTTCCTATTATTGAGTTGCAACCCCTTTTGCCCTCAGAACAGCCTCAATTTGTCGGGGCATGGACTCTACAAGGTGTCGAAAGCGTTCCACAGGGATGCTGGTCCATGTTGAATCCAATGCTTCCCACAGTTGTGTCAAGTTGGCTGGATGTCCTTTGGATGGTGGACCATTCTTGATACACACGGAAAACTGGTGAGTGTGAAAAACTCAGGAGCGTTTCGGTTCTTGACACAAACCATTGCGCCTGGCACCTACAATACCCCGTTCAAAGGCACTTACATTTTTTGTCTTGCCCATTCACCCTCTGAATGGTACACATACGCAATCCATGTCTCAATTGTCTCAAGGCTTAAAAATCCTTAATTAACTTGTCTCATCCACTTCATCTACACTGATTGAATTGGATTTAACAAGTGACAGCAATAATGGATCATAGTTTCCCCTGGATTCACATGGTCAGTCTATGTCATGGAAAGAGAAGGTGTTCTTAATGTCTTGTATACTCTGTATATTCAGTCAATAAAAAAAGAAGTTCCATTTAAGACTAATTTATTGAAACTGTAATATCAACTGGTTATGTTATATCGGGGAACACAATCTTCAAAAAGGCAGTAACCTCAGCAGTGGCGCTTGCTTGTAGAAGCCTATGGCTGTGCAGTGGCATAGCCTTGTTTTGTTAATTTAGCAGACAAGACCCTCTTATTTCCCGAGCCCTTATCACAGTCAAGACGCACCTACAGCGCCTTCAGAAAGTATTCACACACCTTGACTTTTTCCACATTTTGTTGTGTTACATACTGAATTTAAAATGGATTAAATTGAGATTTTTGGTCACTGGCCTACACACAATACCCCATAATGTCAAAGCGGAATCATGTTTTTAGAAATGTTTACACTTTTTATTAAAAATGAAAAGCTGAAATGTCTTGACTCAATAAGTATTTAACCCCTTTCTTATGGCAAGCCTAAATAAGTTCAGGAGTAAAAATTAGCATAACAAGTCACATAATAAGTTGCATGGACTCACTCTGTGTGCAATAATAGTGTTTAACATGTTTTTTGAATGACTACCTCATCTCTGTACCCCACACATACAGTTATCTGTAAGGTCCCTCAGTCGAGCAGTGAATTTCAAACACAGATTCAGCCACAAAGACCAGGGAGATTTTCCAATACTTCGCAAAGAAGGGCACATTCTGATTGGTATAACTAAATAAAAAGCAGACATTGAATATCCCTTTGAGCATGGTGAAGTTATTAATTACACTTTGGATGGTGTATCAATACAACCAGTCACTACAAAGCTACAGGCGTCCTTCCTAACTCAGTTGCCGGAGAGGAAGGAAACCACTCAGGGATTTCACCATGAGCCCAATGGTGACTTTAAAAAAAGTTACAGAGTTTAATGGCTGTGATAGGAGATAACTTAGGATGGATCAACAACATTGTAGTTACGACACAATACTAACGTAATTGACGGAGTGAAAAGAAGGAAGCCTGTACAGAATACAAATATTCCAAAACATGCATCCTGTTTGCAACAAGGCAAAGCAATGAACTTTTTGTCCTGAATACAAAGCGTTATCTTTGGGGCAAATCCAATACAACACATTACCGTTGAGCTCTCTCCATATTTTCAAGCATAGTGGTGGCTGCATCATGTTTTGGGTAAGCTTGTAATATTTAACACTGGGGAGTTTTTCAGGATAAAAAATATACGCTAAACACAGGAAAAATCCTAGAGGAAAACCTGGTTCAGTCTGCTTTCCACCAGACACTGGGAGATTAATTCACCTTTCAGCAGGACAATAACTTAAAACAAGGCCAAATCTACAGTGGCGTTGCTTACCAAGAAGACAGTGAATATTCCTGAGTGTCCGAGTTACAGTTTTTACTTAAATCTACTTGAAAATCTATGGCAAGACCTGAAAATGGTTGTCTAGCATTGATCAACAATCAACTTGACCGAGCTTGATGAATTTTGAAAAGAATAATGGACAATGTTGGACAATCCAGGTGTGGAAAGCTTTTAGAGACTTACCCAGAAAGATTCCCACCTGTAAGTATTGACTCTGGGGTTTGAATACTTATTTCTTTATTTCATTTTCAATAAATTAGCAAACATTTCTAAAAACATGTTGTCATTATGAGGTTTATTCTGCCTGTTCTTTGGAATTTTCTAAATGGACAATTCCACATTGAACACTGCATGGTGATGAATTACGGCGACAACATCTGTTTGGTGGGTAGGCCTAGGCTTAATGATTCTAATGAAAATATGCTCTTTGTCTTTATCAAACTAATATTTTTGCATATTTTTAGTTTGGAACCTGTCTATTGTTTAGGGGGGTTATAGCCTAGCCCTAGGCTAACCAATTCAAAATGGCACTAGCGGTTCGCAAAGTAACCTAAGTGGTAAATAGACAGGACGCAATTATTCCAAAGCTGCAGCTCGGCCTCCCGAGTGGTGCAGTGGTCAAAGGCAAGGCACTGACTTCGGTCGCCAGCTGGACAGTATTTCCGCCGACACATTGGTGCGGCTGGCTTCCGGGTTAAGCGAGTAGTGCAGTGCGGCTTGGCAGGGTCGTGTTTCGGAGGACGCATGGATCTCGACCTTCGCCTCTCCCGAGTCCGTAGGGGAGTTGCAGCGATGGGACAAGACTGTAACTACCAATTGGATATCACGAAAAAGGGGTAAAAGTACACAACAAAAATAAAATAATTAAACAACTTCAATACTTCAATCAACCAGTCCATTTTGAATATGTGATAAAACTGTTGTCATTTGGCTGTCACGTACGTTCATTGACGGGTCAGACCAAGGCGCAGCGTGATATGCATACATGTTTATTTGAACCGAATAAACAACGACAAAACAACAAACTAAACTAAACGTGAAGTCCAAGGTACACAAACAACATATCTCACACGGAACAAGATCCCACAACCCACTAGTGCCAATAGGCTGCCTAAGTATGGTCCCCAATCAGAGACAACGAGCGACAGCTGCCTCTGATTGGGAACCACACCGGCCAACATAGATCTAGACATACTAGATAGAAAAAATAGACCTACACAACATAGAATATACACACCCTGACTCGACAAATAAGCGCCCCCCGGTGGAGCGGATAGGTGGTTGTCACGCCCGGAGCCGACCGCACAACCTTTACTTAACAGGGTAGGGGCCGGGTGGGCATTCCACCTCGGAGGCGGATCCGGCTCCGGGCGTGACAACCACCTATTCTCCGCCTCCCTGTTGCGCCCCTGGTCTGGACCTCGGCGCGCTGCTTCCCCTCTCCTTCCTCCCACTATACTCCAAGCCCTGTCTGGACCCTGGTGTGGGAGACCCCGAACCTGGAGAGGGGCTGACGTCTGGGTCTGGACTGGAGCCGCTGACCGGAGCTGGACTGGGCACCGGTGGAGCGGACTGCTCTGGCTCCGGAGTGGAGCCGCTGACCGGATCTGGACTGGACCCCAGTGGAGCGGACTGCTCTGGCTCCGGAGTGGAGCCGCTGACCGGAGCTGGATCAGGCACCGGTGGAGCGGACTGCTCTGGCTCCGGAGTGGAGCCGCTGAACGGAGCTGGACTGGACCCCGGTTGAGTGGACTGCTCTGGCTCCGGAGTGGAGCAGCTGACCGGAGCTGGATCAGGCACCGGTGGAGCGGACTGCTCTGGCTCCGGACTGGAGCAGCTGACCGGAGCTGGATCAGGCACCGGTGGAGCGGATTGCTCTGGCTCCGGACTTGAGCTGCTGACTGGTGCCGGACAAGGCACCGGTGGAACGGGCATGGGCCGTGCCGGACTGGACACACTCACCACTGGTCTGGTGCGAGGAGCAGGCACGGCGGCCGAACCGGACTAGGAACATGCACCACTGGCTTGGTGCGAGGAGCAGGAACAGGCCGGGCCGGACTGGCGACCCGCACCACTGGCTTGGTGCGAGGTACCGGACATGCAGCTTTCTGCAAAGGTGCAACCTTTGGTAGGCTGATGGAAGACTACTCTGAGTCAGTGGGAGAATCTCAATTGCATACTCCTCGCATCCTCTCTCCTTCTCAAAATCCATTCGATGAGACAGCCAGAAGTCCCCTCTGACCTTCTCCTCCAATAGGTTTTGAGAGATGAGGCAAGGAGTGAGGAGAGAGGATGCAAGCAATTGAGACACTCCCAGAGGCTGCGATACAGTGAAGCCTAATCAGACATGCCTGTGCTCATCATGGTTCATACAGGCAAAGTGAAAAGACAAAATAGGGGTGCAAATGTTTTTGAAAGTGAGGATTCAGCTGCTCCATTTGCTCCATTTGCTCCATTGCTATGCATGCACACACACACGCACACACACCCTCAACGTCAGCAAGACAAAGGAGCTGATCGTGGACTACAGGAAACAGAGGACCGAGAACACCCCCATTCACATCGACGGGGCTGTAGTGGAGCGGGTCGAGAGCTTCAAGTTCCTCGGTGTCCACATCACTAAGGACCTATCATGGTCCAAATACACTAACACAGTCGTAAGAGGGCACGACAACGCCTCTTCCCCCACAGGAGGCTGAAAAGATTAGGCATGGGCCCTCAGATCCTCAAAAGGTTCTACAGCTGCACCATTGAGAGTATCTTGACAGGCTGTATCACCGCTTGGTATGGCAACTGCTTGGCATCTGACCGTAAGGCGCTACATAGGGTAGTGCGTACGGCCCAGTACATCACTGGGGTCAAAGGAAGGCCTTAACAATTGTCAAAGACACCAGCCACCCAAGTCATAGACTGTTCTCTCTGCTACCGCATGGCAAGCGGTGCTGGGGTGCTAAGTCTAGGACCAAAAGGCTCCTGAACAGCTTCTACCCCCAAGCCTTAAGACTGAGAAACAGTTTTCAAATGGCTACCCGGACTATTTGCATTTACCCTATTTTTTTGCACTGACTCTTGCACTGGCTGTATGCACACTCACTGGACACATACACACACTGCATACACTCACACACACAAAACCCACACACATGGATATTGACGACACTCACACATAGACACACATTCACACTCTTTCGCACTCTTCACATACGCTGCTGCTACTCTGTTTATTATCTATCCTGATTGCCTAGTCACTTTTATCCCTACCTACATGTACATATTACCTCAACTACCTCATACCCCTGCACATTGACTCGGTACCGGTACTCCTTGTATATAGCCTTGTTATTGTTATTTGATTGTGTTACTATTTACTTCTTTTATTTTGCTTTTTAACTCTGCATTGTTGGGAAAAGGCTCGTAAGTAAGCATTTCACGGTAAAGTCTAAACCTGTTGTATTCGGCACATGTGACAAATACAATTTGATTTGACACAGACTGGCTCCTCCACTCCAGTCTCCACTTTCACACTAGACTCACACCTATAATCCACTCTCAAGACAAGAGGGAGGTCCACTGTCAAGTTCAGAGTCCAGATCCCAATCTAGGCCTACATTCAAGTTCAACCATTGTTTGCCCCACATACAGACCCTTCCCATGCTACTAGCTATACTTCAAGAAAAAGGTGTTGGTGTGGCAGATGTTATGTTGTGAATACGTTATTACGTAGTTACTTACTAGACCTACTACTAGCTTATTACTACAGTACTACAACGTATTATCTTGTCCAATGCTCCTCCTGTGGCTGTCTGATAGAAAGAGAAAGAGAGAGAGCGAGAGAGATAGGAGAGTAGTAGTTTTAGCTTTAGTGTTAGCATTAGCCATGAGCCCAGGCCACTGTGGTGCACTCTGAATTATTGAACAGAGCTGAGTGGATTCTGCCGCAGGACAGCTGAGTGAGTCTGCAGAACCATTAGACTCACATATCAATAAACCTACTGGGCCTGTTAGCATTAGCAAATGTTTTTATTGCACTATTAGTCTTTACAGTATACAGTCTTTTCAGTACTTGACAGTGTGAATTGTAGGCCTACTTTGCGTTAGTTTAGTATTGTAGGCCTATAGCATGACTTAGCATTAGCAGTCTCAGACAGTGCATGGCATGAATAATGCTACATGTATGGCCCATATAATAAATAATAGATACACATTTGGATGAAGAGACCATTCTCCCCCTCCTCCCCAGACAAAAACACAGATCAACCACTGGCTTGGCCCATTGGCGATTATAGTCAGACAGTCTTGCCTGAGGTGTGGGCACTGATGATCACCCCATACCACACACACACACAAACACTCCGGGGTGAAAAAGCCACACTCCCAGGTTCCCTAAGGATGTAACAGGGTAGTTATTTTGGACATCCTGTCCAAAACCAGTCATTAGTGGGTTGTGTTTTAAAAGCACAAGTAATAACAGTATGTAGTGTGTGTGTGTGTGTGTGTGTGTGTGTGTGTGTGTGTGTGTGTGTGCTTTTGATGACAGTTCAGAGCACGGGGGTGGGTGTAGTGTAGTGTGTAATGTGTCAGCCTGTCATTGTGATAAGGTATTGAAGTAGGAGGAGCAGGACAGGAACCTCTGTAAGACAGGTGTGCTATGAGTCAGTTGGGCCTTGCCTAGCACTGTTGTCTTCCACTGAGGGCGGGAGAGGGGGAGGGGGAGGAAGGAGGGGGACAGGGGGACAGGGGGTAGGTAACTCACCTTTTTCACTGCAGTATCAGTCTGCTCCCACTCCCCTTAGGTGTCCCCTTCACCACACCAACATACGCTGCAGGTACTAACTTCCTTGTTTACACTGTCTTGCTGTTAGGTCAATGACAGCATGAAATCATTTATTTGTTCATGAACTCCCCGACAGTGTGTGTGTGTGTGTGTGCGTGTGTGTGAATGGCTTTTCCCCACCCATGAGCAGTATGTCATTAGTGTGTAGTGTGTAACATGAGTCACCTGTCTTTACCTGTGTGTGTGGACACACCCTGCTGCTGTTACTGAGAGGGAAGCACTTCCTCTAGAGACAGAAACCTCAATGGAAAAAGGAGGGGTGAATCAAAATAGAGAGTCAAGCGTTGCTGTTTGTGTGTCTTTGTGTGTTTGCTCAAGATTCTTTGTTGCTGAGGATAGTCTTTTGTCAATGAGGATAGTCTTTTGTCCATGAGGATAGTATTTTGCAAATAAACCTACCATTAAAATTATAGACTGATCATGTCTTTGTCAGTGGGCAAACGTACAAAATCAGCAGGGGATCAAATACTTTTTTCCCTCACTGTACATTTATCAGACACATAGTGATGTTTTCCTACCTCGCTCTAACTTTTAATAACCTCCCCTCAACTACCTCTTCAACCTCATATGACAAAGGCAAAAACCCTTTTGAGAACAAGATGGCCACACCCCCCACTTTTGAGTTTTTATGACTACACACCACTGTCCCCCACCCCACTCCTGTTGCCACATAACTTCATTTTCCATATTACTATGCGTTTCTTGTAGAAAACGTATGTCACTTCCCTTTCCCCTAGATAACTCATACACAACGGGTCTTTTTTTAACGTCTCTCGCCCCATTTACATTTAAAGAAGACATTTTAAAACTGCTCATGGATGAAAAAAAAAAATACAGAGGAAGACACAGAAACCACATCTCTTTACAGAGTTAAGGCTGCGACTGAACTCTTTCATTTCCTTTAGAATTTATATCACTTATCACTCTCATGACCACTTTCTTGACTCTAGCAATTTCAGGGCTTGTCAAACCTCCCCCCATTATTTTTGACACCAGAAACTTTGCGGATTCAATAAACAATTCACTTTCAGGAAAAAAATCTGTTACATTATAATCCTGCATATATTTCTTCCCTTTTGTCAAATTCAGAAATTGACGTACCTTCTCAATCCCATACCTCCCTTCCACCCCATTTCTCTCACTATTTTGTTGTGACGCGTCAGATGACTCACTCTTGCTATCCTCCCCAGAAGAAAACTCCACCATCTCTACAACCTGTTGATCCTCAACTGATTTATCAATCTCTACCTTCCTCTTAGAATTAGACCCTTCACCACCCCTTAAATTCTTCCTCTTACTCCTCGGTACTTTGAAAACAGCTGCTTCCTTTTCCATTATTTCAATCTCCTCCTGACCTCCAATTTCATTTTCCAGCACCACCTCAGCGACCGCAGTCGCAATCTCACCGACTATTTCCCCTCTCTCTTTGTTCTGATCTACCACAATTGCCCCCGTAGCCACACTGCTTTTCTTTCCTACTTTCCCAACCACATCTGCCCACCTTCTCCCTTCCCCTCCACCCTTAGAATGTTCATCCCTTCGCGGGGGTGCATTAGCTGCACCAGCACTAGAGCTGCTACCGGGCTCTGCGCGATCGTTCTCGGGACAATAATGTACCAAATGCCCCTCTCTTCCACAGCCAAAGCATTTCATTGATTCAGTAGAAGCGTAGAAGACATAATCAAATCCATCAATCTGAAAAGTGAACGCTAAATTCATTTCGTCAGTGTCCTTCTTTAAAATCATATGCACTTGTCTCCTATGAGACACGACATGTTTCAGCAAAGGTGATTTGCATCCAAAAATAACCTTCTTTATTGTAGATACAAGTTGACCATGACAAGATAACTCTCGCTCCAACACTTAATCTCTAACAAATGGTGGCACGTTAGAAAGTATAACTTTCTTCGCCGGATTCATAAGAGGAAATACCGACGTCTGTGTCGCCCGCAACACAACACCACTTTCAACTATAGTATTCACCTTTTCAATGGAATCTAAGAATAGAACAGGGTAGGAAGGATCATTAGGGATGTGGTTGGTTGGTTCCTTGAAAACAGGGTTTTATTTGAGTTCGAAAAGTGGAGTAAGTTCTTGCTAAACAGACTAGCCTAACAACATGGTGTCACTGGGAAGCTGTAAGTTAGTGAGACAGATGGGTGGCGATACTGTGTGTGTGTGTGGGTTGAAGGGGGGTTATCTTTTGGCAGGAGTGGGCTGGTTGGCTGCTGGTAGGGGAAACCCTGGGGGAGGTTTTAGTAGGATGTTTGTTACACAGATAGAAACATGCTGGTTCTTTGGGAAGGGCTGTTTGGCTGTGATTCACACAAGTTCCCTTAGCTCTCCCAGACCCACCACCAGATATTGTGCAACATACCAAACAGTTAGCCCAACAACTATAGCCTAATCCAGTTGAAAGATACCCTAAAAGTCATTACGTCTTGGAACGATGTGAAACATATTAATCTTGAACATGCTCCCTTTGATCGCCTTATGGAGTGTGTCCATCAGCCTTGGATAGCATGGTGGAACACACACACACACAGAACTAGGGCTGGGAATTGCCAGGGACCTCACGAAACAATATTATCACCATACTTAGGTGCCGATACGATATCTATTGCGATTCTATATATATATTGCGATTCGATACTGTGATTTTATTGCGATTCGATGTTCCAACATATTGCTCACCATATGTCTGCTGCAGAGAGACAAGAGAGAGCCATGAGAAAACGAGTTTTGATCAGTCATGGAAATAATGTGCTGAAAGAAAATTGGCTCCCTATTTAAAAAGAAGATGTAGAACAAGCTATGAAGGAAAAATACTGGAGTTTGATGCAGGTACAGCCAACTAGCACAAAAATTATATTGCGACATTGACAAAACAATATGATATATCGTCAAAAATAATATGTAACCTTATTTCCCATCACTACACAGAACACACGTCAGTGCATGTAGGGTGCTGTGGAGGGGGAGTGAGAGGACCATATGTCATCCTGTGTCCTGCTGTGACATGATTTCTATGGATTTCACATGACTGGGCAGGGGCACAGCCAATCGGAATGAGTTTTTCCCCACAGAAGGGCTTTATTACAGACAGAAATACTCCTCGGCCCCCCCCCCCCGCTCCCTACTCAGACGATCCCGCAGGTGAAGAAGCCGGATGTGGAGGTCCAGGGCTGTCGTGGTTACACGTGGTCTGCGGTTGTGAGGCTGATTGGACGTACTAACAAATTCTCTAAAACGACGATGGAGGCGGCTTATGGTAGAGAAATAAACATTACATTCTCTGGCTACAGCTCTGGTGGACATTCCTGCAGTCAGCATGCCAATTGCACACTCCCTCAAAACTTGAGACATCTGTGGCATTACAATTATAGATTGATCATTTCTTTGTCAGTGGGCAAACGTACAAAATCAGCAGGGGATCAAATACTTTTTTCCCTCACTGTAGAAACTATTTTCCCTATGGTCAAATAAAATCCCAGAATGGTTTTGGCCACTGTAAAACCTACTACCAGATAGATGCTTCCAGAATAAGAAGTGTATGTTCACAGAAGTAGTTTGGACATAAAGAGACTAACATGGCTTTAGCTGCTGGGGAAACCATGTAACCATGACACTGGCTCTTCTTTAGGAACTGGCTGTGTGATCAAATAGAAACATGTCACCATGTATCACTGTCTGTCCCAGAATGCCCATGTTGATGCATCCCTACATTTGGGTAATTTACTCTGTTTCAATGTGCATCTAAATAAAATAGACCTATTGACCTGTGTCTCTGTGAAGGCTAGACTACGTACAGTTGAAGTCGGAAGTTTACATACACCTTAGCCAAATACATTTAAACTCAGTTTTTCCACAATTCCTGACATTTAATCCTAGTAAATATTCCCTGTCTTAGGTCAGTTAGGATCACCACTTTATTTGAAAAATGTGAAATGTCAGAATAATAGTAGAGAGAATGATTTATTTCAGCTTTTATTTCTTTCATCACATTCTCAGTTGGTCAGAAGTTTACATACACTCAATTAGTATTTGGTAGCATTGCCTTTAAATTGTTTAACTTGGGTCAAACGTTTCGGGTAGCCTTCCACAAGCTTCCCACAATAAATTGGGTGAATTTTTGCCCATTCCTCCTGACAGAGCTGGTGTAACTGAGTCAGGTTTGTAGGCCTCCTTGCTCGCACATGCTTTTTCAGTTCTGCCCACATATTTTCTATAGGATTGAGGTCAGGGCTTTGTGATGGCCACTCCAATACCTTGACTTTATTGCGACAAAACTTTAACTTCCTGACTGATGTTTTGAGATGTTGCTTCAATATATCCACATAATTTTCCTTCCTCATGATGCCATCTATTTTGTGAAGTGCACCAGTCCCTCCTGCAGCAAAGCACCCCCACATCATGATGCTGCCACCCCGTGCTTCACGGTTGGGATAGTGTTCTTCGGCTTGCAAGTTACCCCCTTTTTCCTCCAAACATAATGATGGTCATTATGGCCAAACAGTTCTATTTTTGTTTAATCAGACCAGAGGACATTTCTCCAAAAAGTACGATCTTTGTCCCCATGTGCAGTTGCAAACCGTAGTCTGGCTTTGTTATGGCGGTTTTGGAGCAGTGGCTTCTTCCTTGCTGAGCGGCCTTTCGGGTTATGTCGATATAGGACTCGTTTTAACTGTGGATATACATACTTTTGTACCTGTTTCCTCCAGCATCTTCACAAGGTCCTTTGCTGTTGTTCTGGGATTGATTTGCACTTTTCGCACCAAAGTACGTTCATCTCTAGGAGACAGAACGCGTCTCCTTCCTGAGCGGTATGACGGCTGCGTGGTCCCATGGTGTTTATACTTGCGTACTATTGTTTGTACAGATGAACGTGGTACCTTCAGGCGTTTGGAAATTGCTCCCAAGGATGAACCAGACTTGTGGAGGTCTTTTTTCTGAGGTCTTGGCTGATTTATTTTGATTTCCCCATGATGTCAAGCAAAGAGGCACTGAGTTTGAAGGTAGGGCTTGAAATACATCCAAAGGGTACACCTCCAATTGACGCAAATTATGTCAATTAGCCTATCAGAAGCTTCTAAAGCCATGACATCATTTTCTGAAATTTTCCAAGCTGTTTAAAGGCACAGTCAACTTAGTGTATGTAAACTTCTGACCCACTGGAATTGTGATACAGTGAATTATAAGTGAAATAATCTGTCTGTAAACAATTGTTGGAAAAATTACTTGTGTCATGCACAAAGTAGATGTCCTAACCGACTTGCCAAAACTATAGTTTGTTAACAAGAAATTTGTGGAGTGGTTGAAAAACGAGTTTTAATGACTCCAACCTAAGTATGTAAACTTCTGACTTCAACTGTATTTGTATACTGAATCCCTATGTGTATATTATTGACTCTGTCTGTTCAGGGAAAAGCACTCTAATCCCTTTAGAATCCCTATAGAAGGAGACCACTGCAACATCTAAAACTCACCTTGGCATTTCCTACCTTTTCCTCAGCCAGGCCTCTAATCTGTAATCTGGGTTTATGTCAGCTGCCCGCTGAGAGCTCTCTGAGATGATGCTACCCAGAAGGAATGTAATTTTTGGCCTCAGATAAACCCGTTCAGATTAGGTGAACCGTCAGACACTCGAAACCCTCAGCCCTTATCGAAGCGTTATTGAAATGTCATCTCAGCTAACCGTCAGACAACGGAAACCCTCTGCCTTTATCAAAGCGTTATTGAAATGTTATCTTGGACTCAGCAGGGCGGTCAGGGGTTCATTCAACAGCTGTTCACGGGGAGGGAGGGAGGTGGGGGAGGAGGTAGAACAGAGGGCTTGAGGGAGGGCATATTTATCATCTGTGTTCAACGGGGGGATAACGAGGTGAATGCACTCCAGATGGATTGTGTATGCGTGGGAGAGTGTGTGCGTGTGTGTGGCAGCAGTGCCTACGGAGGCGGTTGGCGGAGAGGCTGCTCTGCTTCAAGGCCAGATTCTCAGGCAGAGAGCTCAGTGAATCAGAGAGAGAGAGAAGAGAGAGAGAGAAGAGAGACAGAGACAGAGAGACAGAGACGGAGAGACAGAGAGACAGAGACAGAGAGAGAGAGAGAGAGAGAGAGAGGCTGACTTAGACACGCTCACTATGACCTGCCATCACCCCACTTCTACATGAATCCACCTCTGTGCACCCCTCCTTTCCTCCCCCAAGTCCCCTTCGCTCTTTCTCCTCCATTTTCTTCCTCTCCCTTATCTCTCCTCTCTTCTCCTCCTCTGTCCTCCCCCTCACTCTCTGTGTATATCTCTGATTCATACCATCCTGCACTGGCATCCAACGTGTTTCTCCATATTTAGTCCACTCTTTCTCTCCCTCCACTTCCTCCTCTCATCCTGTCACTGGAGTCACACCAACACTCTTCATCAATAAGTGCATCGATGACGTCGTCCCCACAGTGACCGTACGTACATACCCCAACCAGAAGCCATGGATTACAGGCAACATCCGCACTGAGCTAAAGGGAGAGCTGCCGCTTTCAAGGAGCAGGACTCTAACCCGGACAGTTATAAGATATCCCGCTATGCCCTCCGACGAACCATCAAACAGGCAAAGAGTCAATACAGTACTAAGATTGAATCGTACTACACCGGCTCCGATGCTCGTCGGATGTGGCAGGGCTTGCAAACTATTACGGACTACAAAGGGAAGCACAGCATCGAGCTGCACAGTGACACAAGCCTTCCAGACGAGCTTAATCACTTCTATGCTCACTTCGAGGCGTAGTCTGTAGCAATGAAGTGCTTTGAAAGGCTGGTCATGGCTCACATCAACACCATTATCCCAGAAACCCTAGACCCACTCCAATGTGCATACCGCCCCAACAGATCCACAGATGATTTAATCTCTATTGCACTCCACACTGCCCTTTCCCACCTGGACAAGAGGAACACCTATGTGAGAATGCTATTAATGGACTACAGCTCAGCGTTTAACACTATAGTGCCCTCAAAGCTCATCACTAAGCTAAGGACCCTGGGACTAAACACCTCCCTCTACAACTGGATCCTGGACTTCCTGATGGGCCGCCCCCAGGTGGTAAGGTTAGGTAACAACACATCTGCCACGCTGATCCTCAACACAGGGGCCCCTCAGGGGTGCGTGCTCAGTGTCGTCCTGTACTCCCTGTTCACCCATGACTGCATGGCCAGGCACGACTCCAACACCATCATTAAGTTTGCCGACGACACAACAGTGGTAGGCCTGATCACAGACAATGATGAGACAGCCTATAGGGAGGAGGTCAGAGTCCTGGCTGTGTGGTGCCAGGATAACAACCTTTCCCTCAATGTGATCAAGACAAAGGAGATGATTGTGGACCAACAAACGATCATGGTCCAAACACACCAAGACAGTCGTGTAGAGGGCATGACAAAGCCTATTCCCCCTCAGGAGACTGAAAAGATTTGGCATGGGTCCTCAGATCCTCAAAAAGTTATACAGCTGCACCATCGAGAGCATCCTGACTGGTTGCATCACTGCCTGGTATGGCAACTGCTCGGCTTCCGACCGCAAGGCACTACAGAGGGTAGTGCGTACGGCCCAGTACATCACTGGGGCCAAGCTTCCTGCCATCCAGGACCTCTATAGGTCCAGGCGGTATCAGACGGTATCAAAGGAAGGCCCTAAAAATGGTCAAAGACTCCAGCCACCATAGTCATAGACTGTTCTCCCTGCTACCGCACGGCAAGTGGTACCGTAGCGCCAAGTCTAGGACCAAAAGGCTTCTTAACAACTTCTACCCCCAAGCCATAAGACTCCTGAACAGCTAATCATGGCTACCCGGACTATTAGCATTGTCCCAGTGCGCCGGAGGGGAGCAACGGGAGGAGATGTGACAGAACCCCCCCCCCCCCCCCCCCCCCCCCCCCCGGACGCGCGGCTCCAGCCGCTGGACATCGCCGGCCAGGAGGATGACCCCGAGGACGAGGAGCGGGTCCAGTCAGGGCGGCGATGGTGGAAGTCCCGAATTAGGTTGGGGGTCCAGAACGTCCCCAGCTGGAACCCAGCTCCTTTCCTCAGGACCTTACCCATCCCAGTCCACCAGGTAATGGAGTGTCCCCCACGGAACCTGGAGTCCAGCAGGTCCCTCACCGCATACGCCGGACTCCCGTCAATGTCCAGGTGCGGAGGAGGCGTACCCCGGGGGACGGCATCCGACAGAGGACCAGGAACCACCGGCCTGAGGAGAGACACATGAAAAGTGGGTGAGACACGGTAGTGAGGGGGAAGGAGCAGCCGGTATGATACCTCATTTATCCGACGGAGGACCTTAAATGGCCCCACAAACCGGGGGCTCAGTTTCTTGCAGGGCAGGCGGAGAGGGAGGTTTTTTGTGGACAGCCAGACACGATCCCCAGGCTAGAATACAGCGGCCTCACTGCGGTGGCAGTTGGCTTGGTTCTTCCGCCGACGAATGGCCCTCTGGAGATGGACATGGGCGGCGTCCCAGACCTGTGGAACCACTCGTCCACATCGGTCTGGCTGGGTATCCAAGGGGCCAGGGCCGGCTGGTACCCCAGGACGCACTGGAAGGGAGTGAGCCCCGTGGAGGAGTGAACGAGGGAGTTCTGGGCATATTCTGCCCAGGCAAGAAACCTTGCCCACTCACCCTGCCGGTCCTGACAGTGGAAACGAAGAAACCTCCCCAGCTCCTGGTTCATGCGCTCCACCTGCCCATTCGACTGAGGCCTATACCCGGAAGTGAGGCTGGCCGTGGCCCCGATCTTCTCCAGGAAAGCCTTCCACACTCGGGAGGTGAATTGGGGGCCACGGTCCGAGACGATGTCCTCCAGAAGTCCATAATGCCGGAAGACCTGTTGGAACAGGACCTCAGCGACCTGGAGAGCAGAAGGAAGACCAGTAAGTGGCAAAAACGGCATGATTTGGAGAACCGATCTACGACCACCATGAATGTGGTGAAGCCGTCAGAACGTGGAAGGTCGGTGACAAAGTCTATGGACAGGTGTGACCAAGGTCACTGAGGCAATGGGAGAGGAACTAGTTTGCCTGCCGGGGCGTTCTGAGGTGTCTTCATTTGGGCACATACGGAACAGGAGTTGACATAGCGGGAGACATCAGAAGCCAAGGTGGGCCACCAGTATTTTGGGGCTAGAGAATGCAGTGTGCGTGTAATAGCAGAGTGCCCTGCCGTAAGGATAGTGTGCGCCCAGATCAGCATGCGGTCACGGACACTGGTGGGTACATACACGCGCCACGGAGGGGCGTTGGCAGGTGCTGGGTCCTCCTGAGCCGCCAGGCGGATGTCTTCGTCCACATCCCAAATGACAGGTGCAATGATGAGAGACGAGGGCAGGATAGGACTCCCCAGATCCTTCCTTTCTCCGGTATGGTGCATCCTGGAGAGTGCGTCGGCCTTCACATTCTGGGATCCTGGGCGGTAGGACAGAATGAATTGGAAGCGAGTGAGAAATTGAGCCCACCTGGCTTGACGAGAGTTCATCCGTTTCGCTGCCCATATGTGCTCCAAATTCCGGAGGTCAGTAAGAATCCGGAATGGATGGACTGCACCCTCCAGCCAGTGTCTCCATTCCTCCAGAGCGAGGACCACCGCCAACAGCTCCCTGTCTCCAACTCCATAGTTCCTCTCTGCGGGGGTAAGCTTTTTAGAGAAAAGGGCACAGGGATACATTTTCTCTGGCTTACCGTGCCGCTAGGAGAGGACCGCACCCACGCCCTCCTCCGATGCGTCCACCTCCAGGATGAAATGACGAGAAGGATCTGGGTGTTTTAGGATGGGCACTGTGGTGAACCTCTCCTTCAGCCGGTAGAAATTAGCGAAGCCCAGGAATTTCTGTAGGCCCTTGATGGTGGTGGGAACTGGCCATGACCTGACTGGTCCGTCTTCACTCCTTCCATGAACACCCCCTGAGGACTGATCCGGTATCCCAGGAAGGAGGGGGAGAAATTCGCATTTCTCCCCCTTCACCAACAGGCTGTGTTCCCGGAGGCGGAGTAGGACAGCTCGGACGACCCTGACGTGCTCCTCGAACGTAGCCAAGTAGATCAGGATATCGTCGATGTACACCAACACCTGTCTACTCAGCATTTCCTGGAACACGTCATTGACGAAGGACTGGAACTCAGAAGGTGCGTTGGCGAGGCCGTAGGGCATGATGCAGTATTCATAGTGGCCTGAGGTAGTGCTGAATGCCGTCTTCCATTCGTCTCCTTCCCAGATTCGGATCAGGTTGTAGGCACTCCTCAGGTCCAACTTGGTAAAGTACCAGGCCCCTCGTAGCTGCTCGATGGCCGACGGAACCAGAGGGAGGGGGTACCGGTACTTGGTGGTGACTGCGTTCAGCCCCCTGTAGTCAATGCATGGTCTCAGTCCTCCCTTTTTTGGCCACGAAGAAGAAGCTGGCGGAGGCAGGAGAGGTAGAGTGTCTGATGAACCCCTGTTTCAGGGTCTCTGCCACATACTTCTCCATGGCCTCAGTCTCCGCCATGGAAAGGGGGTAAATGCGACACTGGCGCAGTCCCAGGGCCTGTGAGGAGGGAGACACATAGCCTTTAATGAAGAGAAGACATCGGAGAGATCTGCGTACTCACGTGGAATGTTGGGCTGGAGGGTGGACTCCGGACTCTTCACTGATGTGGAACAACAAACCACCAGCAGGCAGGTCTTCCGGCATGAGGTGGACCAGGCTGTGATCCTCTTGGTGCTCCAATTGATGGTGGGGTTGTTTAGTCTGAGCCAGGGCAATCCCAAGACGATCCAGTGAAGGGGTGACGTGACGATGTGGATTGACAGCTCCTCGTGGTGCTCCAGTAGTGTGGGAATGGTGATGGGGAGAGTGACGTGCGTAATGGTGCCTGATCCAAGGGTTTTATTGTACAGTGAGGTGACGTGTAGCTGGGATAGCAGTGGCACGGTGGGCAACCACCATTCAGAGACCAGCTCCCTATCTATAAGGTTCCCCGCCGATCCGGAATCTATCATTGCAGTAGAAATAGAAGAGAAGGAATAACCAGTCACCGTTATGGGAACTAAAAACAATGGTTTTGTGATAGGAGCTGACGTAACACTCACGGAGCGGCGACGGGAGTCATACCGCCTAGATAGGGAGCCACCAGGAGATCTGTGGTCTGTGGTGGTGTAGGGTGTGCTGCCCACTTCCATAGGTGAGGACTCAGAAGCAGGGCGGCTTCCATAGCTCAGATGGGGTGAGCATCGAGGCTCCGGGAGGTGTTGGGGACGTCGTCTCTCTCTCAACATGTCGTCAAGACGGATGGACGTGGTGATGAGGGTATCAAAGTCCATCTCGTCGTCCCGACATGCTAGTTCCGTCTTGATGTCCTCCCGTAAGCCTCTCCTGAAGGCAGTGCGCAGAGCACACTCATTCCAGCCAGAAGACGCCGCTACCGTGCGAAAGCTCAGAGCGTACTCGGACGCGGGCCCCTCTCGCTGTTGTAGATGGAGACGCTCACCCCCGTCCTTTCCCTCCGTGGGATGATCAAACACTGCCCTGAACCGAGCGAGGAAGGTGGGGTAGGGATGCGCCACTGCCTCCTCTCCTTCCCAGACTGCCGTGGCCCAATCCAGCGCCTTTCCTTTAAGGAGCGAAATCACCAGCGCTATCCTGGCTTGGTCAGATGGATATGCCCCAGGCTGACGCGCCAGATAAAGTGAAACCTGTAGCAGGAAGCCGCTACATTTAGTGATTTTACCGTCACAGCGCTCCGGTAGGATGAGGGTTCCCGCAGAAGTGGGTGATAGTACGGAAACAGGTGGATTGGGGGCACTCGCCGCTCCCTGGGGTGGAACCGGAGCGCTGGGCAGATTTTGCAGAGTTTGGAGCACTTCCTGCATGGCGGCATTCAACTGGGCAAGCTGCTGCTGGTGCTGGTCGAGGCACTGGGAAACTCCTGCTGCATCCATTTTCGTTTGGTGTGTGATTCTGTGACGAGTACTGAGTATACAAAGAGGCAGGATGCAGACGCAGGAATAAAAAGGTCAAGGTTTACTTAACAATGATAAAGAGAAATAACAAAGATAGAGTAAACGACACGAAGCTAAACAATCACACACAATATCATACCGAACAGTCCAGGGCTAAATAGGGGTGGTGATGAGGTGCAGATGCGCTGGAGGTGATTAGGGTGCGTTGGGTTTCCATTCCGGTGTTGCCGAGGTGGTGCGCTCAGACCGGTGGCTAAGGAGACCGGCGAATCAGAGCTACGGAGGGGAGCAACGGGAGGAGACGTGACACTCAATTACCTTGACTAACCGGTGACCCCGCACATTGACTCTGTACCGGTAACCCCTGTATATAGCCTCCCTACTGTTATTTTATTTTACTGCTGCTCTTTAATTTTTTTTATTTTTTTATTTTTTACTTATCTATTTTTTACTTTACACTTATTTTTCTTAAAACTGCATTGTTGTTTAAGGGCTTGTAAGTAAGCATTTCACTGTAAGGTCTACACCTGTTGTATTCGGCACATGTGGCAAATAACATTTGATTTGATTTGAACACTCATCAGCCGGCTCACGTCTTTCCATATGTCCTTCTCCGTCAGAGCACTGCCGCTAAACACTAGTAGCTTGCTACTTTAATCTATCACTGTTTTCTGGTCGTCTCTGTTGTCTTTCCCTTTTCCCCTTTTCCTTCCTCCTTTCATTTGCTTAATCTCTCTCCACCCCCTCTCTCTCTCAAATGGGAGTGACATATAAAATGCCTGTGTTTGAACAGATGGGTAATACACCACACCTTGTTGAGCATAGAGGGTCATTACCAGGGTTGCTAAAGTCTGATGTGGGAATTGGGAATCCAACTACAGGCAGTTCAATTATGTTTCTAGCCCCGTTTGCCTTTACCATTACTTTCAGGGTTTATGGGTTGCCCGATTTGTCAGGTGCTATTTGAAAATACTGTTGACAAATGTTCTTACATTATTTTATGTAATCCACAGAGAATACGAGTCAGGGGAAAAAAGTGGAAAAAGAACTGCCATCAAAGTGCCTTAAAAAAGTATAAATATTGTAGATTTATTTCCCAAACAGATTTTGAGATGTGAAGAATTCAGACATGAAAAGAAAACCACTAACACTTTAATCCTCAAAGCGTTTGGTCGGAATATTCTAGTATTTCTTCATCAAAGTTGGACATTCTAGTGTGTGTTTCTGCCTGTGTGTGTGTGTACTACAGTATCCTTTCTGAGGGCTAGAGCTGGGTGTGTGAACAAAATGAACACATAGCCAACACACAGTTGCGCCAGTAAAGCATTTGTATTGTAAATAAAGAACACACTGTTGTTTGGAAAGAAGTGGTTACAATTTTGTCATGAAATGCTCATTTCTGCTCAACTGAGTCTATTTGACCATTGTAGGTTTGGTGCATACAGTCTTCAGAAAGTATTCATACACCTTGAATATTTCTACATTTTCTTGTGCTACAGCCTGAATTGAAAATTGATTAAATTTAGATTTGGTGTCACTGATCTACACACAATACCCCATAATGTTTAAGGGGAATTATGTTTTTAGAAATTAATAAAAAATGTAAAGCTGAAATGTCTAGAGTCAATAAGTATTCAACCCCTTTGTTATGGCAAGCCTAAATAAGTTCAGGAGTAAAAATGTGCTTAACAAGTCAGATAATACGTTGTATAGACTAACTATGTGCAATAATGGTGTTTAACATGATTTTTGAATGACTACCTCATCTCTGTACCCCACACATACAATTATCTGTAAGGCCCTCAGTCGAGCAGTGAATTTCAAGCACAAACTCAACGACAAAGACCAGGGAGGTTTTCCAATGCCTCGCATAGAAGTGCACCTATTGGTAGGTGGGTTAAAAAAAAGCAGACATTGAATATCCCTTTGAGCATGGTGAAGTTATTAATTACACTTTGGATAGTGTATCAATACACCCAGGCACTACAAAAATAAAGGGGTCCTTCCTAACTCAGTAGACGGAGAGGAAGGAAACCGCTCAGGGATTTCACCATGTTAAATGGCTGTGATGGGTTAAATGGCTGTGATGGGAGAACTGAGGATGGATCAACAACATTGTAGTTACTCCACAATACTAACCTAAATGACAGAGTGAAAAGAAGGAAGCCTGTACAAAATAAAAAATATTCCAAAACATGCATCCTGTTTTCAATAAGGCACTAAAGTAATTCTACAAAAAATGTGGAAAAGAAATTAACTTTTTGACCCGAATGCAAAGCATTATGTTTGGGGCAAATCCAACACAACACATCACTGAGTACCACTCTTCATATTTTCAAGCATGGTGGTGGCTGCATCATGTTATGGGTATGCTTGTCATCGACAAATACTGGGGAGTTTTTTAGGATGAAAAAAAAGGAATAGAGTCTGCTTTCCAACAGATGCTGGGAAACAATTCCACCTTTCAGCAGGACAATAACCTAAAACGCAAGGCAAAATATACACTGGAGTTACTTACCAAGATGACATTGAGTCCCGTGTAGCTCAGTTGGTAGAGCATGGCATTTGCAACGCCAGGGTTGTGGGTTCGTTTCCCACGGGGGACCAGTATGTAAAAATAAAATGAAAATAAACATGTATGCACTCACTAACTGTAAGTCGCTCTGGATAAGAGCGTCTGCTAAATGACCAAAAAAAAAAAATAATGTTCCTGAGTAGCCTAGTTACAGTTTTGACTTAAATCGGCTTGAAAATCTATGGCAAGACTTGAAAATGACTGTCTAGCAGTGATCAACAACCAACTTGACAGAGCTTGAATAATTTAAAAAGGATCATGTGGAAATATTGTACAATCCAGGTTTGCAAAGCTCTTAGAGACTTACCCAGAAAGACTGACAGCTGTAATCGCTGCCAAAGGTGATTCTAACATGTGATTCTAACAGGGGGTTGAATACTTACACTACATGACCAAAAGTATCTGGACACCTGCTCGTCGAACATCTAATTCCAAAATCATGGGCATTAATATGAAGTTGGTCCCCCCTTTGCTGCTATAACAGCCTCCAACTCTTCTGGGAAGGCTTTCCACTAGATGTTGGAACATTGCTGCAGGGACTTGCTTCCATTCAACCAGAAGAGCGTTAGTGAGGACGGGCACTGATGTTGGGCGATTAGGCCTGGCTCGCAGTTGGCATTCCATTTCAACCCAAAGGTGTTCGACGGGGTTGAGGTCAGGGCTCTGCAGGCCAGTCAAGTTCTTCCACACCGATCTTGACAAAACATTTCTGTATGGACCTCGCTTTGTGCACAGGGGCATTGCTGAAACAGGAAAGGGCCTTCCCCAAACTGTTGCCACAAAGTTGGAAGCACAAAATTGTCTAGAATGTAATTGTATGCTGTAGTGTTAAGATTTCCCTTCACTGTACCTAACTAAGGGGCCTAGCCTGAACCATGAAAACAGCCCCAGACCATTATTCCTCCTCCACCAAACTTTACAGTTGGCACTATGCATTGGGGCTGGTAGCATTCTCCTGGCATCCGCCAAACCCAGATTTGTCCGTCTGACTGCCAGATGGTGAGGCGTGATTCATCACTCCAGAGAAGGCGTTTCCACTGCTCCAGAGTCCAATGGTGGCGAGCTTTACACCACTCCAGCCGACGCTTGGCATTGCGCATGGTGAGCTTAGGCTTGTGTGCGGCTGCTCGGCCATGTTGCTTCCAGAGGCAGTTTGGAACTCGGTAGTGAGTGTTGCAACCGAAGACAGACAATTTTTACGCGCTACGCGCTTTAGCACTCAGCGGTCCCGTTCTGTGCGCTTGTGTGGCCTACCACTTCGCGGCTGAGCCGTTGTTGCTCCTAGACGTTTCCACATCACAATAACAGCACTTGTTGGAAAGGTGGCATCGTATGACGGTGCCACAGTGAAAGTCACTGAGCTCTTCAGGAAGGCCATTCTACTGTCAATTTTTATGTATGGAGACTGCATGGCTGTGTGCTCGATTTTATACACCTGTCAGCAACGGGTGTGGCTGAAATAGCCGAATCCACTAAATTGAAGGGATGTCCAAATACTTTTGTATATATAGTGTATCTAATCAAAATATATTAGTGTTTTATTTTACATTAATTTAAAAAGAAGTTAGAATGTTTCTACCACTATGAATTAAATCATTTTAATTCCACTTTGTAACACATCAAAATGTGGAATAAGTCAAGGGGTGTGAATTCTTTCTGAAGGAACTGAACAGTGGCTTGCGAAAGGATTCACCCCCCATGGCATTTTTCCTACTTTGTTGCCTTACAACCTGGAATTAAAATAGATTTTTGGGGGGGTTTGTGTCATTTGATTTACACAACATGCCTACCACTTTGAAGTTGCAAAATAATTTTTTTTGTGAAACAAACAACAAATAAGACAAAAAAACAGACAACTTGAGTGTGCATAACTATTCACCCCCCAAAGTCAATACTTTGTAGACCCACTATTTGCAGCAATTACAGCTGCAAGTCTCTTGGGGTGTGTCTATAAGCTTGGTACATCTAGTCGCTGGGATTTTTATGCCCATTCTTCAAGGCAAAACTACTCCAGCTCCTTCAAGTTGGATGGGTTCCGCTGGTGTACAGCAATCTTTAAGTCATACCACATATTCTCAATTGGATTGAGGTCTGGGCTTTGACTAGGCCATTCCAAGACATTTAAATGTTTCCCCTTAAACCACTCGAGTGTCGCTTTAGCAATATGCTTAGGGTCATTGTCCTGCTGGAAGGTGAACCGCCGTCCCAGTCTCAAATCTCTGGAAGACAAACAGGTTTCCCTCAAGAATTTCCCTGTATTCAGCGCCATCCATCATTCCTTCAATTTTGACCAGTTTCCCAGTCCCTGCCGATGAAAAACATCCCCACAGCATGATGCTGCCACCACCATGCTTCACTGTGGGGATGGTGTTCTCGGGGTGATGAGAGGTGTTGGGTTTGCGCCAGACATAGCGTTTTCCTTGATGGCCGAAAAGCTCAATTTTAGTCTCATCTGACGAGAGTACCTTCTTCCATATGTTTGGCGAGTCTCCCACATGCCTTTTGGCGAACACCAAATGTTTTTTCTGGCCACTCTTCCGTAAAGCCCAGCTCTGTGGAGTGTACGGCTTAAAGTGGTCCTATGGACAGATACTCCAATCTCTGCTGTGGAGTTTTGCATCTCCTTCAGGGTTATCTTTGGTCTCTTTGTTGCCTCTCTGATTAATGCCCTCCTTGCCTGGTCCGTGAGTTTGGTGGGCGGCCCTCTCTTGGCAGGTTTGTTGTGGTGCCATATTCTTTCCATTTTTTTATAATGGATTTAATGGTGGTCCATGGGATGTTAAAAGTTACTGATATTTTTTTATAACCCAACCCTGATCTGTACTTCTCCACAACTTTGTCCCTGACCTGTTTGGAGAACTCCTTGGTCTTCATGGTGCCGCTTGCTTGGTGGTGCCGCTTGCTTGGTGGTGCCCCTTGCTTAGTGGTGTTGCAGACTCTGGGGCCTTTCTGAACAGGTGTATATATACTGAGCTCATGTGACATAGATTGCACGCAGGTGGAGTTTATTTAACTAATTATGTGACTTCTGAAGGGAATTGGTTGCACCAGATCTTATTTAGGGGCAATTTTTGAAACAAAGTATTTTTTTCATTTCACTTCACCAATTTGGACTATTTTGTGTATGTCCATTACATGAAATCCAAATAAAACTATTTAAATGACAGGTTCTAATGCAACAAAATAGGAAAAATGCCAAGGGGGATGAATACTTTTGCTAGGCACTGTATGTATGTGTACTGCCTGCAGAACTAGTATTGTGTGTGTTGCATGTTGTGATTGTTTGAACACAATAGTAAACATCGCTCTCTTCTTTCTCAGGTGATATCACTCAGAAGGGATATGAGAAGAAAAAGACTAAACTTCTGCTTCCCTTCTTCATTCAAACACCAGGTAAGAAACATTGACCTATCCTCTTATCCTGGATTTAAAAAAAATCTCCTCTTTTCCCACTCATAGAATTTGAGCCATGTGACACTTAGGCCTATGAGAACATACCTTTCATATCCAACTACTGTTTTTGTTTGGTTTTAGTTTATTTACAAAAATCATCATGATGTTCATGGTCATAGCTGTTTGGTGCTCACTGCTTCCTCTCAGTGGTAGCTCCGGTCACTACAGTTTATCCAGTCTTTCCTCCAGTCCAGTTCAGAGAAAGACCATTATCCTCTCCTGACAGCCAGGCACCACTTCCCTCTTTATTAGCCCACTAACGATTGTCTGTAAATATCAGCTATTCTCGGGAATTACTAAAGCTGCTCCCATGTTTACAATGTCTTGATGAGCTGTTATGGTTAGACGGAATCCTTTTATAAACATCTTTAAAACATTTATGAAAATACTTTATGTTGTAAAAGCACATGTAGAACCTAATGACATTTTGTAAGATTGTATCAGATTATAGGATGATTTCTCTTGAGTTGATTAGGAATCTCTATTTGAGAGGCTGCAATACTCTTCATCATGTGATGTAACATAGCATCACTTACTGACTTGGTCACATAGACGTCAGGTCTAGGGCTGTTACGGTGACCGTATTACAACCACACCGGAGGTCACGAGTCATGATGGCAGTCAAATTTCACGTGACCGTTTAGTCATGGTAGTTAGTCTTCTCCAAGCTCTGATGCTGCTGATTGTCATTAGTAGCCTACCAAACGTGCCAACTGCCTGGTACTAGTTTATCAACATTTTAAGCTAAATGTTCTGATCTGTTGCATCAGCCTCATTGCTTTTAAACGTTTTTTTAACGCTAGTGGTTGTATTCATTTGGGATCTATCGCCTCCCACAACTGTCCCAGACTCTGCTTGATTATTTATTTCTCGTACAGAATAGAATATGTCAACTTTTGTACTATGGGGGATAGTAAATGGACATAGGCTAGTGCTTTTGCTGTTCGTTAGGCCTACTCATCTTGTTGGCTGACGAAAAGTTAATTGGTAGTTCTTCCAATATATTCAATATGTGCATAAATAACTCTAAATTAAACATATAGGAGGACCTGTTGCTTTAAAAAAAAAAATTGTCTGTCGGCTATAGATAGATTGTAACTTCCATCAATGTAATTGTCTGCATCACTTCCAATCCCCCATGTTTTTTATATATATACTCCCCTTTATTACTTTTCAACCCCGCCATCCTTTCCCTACTTGGGGTAAATTAGTGAACAACAATGCCCAGGCCTCTACTTCCAGCCTATACTTACTATCTACACCTTATGGACACAGTCAATTTTACAATAATTCTATTTTATTTGTTTTTGCTCCTGAACTTCTTCTACTCTCAACCTCTCCGATCATTTTCATGATGTCCATCCGGTTTGCTTCTATATGCCATATCTTTCTAACTGTGCTCTTTCCCAAAAGCTCCCAACATACAACCTATATACTTATTATGGACACAGTATGCTTACATTATTAATTATCTTGTTATTATTTGTTGTTATTTGTTATTTGTCCCATCCTTCAACTCCATTAAATATCTCCCATCTATCTCGTAACACCATCCATATAGGATTTCTATTTGCCATATATATTTCAACCGTACTGTGATGTTTTACAAAAGTTCTGAACCTTTCTATTCTCATTGCTTCTACAGATTGTGAATTAAAAATAAACATTTTTGCTAAAAGTATTATTATATTATTGATCGATTGACTGACTTTTCAGATCACCCAGTAGTGCTATCTGCAGGGTTAGCTTCAGGTAAATATTGCAATCCTTTAGCCATTCCTGGACCTGTGTCCAAAAACAAGCTACAAATGGACAGAACCAAAACAAATGATCTAATGATTCTGTCTCTTCACAGCAAAATCTGCAAAGCTGGGAAGATTGTATCCCCCATATAAATAACATTCTATTGGTAGCAAGAATTTTATATAATAATTTAAATTGAAAGATTCTAATTTTTGAATCCGGTGTCGTTTTACATGTCAGTTCATAAACACTATGCCATGGGATCGGTACGTCAAAAATCTCTTCCCAACTATTTTGCAATCTATATGGGACGGCTGTAAATCCTTTGGTCCTCAAATGAAACTGATATACTTTTTTATTTATCACAGTTTTCAATTATGTTCTTTAATGCAAGGCCGACAGACAAGTTCCTTACTTTCTCCCCCTTCCACTTTCCTCTTCCACTTTTGCGGTAAGGCTGCAATTATTTGGTTGTAATTTTGGGTAGAGCAGACATGTTTTTGTTAGCTGCATGTGCGACATAACTCCACCAGTCCTACCGATGATATCATTTACGAAGATTATACCTTTTTTAAACATTCTGTCAAAAAATAAAGGTTTTTTGTCAATTAGTATATTTGAATTTAACCACAATATTTGTTGCATTATTTGTTCTGTCGTTTCTGGAGGATTAAATTGAAATTGCAACCAACTTTCTATGGCTTGTTTTAGAAATAGTGATATTTGCGAGATGATTTCCTTTTCAAATAACTGAACATGAGTGGTTGTAATCTGAATAAAGGGAAAAAGGCCATTCTTGAACATTGCGTGAGACAATCTTACTAATTTGCTTGAGAACCAGTTCGGATTTAAGTATAACTTTTGTATGACTGAAGCTTTTAGTGATAGGTCTAATGCTTTAATATTTAATAATTTCTGTCCTCCGAATTCATATTCATTATATAAATAGGCCCTTTTAATTTTGTCTGGCTTGCCGTTCCAAATAAAATTGAATATTTTTTTCTAATATAATTTAAAAAACTGTTCGCTAGGTGTAGGCAAGACCATAAGCAAATAGGTAAACTGGGATAATACTAAAGAGTTAATTAGGGTGATTTTTCCACAAATTGACAGGTATTTACCTTTCCATGGTAGCAAGATCTTATCTATTTTTGCTAACTTTCTATTAAAATTATTTGAAGTGAGATCATTTATTTCCTTTGGGATATGTATTCCGAGTATATCCACATCACCATCAGACCATTTTATTGGTAAACTACATGGTAATGTAAATTTTTTATTTTTTAGTGATCCAATACGTAATATAGTACATTTGTCATAATTTAGTTGTAATCCAGAGAGGTTAGAAAATGTATCTAGATCCTCTATGAGGCTGTGGAGGGATTCTAGTTGTGGATTTAAAAGAAAACATGAATCATCAGCATACAATGACACCTTTGTTTTTAAGCCCTGGATTTCTAATCCTCTGATATTATTATTGGATCTGATTTTAATAGCTAACATCTCGATGGCCACAATAAATAGATATGCCGATAGTGGACAACCTTGTTTCACTCCTCTTGACAGTTTAATACTTTCTGAGAAATAGCCATTATTTACTATTTTACACCTATTTTCTATGGGGTTGAGATCTGGAGACTGGCTAGGCCACTCCAGGACCTTGAAATGCTTCTTACGAAGCCACTCCTTCATTGCCCAGGCGGTGTGTTTAGGATCATTGTCATGCTATAAGACCCAGCCACGTTTCATCTTCAATGCCCTTGCTGATGGAAGGAGGTTTTCACTCAAAATCTTACGATACATGGCCCCATTCATTCTTTCCTTTACACGGATCAGTCGTCCTGGTCCCTTTGCAGAAAAACAGCCCCAAAGCATGATGTTTCCACCCCCATGCTTCACAGTAGGTATGGTGTTCTTTGGATGCAACTCAGCATTCTTTGTCCTCCAAACACCACGAGTTGAGTTTTTACCAAAATGTTCTATTTTGGTTTCATCTGACCATATGACATTCTCCCAATCCTCTTCTGGATCATCCAAATGCACTCTAGCAAACTTCAGACGGGCCTGGACATGTACTAGCTTAAGCAGGGGGACACGTCTGGCACTGCAGGATTTGAGTCCCTGGCGGCGTAGTGTGTTACTGATGGTAGGCTTTGTTACTTTGGTCCCAGCTCTCTGCATGTCATTCACTAGGTCCCCCCGTGTGGTTCTGGGATTTTTGCTCACCGTTCTTGTGATCATTTTGACCCCACGGGGTGAGATCTTGCGTGGAGCCCCAGATCGAGGGAGATTATCAGTGGTCTTGTATGTCTTCCATTTCCTAATAATTGCTCCCACAGATGATTTCTTCAAACCAAGCTGCTTACCTATTGCAGATTCAGTCTTCCCAGCCTGGTGCAGGTCTACAATTTTGTTTCTGGTGTCCTTTGACAGCTCTTTGTTCTTGGCCATAGTGGAGTTTGGAGTGTGACTGTTTGAGGTTGTGGACAGGTGTCTTTTATACTGATAACAAGTTCAAACAGGTGCCATTAATACAGGTAACGAGTGGAGGACAGAGGAGCCTCTTAAAGAAGAAGTTACAGGTCTGTGAGAGCCAGAAATCTTGCTTGTTTGTAGGTGACCAAATACTTATTTTCCACCATAATTTGCAAATAAATTCATAAAAAATCCTACAATGTGATTTTCTGGATTTTTTTTCCTCAATTTGTCTGTCATAGTTGACGTGTACCTATGATGAAAATTACAGGTCTCTCTCATCTTTTTAAGTGGGAGAACTTGCACAATTGGTGGCTGACTAAATACTTTTTTCCCCCACTGTATAAACCCCAGTCGTACTTTATCAAATGCCTTTTCGAAGTCTGCTATGAATAGCAGGCCTGGTTTCCCATATTTCCCATAGTGTTCTATTGTTTCCAATACTTGCCTTATATTATCTCCAATGTATCTTCCATGTAAAAAACCTGTCTGATTAGAATGAATAATATCCGACAATACCTTTTTAATTCTATGCGCTATACATTTTGCTAGAATTTTAGCATCACAACACTGAAGTGTAAGGGGCTTCCAATTATTTAAATGGACTGGATCTTTATATTTTCCACTTGTATCCTGTTTCAGTAATAATGAGATCAGACCTTCTTCTTGAGTGTCAGATAATCTACCATTTACATAGGAGTGGTTAAAACATGCTAATAAGGGTCCTCTTAGTATATCAAACAAGGTTTGGTATACCTTGACTGGTATGCCATCCAACCCTGGAGTTTTCCTGGACTTAAAATCTTTAATTGCATCCAGAAGTTCCTCCTCTGTAATTTCACCTTCACATGAGTCTTTCTGTATGGCTGTTAATTTTACATTATCAATAGAAAAAAAATCTCTACAATTAGCTTCAGTTAGAGGAGATGGATGCGACTGAAAAGAAAACATATGCTTAAAGTACTTTGTTTCCTCCTTCAAAATATCATTTGGTGAATCATGGGTGACTCCGTCAATTGTAACCAGTTTCATTAAGTTATTTTTGGTAGGATTCCTATGTTGAAGATTAAAAAAGAATTTTGTGCATTTTTCCCCATATTCCATCCAGTTTGCTTTATTTTTTATAATATATTACACTTGATCTTTCTTGAATAAGTTTCTCCATTTCTTTTTGTTTTTCCTCTAATTTATTCTGAGCCTCTATGTTACAGTTTTTATTGCCATCTATCTGTTCTGTTAGACTTTCTATTTCCTTTGTTAGTATAAACTCTTTTGACCTAAATTGCTTTTGTTTTCGAGATGAGTACTGAATTGCATGGCCTCTAAAGGCACATTTAAAGGTGTCCCATACAATAAGTGGATTTGCTGTACCTATGTTTGTGACACTCTGGCTCTGGGACTTTTGTATTTGAGCCAGGGTGTATTTTGTTTTGTGGGGTTTTGGTTGTATTTCTATGTTTGCATTTCTGTGGGTGTATTTCTATCACGTCTATGACTCCCAATCGGAGGTAACGAGTGTCAGCTGTCGGCTCGTTATCTCTGATTGGGAGCCATATTTAATCTAAATGTTTTCCTGTGGGAATTGTGGGTTTTTGTTCCAAGTTTAGTCTTTGTTACTGTTGGACTTCACTTTCGTCTTTTGTTTTGTATTGACGTGCTTTTCTAATTAAAAGTCATCATGTTCACTCGCAACGCTGCGCCTTGGTCTCCTGTTTTAGACGATCGTGACAGAAAAACCCACCATAAGAGGACCAAGCAGCGTGTCAAGCGGCAACAGGACCCAGCTCCAAAGGATTCATGGACATGGGAGGAGATACTGGCTGGAAAGGGTCCTTGGGCACAACCGGGAGAATATCGCCGCCCTCGTGAAGAGCTGGAGGCAGCTAAAGCCGAGAGGAGGCGGTATGAGGAGGCAGCACGGAGTCAAGGCTGGAAGCCCGTGGGTACTACCCAAAAATTTATTGGGGGGGGGCTAAAAGGGAGTGTGGCGAAGTCAGGTAGGAGACCTGCGCCTACTCCCTGGACTTACCGTGGAGAGCGAGAGTACGGGCAGACACCGTGTTACGCAGTAGAGCGCATGGTGTCTCCTGTACGCAGGCATAGCCCGGTTCGGTACATTCCAGCTCCACGTATCGGCCGGGCTAGATTGAGCGTTGAGCCGAATGTCATGAAGCCGGCCCAACGCATCAGGCCACCAGTGCGTCTTCTCGGGCCGGCGTACATGGCACCAGCCTTACGCATGGTGTTCCCGGTTCGCCCACATAGGCCGGTGCGGGTTATTCCACCTCCCCGTACTGGTCGGGCGACGGGGAGCATCAACCCGGGTAAGGTTGGGCAGGCTCAGTGCTCAAGGGGGCCAGTAAGCCTGCACGGTCCGGTATTTCCGGCGCCACCTCCCCGCTCCAGCCCAGTACCACCAGTGCCTACACCACGCACCAAGCCTCCTGTGTGTTCCCCGAGTCCTGTGCGTCCTGTTGCTGCTCCCCGCACTAGCCCTGAGATGCGTGTCCTCAGCCCGGTACCTCCAGTTCCGGCACCACGCACCAGGCCTACGGTGCGCCTCAGACGGCCAGAGTCTGCCGTCTGCCCAACGGGGCCTGAACTGCCCGTCTGCCCAAAGGCGCTTAAGCCGCCCGTCTGCCATGAGCCTTCAGAGCCGTCCGCCAGACCGGAGCCGCTAGAGTCTTCCGCCAGACAGGATCAGCCAGAGCCTTCCGCCAGACAGGATCAGCCAGAGCCTTCCGCCAGCCATGAGCAGCCAGATCCGTCAGCCAGCCATGAGCAGCCAGATCCGTCAGCCAGCCATGAGCAGCCAGATCCGTCAGCCAGCCATGAGCAGCCAGATCCGTCAGCCAGCCATGAGCAGCCAGATCCGTCAGCCAGCCATGAGCAGCCAGATCCGTCAGCCAGCCATGAGCAGCCAGATCCGTCAGCCAGCCATGAGCAGCCAGATCCGTCAGCCAGCCATGAGCAGCCAGATCCTTCAGCCAGCCATGAGCAGCCAGATCCGTCGGCCAGCCATGAGCAGCCAGATCCGTCGGCCAGCCATGAGCAGCCAGATCCGTCAGCCAGCCATGAGCAGCCAGATCCGTCGGCCAGCCATGAGCAGCCAGATCCGTCGGCCAGCCATGAGCAGCCAGATCCGTCAGCCAGCCATGAGCAGCCAGATCCGTCAGCCAGCCATGAGCAGCCAGATCCTTCAGCCAGCCATGAGCCGTCCAGCCAGGATCCGCCAGAGCCGTCCAGCCAGGACACGCCAGAGCCAGCCAGCCAGGATCCGCCAGTGAGTCCGGTGCTGTCCCTTAGCCCGGTGCTGCCCCTTATCCTGGTGCTGCCCCTTAGTCCGGTACTGCCCCTTAGTCCGGTGCTGCCCCTTAGTCCGGTGCTGCCCTTTAGTCCGGTGCCGCCCCTTAATCCAGTGGGGTTTAGTTGGGGGGTGGTCATGTGGAGGAGGCTACGGAGGCGGATAGTGACTAAGGTGGGGTGGGGACCACGACCAGGGCCAGAACCGCCACCGTGGACAGACGCCCACCCAGACCCTCCCCTAGACTGTATGCTGGTGCGCCCGGAGTGCGCACCTTTAGGGGGGGGTACTGTGACACTCTGGCTCTGGGACTTTTGTATTTGAGCCAGGGTGTATTTTGTTTTGTGGGGTTTTGGTTGTATTTCTATGTTTGCATTTCTGTGGGTGTATTTCTATCACGTCTATGACTCCCAATCGGAGGTAACGAGTGTCAGCTGTCGGCTCGTTATCTCTGATTGGGAGCCATATTTAATCTAAATGTTTTCCTGTGGGAATTGTGGGTTTTTGTTCCAAGTTTAGTCTTTGTTACTGTTGGACTTCACTTTCGTCTTTTGTTTTGTATTGACGTGCTTTTCTAATTAAAAGTCATCATGTTCACTCGCAACGCTGCGCCTTGGTCTCCTGTTTTAGACGATCGTGACAATGTTATGTTTGAAAAAGTCAGTTATAAATTCCTTTGTTCTAATTATAAATAAATTATCATCCAATAGGCTTTGATTAAATTTCCAATATCCTCGCCCACATGGAAATTCAGTAAGAGTAATGTTTCTTTGTTAACCGCTCAACACAGAATAGCTGCATGTGCGCACTCCCTCAAATTGTTTTGGAGAAAATATATTTTCTGTTTTATTCAGCTTTGTTCAATTGTGTTCTTCATACTATAAAATAATATAAAATAATGACACGGAATTCTAAGCAAATCTTGTCTGCTAAATGAACTAGTGTAGCTCACAGCCATATGGCATAGCCAGATCAGGGCCTAACATACTGTAAGGACGACTCAGAATATGCTATTCTGTTCTTCTGAAATAGACTACATTTTCTTCATATCATGTTTTTTCATACCTGTCTAAAATAAATAATGGATTTATTGTGATGGTGTAGGCTATATTAAATGGATTTATTAGACTTGTTAAAATGTAGATGTTCCAAAGATCTGCATCAGTGGCTTGTAGGCTATGCATGGAGGCCTGGAGATGCTAAATGTGTTTATGTTAATTAACGGTCAATTACCGTGAGACCGGCAGTTATTTGCTTGACAATCACCGGCTGACAAATTTTCATGACTGCCACAGGCCTAGTCAGGTCAAGGGTCAAGGGAAGAACTGAAAGCGTGGATAGTTCTGAGCCCTTTCTGTCTGTATCCATGGAAAGGACATAGCCACATCTCTATACATGTACTCTGTGGAACATGAGCTACTATATACTATGTACTTTGTTTACTGTCTTGTGATCTCCTAATCATCTACTTAATTATTTTGTGCTCCCCAGTGGAACCTCCCCCCCCTGCCTACGAAGCGCAGGCTCCTGGTCCTAGCAACGGCTCTGGCTCCACCCATGTCAATGCTCACACACAGGCTCCTCCCCCCAGCTCCTCCTCTCGCTACCGTGATCGTCGCTCCCGACGACCACACCGCAGCGGAGGGACCAGGGATGACCGATACCGATCAGGTGAGCAACAACTTCTCTCCTTACATAAGTTTATGTTTTCAATTGACACTTAGTCACCTAAGGAAATCCAGTCATAGGCAAAAATGTTGAGTTTTTCATTCATGTTAGGTTTGGTCTATTCTCTCAGTATGTTCTTTAATTTCGGTCATTTTTTGGTCTAATCTGGTTTGAAGCGGAATCTCGTAATCCCATAATTGTCTCAAATAGAACAATAAAAGGGAAGCACCGCTTTGCGTTTGTGTGTTGGAGTGTGAATACTGTTTGAGGTCATGTGTCTGTGTGTCCTGTTGGGTTGTGGAGAAAGGAAAGTCCCTATACTCCTTACAGTGTTCAGCCTCTACAGGGGAGTCCAGAGTGATGTCACGGCTTGGCAATGTGCTTGGCTGTGGAGAGAGCAGGGGGAATACTAAACAGGATGATGAACTCAGAACCATAGAATTCGATTGTAGATTCTAAAGAGTGCAGGGAAGGAGTGTTAGAATGGATCTTTAGATGGTTGAAAAGGCATGAAAGAACTGAGGATTGCAGGGAAGTCTATGAGAGTATTTTTCTGTCCACCTTCTCTCTTTCTTTCTCTTTCTCTCGCTCCCTGTCTGTCTGTCTCTGTCTGTCTGTCTGTCTGTCTGTCTGTCTGTCTGTCTGTCTGTCTGTCTGTCTGTCTGTCTGTGTTACTAGAGGTGCACACAGTGTAAATGTATCCTCCCTCTAGGCAGCTTCATGCTCTACCGTTTCTCTCTCCTTCCACTTCCGTCTCCTCCCTTCCCTGTCTGGACAGCCTCTGCATCAGACTGGTCTCGCCTCTCACGTGACACACACACACACACACACACACACACACACACACACACACACTAAATCAATGCCAGTCTGATGTGCCGGAGGGGCTGAAGGACTACCATTGTGTGTGATCTATTGGATCCTATAGGATGGCTGACCAGATAGAGAGAACTGCATGAACGTTTTCTTCAAGTTCCATTTGATATGTGAAGGGATCTCCGGGGATCTTGCTGGAAGTCCGACTGCATTTTGGGCAAAGTGAAGAAGGATTGGGAACAAGGGAAAGGGAGTGGTAGCTGGTAGTCAGGAGGAAACACAGGCTGCAGGGACAATGGAGAAGAACTGAAGAGGATTGAGGAAAACACTGTTCTATTACAGAGAAATAGAGAGGAGGGATAGAGAGGAGGGATAAAGAGAGGGGTCAGGGAGAAGCAGGTCTGGGTGGTTTAGTCCTCCTTATGATGAACCTTCTGACACTTCAGTCTCATTGAGAGAGAGGGGAGGGGGGGAAGAGGGAGAGATGGAGGGAGGAGATATACAGAGAAAGGAAGACAGCAAGGGTGTGGGCAAGAGGACAGAGAGATGTAGAATTAGGTGTCAGCGATATGATGGATGTTTAGATCCAGAAGGGCTTGTTCTGTTCACGTGTTTGTAGCCTACATGGGTGTGTGGAAGGTAACAGCCAGTGTGTGTGTTGCTAGGTGCTTCTAGTGTATGTGTGTAGTCTCTGCTGTTCATTTGTTGGTTGCCGTGTGGGGCCGGAGAGGTGGAGGAGAGACGCGTTACAATGTTAACATCTTAACAACCGGCAACCTCACCTATATCAATGGAGACGCCTCTTGGCCTCTCAGACATGTGTGATGGTCATTCTCTCATGTTTCTATGGCGATGAATGATTGTGCATGCAGCATATGGGAAGAATGGAAACAGAATAGCAGTCTATTTTTAGAAGAATCAAATGTTATCCTATGACATTCTATAGTGTTGGTTATGCAAAGAGTTGTTTTTGATGATGGTTTATGTAGATTTTCTTACATGTAGCCTATGTATTCTGATTGTGTCTCTCATGAAAGTGCTTGTGTGTCTTCTGCACATGATTCCTCTGTGTGTGTGTGTGTGTGTGCGTGTGCCTGTGTGTGTGTGTGCGTGCGTGTGCCTGTGTGGGGGGTGGGTGTGTGCATGTGTGTATGTACAGTGCCTTCAGAAAGTATTCACACCCCTGACTTTTTCCACATTTTGTTGTTACAAAGTGGGATTAAAATTGATTTAATTGTTATTTTTTGTAAATGAGCTACACAAAATACTCTAATGTCAAAGTGTAAGAAACATTTGAACAGTTGTAAAACATAGATGAAAAATAAAACCCTAATATATCTTGATTAGATAAGTATTCCAAAACGTCAAGGGGTGTGCTGTGAATACTTTCTGAAGGTAAGGGATGGGTGAGGATGGTAATAGCCCCTCTCTCTCCAGCACACAAACAGTGGTTTCCTGTTACAGCAGGACCTAACTGGCGTCTCTTCTCCTCTGATGGTTAAAAGTCAAACATCACTTCAGCTTTTACTGTGCTGATTATCTTTATGCATCAATATCTATAGAATAATGATTATTGAAAGGTCTCCGTCATGGGCAGTTTATCCGTGGGTGTTCTCATGTTCAAGTTCTTCCTCTCCATCCCTATCCGATCATCCAAATTCTAAAGGGGAATCTCGCTCTTGCTCTCTCTCTCTCTCTCTCTCTCTCTGCCTCAGATATCCACACAGAAACGGTGCAGGCTGCGTTGGCCAAACACAAGGAGGAGAAGATGGCACTGCCGATGCCCACCAAACGCCGCTCCACCTACATCCAGTCGCCCGTCATCAACTGCACCCCACCAGGTAGCGTAGGACTGACCCCCTCAAATCAGCCTGACTGCTTCTATTTCCTAAGGAACAGCCTAAGTAAGCTTTATTGTTAGTACTATAGAGTTTAATCCTAATGTCACACTCTCTCTTTCTAATTCTCTCCATCTCTCTTACGCTTTCTCCTATCTCAGACTCGTCGTCAGCTTCAGAGGATGAGGGTGCTATGCTGAGGCAGTCGTCAGTGGGGGACAATTTGGGGGCTCCGGACCCTCCCGCTCTGCTGCAGCCCCCCAGTCTGCAGAGCCCTGACTCCTGGATCAACCGCTCTGTCCAGGGCTCGTCCACCTCCTCCTCTGCTTCCTCCACCCTGTCCCACGGAGAGGGCAAGCCCCAGCCTCAACCATCCCAGCCCCAGCCCCAAGCCCAGCCCCAGTATCAGCCCCAGTATCAGCCCCAGTATCAGCCCCAGTATCAGCCCCAGTATCAGCCCCAATATCAGCCCCAGTATCAGCCCCAGTCACAGTCACAGCATCCAGTCATAGCTGACATGCTGGCTCACGCACGCATCGGTAAGAATGTCCTCATGACCACGACACTAGAATGCCATGACCTGTATCCCTATATAAGGTTAACTGAGCAGATAAAATGACCCTGTCTTCCTCCCAGGTCCCTCAGAGAACAGCGCCCCCCCAGACGTGACAACAGCGGCCCCCCAGGCCAGGGGCTTCTCTCAGGTGGACCGACCCAACAACCCTCCCGTGGTCCGGGGGATGAGCCGCGGACAGAGTCGCTCCAGCATGATGGAAACAGCCGACGGTAAGAATAGCATCTTTATTAGGGTCGCTGTGTATGTGTGTGTGATGGGTCATGTAGGAGTACGGAAGTGTGTATGTGTGAGATTGTGAGTGTGTGTCCTCATCGACTCATACAATTTTGCATTTCCATCGAAAATAACCTTTTTGAAGTAATAGTATTTTTCTTGAATAACATGTTGATTTCCGCCTGGACCATATCATTAACCAAACCATGTTGCTTTCTTTTCTTCTGGTCTTTTTCCACACTGTCACATGTTATTTTGACTGGCAATAGGTAACAGAAGAGGTAACACATGTCATGAACTAGTGGTGTTATATATATATATATATATATATATATATATATATATATATATATATATATATATACAGTGGGGAGAACAAGTATTTGATACAATGCCGATTTTGCAGGTTTTCCTACTTACAAAGCATGTAGAGATCTGTAATTTTTATCATAGGTACACTTCAACTGTGAGAGACGGAATCTAAAACAAAAATCCAGAAAATCACATTGAATGATTTTTAAGTAATTAATTTGCATTTTATTGCATGACATAAGTATTTGATACATCAGAAAAGCAGAACTTAATATTTGGTACAGAAACCTTTGTTTGCAATTACAGAGATCATACGTTTCCTGTAGGTCTTGACCAGGTTTGCACACACTGCAGCAGGGATTTTGGCCCACTCCTCCATACAGACCTTCTCTAGATCCTTCAGGTTTCGGGGCTGTCGCTGGGCAATAAGGACTTTCAGCTCCCTCCAAAGATTTTCCTTTGGTTCAGGTCTGGAGACTGGCTAGGCCACTCCAGGACCTTGAGATGCTTCTTACGGAGCCACTCCTTAGTTGCCCTGGCTGTGTGTTTCGGGTCGTTGTCATGCTGGAAGACCCAGCCACGACCCATCTTCAATGCTCTTACTGAGGGAAGGAAGTTGTTGGCCAAGATCTCACGATACATGGCCCCATCCATCCTCCCCTCAATACGGTGCAGTCGTCCTGTCCCTTTTGCAGAAAAGCATCCCCAAAGAATGATGTTTCCACCTCCATGCTTCACGGTTGGGATGGTGTTCTTGGGGTTGTACTCATCCTTCTTCTTCCTCCAAACACAGCGAGTGGAGTTTAGACCAAAAAGCTCTATTTTTGTCTCATCAGACCACATGACCTTCTCCCATTCCTCCTCTGGATCATCCAGATGGTCATTGGCAAACTTCAGACGGGCCTGGACATGTGCTGGCTTGAGCAGGGGGACCTTGCGTGCGCTGCAGGATTTTAATCCATGACGGCGTAGTGTGTTACTAATGGTTTTCTTTGAGACTGTGGTCCCAGCTCTCTTCAGGTCATTGACCAGGTCCTGCCGTGTAGTTCTGGGCTGATCCCTCACCTTCCTCATGATAATTGATGCCCCACGAGGTGAAATCTTGCATGGAGCCCCAGACCGAGGTTGATTGACCGTCATCTTGAACTTCTTCCATTTTCTAATAATTGCGCCAACAGTTGTTGCCTTCTCACCAAGCTGCTTGCCTATTGTCCTGTAGCCCATCCCAGCCTTGTGCAGGTCTACAATTTTATCCCTGATGTCCTTACACAGCTCTCTGGTCTTGGCCATTGTGGAGAGGTTGGAGTCTGTTTGATTGAGTGTGTGGACAGGTGTCTTTTATACTGGTAACGAGTTCAAACAGGTGCAGTTAATACAGGTAATGAGTGGAGAACAGGAGGGCTTCTTAAAGAAAAACTAACAGGTCTGTGAGAGCTGGAATTCTTACTGGTTGGTAGGTGATCATATACTTATGTCATGCAATAAAATGCAAATTAATTACTTAAAAATCATACAATGTGATTTTCTGGAAATCGGCAGTGTATCAAATACTTGTTCTCCCCACTGTACATGCCCATCTGAAGTTTGCCAATGAACATCTGAATGATTCAGAGGAGAACTGGGTGAAAGTGTTGTGGTCAAATTAGACCAAAATGGAGCTCTTTGGCATCAACTCAACTCGCCGTGTTTGGAGGAGGAGGAATGCTGCCTATGACCTCAAGAACACCATCCCCACCGTCAAACATGGAGGTGGAAACATTATGCTTTGGGGGTGTTTTTCTGCTAAGGGGACAGGACAACTTCACTGCATCAAAGGGACGATGGACAGGGCCATATACCGTCAAATCTTGGGTGAGAACCTCCTTCCCTCAGCCAGGGCATTGAAAATGGGTCGTGGATGGGTATTCCAGCATGACAATGACCCAAAACACACGGCCAAAGCAACAAAGGAGTGGCTCAAGAAGAAGCACATTAAGGTCCTGGAGTGGCCTAGCCAGTCTCCAGACCTTAATCCCATAGAAAATCTGTGGAGGGAGCTGAAGGTTCGAGTTGCCAAACGTCAGCCTCAAAACCTTAATGACTTGGAGAAGATCTGCAAAGAGGAGTTGGACAAAATCCCTCCTGAGTTGTGTGCAAACCTGGTGGCCAACTACAAGAAACGTCTGACCTCTGTGATTGCCAACAAGGGTTTTGCCACCAAGTACTAAGTCATGTTTTGCAGAGGGGTCAAATACTTACTTCCCTCATAACATTTTTGACATGCGTTTTTCTGGATTTTGTTGTTGTTATTCTGTCTCTCACTGTTCAAATAAACCTACCATTAAAATTATAGACTGATCATTTCTTTGTCAGTGGGCAAACGTACAAAATCAGCAGGGGATCAAATACTTTTTTCCCTCACTGTACGTCTGTGTGCTGTTTGTGCCTTGTTCTTACCCTCTGTTTGTACCGAATGATCTTAGGGAGAATAGTAGATATAACCAGAACCAACCTCTGAAACCGAATGAATCCTCATGTGTTTTCCTATTATGACACCAATGACTCCTATTCTCTTCTACCTCATGCCGACCCTCCCAGTCCTGGTCTAGATGTAGCCCTTTGTCTGCTGGTTTTCATTCTAAAAAGAATTTAAGAAAAAAAAAACGCTTACAGGGGGAAATTATGATTTGGATTCAAAACTAGCAGACTGCGAGTGGAGAAATATTATAGCGAAATAAGGCAAGCCAGAATTGTGTGTGAAGTCAAGACTTCCCTTCGTGTATCGGGGCAGGGAGAGTGTGTGTATGTGTGTGTGACAGTGTTTGTCGGACCCACCCCTCCAACCCCCACCCCATACCCTCCAGGTGTCCCGGTTAACAGCAGGGTGTCCACTAAGATTCAGCAGCTGCTCAACACCTTGAAGAGGCCCAAGAGGCCCCCCCTCAGTGAGTTCTTCATGGACGACCAGGAGGAGATCGTAGAGGGTGAGTCACCATTTATTCTTCAATCAGTAGATCTCTCTTAGCCTGGTCCCAGATGTTAGTGCAGTCTTGCCAACTCCAGTCAGCACAAACAGATCTGGGACCAGGCTATATCTCTGTCAATGTCACCTACAATGTTTTTATTTCCACCCCTCTGTCCCAACCTCAAAGGTGCTCTCTGGTTAATTCTGCTCACCCCCCCTCCTCCTCCAGTGCCTCAGCCGGACCCCAACACCCCGCGGCCAGAGGGCCGTCAGATCATCCCAGTGAAGGGGGAGCCCCTGGGGGTGGTCAGTAACTGGCCCCCTGCCCTCCAGGCTGCCCTGGCTCGCTGGGGGGCCACACAGGGCAAGAGCCCCGCCCTCACCGCCTTGGACATCACTGGCAAACCCCTGTACACACTGACCTACGGTAAGAAACTTGGCCCACAGACAAAGCCCTGTACACACTGACCTACGGTAAGAAACTAGGCCCACAAACAAACCCCTGTACACACTGATCTACGGTTAGAAACTTGGCCCACAGACAAAGCCCTGTACACACTGACCTACGGTAAGAAACTAGGCCCACAAACAAACCCCTGTACACACTGACCTACGGTACGTCACAGTATCAACCCCCCCCCCCCCCCCTCTTCATGGTAATACCATTGCTTAAAGTTAAATAACTCAACTTACTATATAGTGAGGGTCAAGGCCTGGCCCTGGATAATGTATTTCTTATATTCTTTCAGGTTATTGTTGGTACTATACTGTACTCATGGTGTGGGTAGAGTAATCAAAGTAATGGAGGGTTATGAGAGGAGGAGTATGAGATTGATTGACAGATTGTGCCACTGTTATTTACGATGCCCGCCCTCCCTCTTTCCTCTCTCCTCCTCCCTCCTCCCCTTCTCCCTCCATCAGGAAAGCTGTGGAGCCACAGTGTGAAGCTGGCCTACACCCTACTCAATAAACTGGGGCCCAAGAACGAGCAGGTCCTCAAGCCTGGGGACAGGGTGAGACACACAGACTCACACTACTTCTACTTCCCTCTGTGTCGTAATGATATATCGTCAAAACAATCCCATACATTAAAGCTGCAATATGTACATTTTGGGGCGACGTGACCAAATTCACATAGACATTTTAGTTATAGATCTGTCATTATCATTGAAGCAGTAGATATGTTCTATGTGCACTATTTCTATGCTTCCCGTGCTTACGTTTTTCGTCTTTTACTTTCGGTTTTGTACACAAGCTTCAAACAGCTGAAAATACAATATTTTTGGTTATGTAAAATATATTTGGCAGCAGTTTAGATGGTACAATGATTCTCTACACTACATTATACTTGGTTGATTTGTCACATAAACTGAAATGAGGCGAAGTATCCGAATTTTAGCAACCAGGAAGTGGCGGAGCAATTTCTGCATAGTGCACCTTTTTAAGGTCCATACATACAACTTCGTTTTTTCTTTTATTTCCTGTAGGTGGCTCTAGTGTACCCTAACAGTGACCCTGGGATGTTCTTGGTGGCCTTCTATGGCTGCCTACTAGCTGAGGTCATCCCTGTCCCTATAGAGGTACCTCTGTCTCGCAAGGTAAGGAACATGCCATTGGAACTTATTCAAACCCACATTGACATGCTGTTATATCTGCTCTGGGATTGACTCCATGTCTCATTGTTGTTCCGCCACCAGGATGCAGGCAGTAGTCAGGTGGGCTTCTTGCTGGGCAGCTGTAGTGTGAGTCTGGCACTGACCAGTGAGATCTGTCTGAAGGGACTTCCCAAGATGCCCTCCGGAGAGATACTACAGTTTAAAGGTCAGGAGCTGCCTCTCTTACTGCCGTGTTCCAGAGCATCAATGTTACTCCGTCACAGGTGACCGACTGAGTAGACTGACTGATCTACAAATAATAATTAGTTATTTAGGAAGCCAGGTGGTTTGTAGTCATCGAGTCGGCGACTGCAATCTGGTCGATCTCAAACACAACCATTGTCTCTGGAGATCCAAATGTGATACTTTTCCTCTTTCGCTATGAGTCTCTTTTTAATGAAGTTGATTGGCTGATGTATGATATTGACTGTCTCTTATAGGCTGGCCTCGGCTAAAGTGGGTGGTGACAGACTCCAAGTACCTCATCAAACCTGGCAAGGACTGGCAGCCCCACATCCCTACAGCTAACACTGACCCTGCATACATAGAGGTGAGACGTGTGTGTACGTGCACATGCATGTGTGTGTACTCCTAATCCAATCCTAAGTAATTGTGTTTTCTCTCCCTCTAGTACAAGGCTAGTAAGGAGGGCACAGTGATGGGTGTGGCTGTGTCTAAGGTGGCCATGTTGACCCATTGCCAAGCACTGACCCAGGCCTGCAACTACTGTGAGGGTGAGTAACTACATTATATGAGAGAGACATACTCTATCGTGAGAGTAAATCTATGGCATTTTATGAGGACGATACACAGGGAACAAGTGTTTGAAGGATGCTTCTCATAGGGACTTATCTGTTTCTGTTCTTAGGTGAGACACTAGTGAATGTTCTGGACTTTAAAAAGGACATGGGCCTGTGGCATGGAGTTCTCACGGTGAGTGTGTGGTGATGGGAGGATAATAGTTACTGATTTCATATCATATGTATTTCCGTTTAATAAGTTGAATTTTGTTCTTCTTTCAGAGTGTAATGAACAGGATCCACACCATCAGTGTGCCCTACGCTGTGATGAAGGCTTGCCCTCTCTCCTGGGTTCAGAGGGTCCACATGCACAAAGGTAGTTACACCACCCCCACCTCCACACTCTCTCCCTCTGTGTGACCATGAGAACACTGTGATGTTCATGTACTCATTTGTCCCTCCTCTTCCCCCAAAGCACGCGTTGCCTTGGTGAAGTGTCGTGACCTGCACTGGGCCATGATGGCACACAGGGAACAGAGGGACACCAGCCTGGCTTCACTGCGCATGCTCATCGTCGCTGATGGAGCCAACCCCTGTGAGTGTGAAATGTAGTCCATGCAGGGAAATGTAGTCTGTGTGGAAGCCACACTGGAACTACAGATGGCAGACATGCTTGGAACTGGTCTGCATGGAATCTTCCAAGCAGTCAGTGGGGCTGACAGACTGCAGACATCCCACATGCAATAGGACAATTGCAAGTGAAAAACAAAGCCCTGTATGGTTAGAATGGATACCCTCTAAAAATGGTCAGTGTTGTGAGATGTCTCTCTCTATATCTGTGTCTCTCCCTTAGGGTCGGTGTCGTCCTGTGATGCCTTCCTCAACGTGTTCCAGATCCACGGGTTGAAGCCAGAGGTCATCTGTCCCTGTGCCACCTCCCCTGAGGCCATGACGGTGGCCATCCGCAGGTAGGATAGGCCTGATGGGTCTTCTTGGCGAATGTAACAGTTTGTGTTTTGTTTTGCTTCTTGGCCAAATGTGTTTTTAGGACCCTGATTTGCCTCTGGAAAAATGGGAGAAAATGAAAGTGACGTACTGCACCTTCAATGTTTGAAAGCATGTATTGATACAAGGATCGTCTTTCGGTAGTGTGTGTATATTTTTCTGTAAAATCCCTGTCCCGTCCTGTACCCCTCTGTGTGCAGGCCGGGGGTGCCGGGGACGCCCCTCCCAGCCAGGGCCATCCTCTCCATGGGGGGTCTAAGTCACGGGGTCATCAGGGTCAACACGGAGGACAAGAACTCTGCCCTCACCGTGCAAGACGTGGGTCACGTGATGCCTGGAGGTGAGGATAGGGGATAGGGGGTGCACAGTATAAAAGAGAGAGAGAAATGGGGAATGATATCAGGAGTGAAATCCATTTGTATGTGTATAACTGGCTTACAAGTCACAGGCAGGGCTACAGTAACTCATCACGAGAGTGTGATTCCAAATCACCTCCAAGGCATGTCCATTTTTAAATATGAATGTGTTTGTTTCTTTGTGTAAATAGTTTCCTGTAATTATGTGTGCATTATTATTCCTGTACATGTATTTATGTGTGCAGCTGACTGTGTCTCTGTGTCTGTATCGCTGATGTGTATAGTGAAGCCTGTCTCTGTGTCTTTATCTCTGATGTGTATAGTGAAGCCTGACTCTGTCTCTGTGTCTGTATCGCTGATGTGTATAGTGAAGCCTGTCTCTGTCTGTATCTCTGATGTGTATAGTGAAGCCTGACTCTGTCTCTCTCTGTATCACTGATGTGTATAGTGAAGGCTGATGCTGTCTCTGTGTCGGTGTCTCTGATGTGTATAGTGAAGGCTGACGCTGTCTCTGTGTCGGTGTCTCTGATGTGTATAGTGAAGCCTGTGTCTGTATCTCTGATGTGTATAGTGAAGCCTGTCTCTGTCTCTGTGTCTGTATCTCTGATGTGTATAATGAAGCCTGTCTCTGTGTCTGTAGCTCTGATGTGTATAGTGAAGGCTGTCTCTGTGTCTGCAGCTCTGATGTGTACAGTGAAGCCTGTCTCTGTGTCTGTATACAGTTGAAGTTGGAAGTTTACATACACCTTAGCCAAATATATTTAAACTAAGATTTTCACAATTCCTGACATTTAATCCTAGTAAAAATTCCCTGTTTTAGGTCAGTTAGGATCACCACTTTATTTTAAGAATGTGAAATGTCAGAACAATAGCAAAGAGTGATTTATTTCAGCTTTTATTTCTTTCATCACATTCCCAGTGGGTCAGAAGTTTACATACACTCAATTAGTATTTGGTAGCATTGCCTTCAAATTGGTTAACTTGGGTCAAACTTCTTGGGTAGCCTTCCACAAGCTTCCCACAATAAGTTGGGTGAATTTTGGCCCATTCCTCCTGACAGAGCTGGTGTAACTGAGTCAGGTTTGTAGGCCTCCTTGCTCGCATACACTTTTCAGTTCTGCCCACAAATGTTATATAGGATTGAGGTCAGGGCTTTGTGATGGCCACTCCAATACCTTGACTTTGTTGTCCTTAAGCCATTTTGCCACAACTTTGGAAGTATGCTTGGGGTCATTGTCCATTTGGAAGACCCATTTGCAACCAAGCTTTAACTTCCTGACTGATGCTTCAATATATCCACATAATTTTCCTTCCTCATGATGCATCTAGTTTGTGAAGTGCACCAGTCCCTCCTGCAGCAAAGCACCCCAACAGCATGATGCTGCCACCCCCGTGCTTCACGGTTGGGATGGTGTTCTTCGGCTTGCAATCCACCCCCTTTTTCCTCCAAACATAACGATGGTCATTATGGCCAAACAGTTCTATTTTTGTTTCATCAGACCAGAGGACATTTCTCCAAAAAGTACGATCTTTGTCCCCATGTGCAGTTGCAAAAAGTAGTCTGGCTTTTTTATGGCGGTTTTGGAGCAGTCGCTTCTTCCTTGCTGAGCGGCCTTTCAGGTTATGTCGATATAGGACTCGTTTTACTGTGGATATAGATACTTTTGTACCTGTTTCCTCCAGCATCTTCACAAGGTCCTTTGCTGTTGTTCTGGGATTAATTTGCACTTTTCGCAACAAAGTACGTTCATCTCTAGGAGACAGAACGCGTCTCCTTCCTGAGCGGTATGACGGCTGCGTGGTCCCATGGTGTTTATACGTGCGTACTATTGTTTGTACGTGGTACCTTCAGACATTTGGAAATTGCTCCCAAGAATGAACCACACTTGTGGAGGTCTACAATTGTATTTCTAAGGTCTTGGCTGATTTCTTTGGATTTTCCCATGATGTCAAGCAAAGAGGCACTGGGTTTGAAGGTAGGCCTTGAAATACATCCACAGGTACACCTCCAATTGACTCAAATGTTGTCAATTACCCTATCAGAAGCTTCTAAAGCCATTACATCATTTTCTGGACTTTTCCATGCTATTTAAAGGCACAGTCAACTTAGTGTATGTAAACTTCTGACCCACTGGAATTGTGATACAGTGAATTATAGGTGAAATAATCTGTCCGTAAACAATTTTTGGAAAAATTACTTGTGTCATGCACAAAGTAGATGTCCTAACCTACTTGCCAAAACTATAGTTTATAAACAAGACATTTGTCTATGCAAACTTCCGACTTCAACTGTATCTGATGTGTATAGTGAAGCCTGACTCTGTCTGTATCTCTGATCTGTATAGTGAAGCCTGACTCTGTCTCTGTGTCTGTATCTCTGATCTGTATAGTGAAGCCTGTCTCTGTCTGTATCTCTGATCTGTATAGTGAAGCCTGTCTCTGTCTGTATCTCTGATCTGTATAGTGAAGCCTGTCTCTGTCTGTATCTCTGATCTGTATAGTGAAGCCTGTCTCTGTCTGTATCTCTGATCTGTATAGTGAAGCCTGTCTCTGTCTGTATCTCTGATCTGTATAGTGAAGCCTGTCTCTGTCTGTATCTCTGATCTGTATAGTGAAGCCTGACTCTGTGTCTGTATCTCTGATGTGTATAGTGAAGCCTGTCTCTGTGTCTGCAGCTCTGATGTGTATAGTTAAGCCTGAAGGGCCTCCTCAGCTGTGTAAGACAGATGAGATAGGGGAGATCGTGGTGAACTCTCGTGCCGGAGGCAACATGTACTATGGCCTCCCAGGAGTCACCAAGAACACCTTTGAGGTACGGACCCACAACCATTAAATTCCCCCTTATGTGTTACAGCACATCTTACACCTGGTCAGACACCTGGTCAGACACACCAATATGCTGTTCAACCCTTCTTCTATTAGACATTTTAATGAAACATCTGTTTCTGTCTGTCTATAGGTGATTCCTGTCAATACTCTTGGTGCTCCTATTGGAGACATCCCCTTTGTGAGATCTGGTCTCCTAGGCTTCGTAGGACCCGTAAGTAGGACTGTCGTGTGTGTGCGCGTGCGTACATGTGTGTGTCAGTGTATATTGACGGCTGTGTTTAACCCTTCTACAGGGCAGTCTGATATTTGTGGTGGGGAAGAACGAAGGCCTGCTGATGGTGAGTGGGAGGAGACACAACGCTGATGATTTGGTGGCCACAGCACTGGCCGTGGAGCCTGTCAAGACTGTGTATCGCGGAAGGTGAGGACTCTGTGTGTGTGCATGTACAGTTGAAGTCGGAAGTTTACATACACTTAGGTTGGAGACATTAAAACTTGTTTTTCAACCACTGCACAAATGTCTTGTTAACAAACTATAGTTTTGGCAAGTCGGTTAGGACATCTACTTTGTGCATGACACAAGTAATTTTTCCAACAATTGTTTACAGACAGATTATTTCACTTAGAATTCACTGTATCACAATTCCAGTGGGTCAGAAGTTTACATACACTAAGTTGACTGTGCCTTTAAACAGCTTGGAAAATTCCAGAAAATGATGTCATGGCTTTAGAAGCTTCTGATCATTTGAGTCAATTGGAGGTGTACCCGTGGATGTATTTCAAGGCCTACCTTCAAACTCAGTGCCTCTTTGCTTGACATCATGGGAAAATCCAAAGAAATCAGGCAAGACCTCAGAAAACAAATTGTAGACCTCCACAAGTCTGGTTCATTCTTGGGAGCAATTTCCAAACGCCTGAAGGTACTACCTTCATCTGTACCAACAATAGTATGCAAGTATAAACACAGTGGGACCTCGCAGCCGTCATACCGCTCAGGAAGGAGACGCGTTCTGTCTCCTAGAAATGAACATACTTTGGTGCGAAAAGTGCAAATCAATCCCAGAACAACAGCATAGGACCTGCTGGAGGAAACAGGTACAAAAGTATCTATATCCACAGTAAAATGAGTCCTATATCGACATAACCTGAAAGGCTGCTCAGCAAGGAAGAAGCCACTGCTCCAAAACTGCCATAAAAAAAGCCAGACTACGGTTTGCAACTGCACATGGGGACAAAGATCGTACTTTTTGGAGAAATGTCCTCTGGTCTGATGAAACAAAAATAGAACTGTTTGGCCATAATGACCATCATTATGTTTGTAGGAACAAGGGGGTGGCTTGCAAGCCGAAGAACACCATCCCAACCATGAACCATGCTGTTGGGATGCTTTGCTGCAGGAGGGACTGGTGCACTTCACAAACTAGATGGCATCATGAGGAAGGAAAATTATGTGGATATATTGAAGCATCAGTCAGGAAGTTAAAGCTTGTTGGCAAATGGGTCTTCCAAATGGACAATGACCCCAAGCATACTTCCAAAGTTATGGCAAAATGGCTTAAGGACAACAAAGTCAAGGTATTGGAGTGGCCATCACAAAGCCCTGACCTCAATCCTATAGGAATGGTGTGGGCAGAACTGAAAAAGCGTGTGCGAGCAAGGAGGCCTACAAACCTGACTCTGTTACACCAGCTCTGTCAGGAGGAATGGGCCAAAATTCACCCAACTTATTGTGGGAAGCTTGTGGGAGGCTACCTGGAACGTTTGACCCAATTTAAACAATTTAAAGGCAATGCTACCAAATACTAATTGAGTGTATGTAAACTTCTGACCCACTGGGAATGTGATGAAAGAAATAAAAGCTGAAATAAATAATTCTCTCTACAATTATTCGGACATTTCACATTCTTAAAATAAAGTGGTGATCCTAACTGACCTAAGACAGGGAATATTTACGAGGATTAAATGTCAGGAATTGTGAAAAACTGAGTTTAAATGGATTTGGCTAAGGTGTATGTAAACTTCGGATTTCAACTGTATTTGAATCAACAGTGGATGAGATCTGTGCAGTGTGGGCTCGATGGGAGTGAATTGTTGTGGGGATTGAGAATAGAGATGTATAGAGATATAGAGATCATTACTTGGAAATAACAATTTTTTGCATGGACATTCTCATTGAGGGCTTCCACCATTTTAAAGTAGTCAACTGGGTGGGGATTCCTATGGGTTGGGAACGATCAGCCAATGATCAGAGCATTGTCTTCTTCTTCAAATTGGTTTGCCTATTTTATAAATGGCTTTAAGCTATATCACCGCCATTTAGTGGCCACAATAAATGAATGATACACAAGATTTTGTTCAAGACTCCAGCAATGCAGGTGGCAGTAAGTCACCAATATTAGCTTGACACTGTTTTCCAACATCAAAAGAAGAAGAAAATTGACTACTTTAAAATGTCACAGACGCCATAATGGCACAGATACAACGTTGCGATCTCTATACATCTCTGGCATTGAGTGTTTGTTGTGTATCACCACTGTCATCTGGTGGTTGTTAGTGAGCACTGAAGGCCCATAGTGACAATACTGTTGTGATAATATGAGTGTATACAGCGTATTTCTGTGTGGGGTGTAGGATGTGGTGTGTATTGGCTCCTTGCAGAGAAGAGAATCTCAAGCTGTGAAAATGCTTGTTATCAGAGTGGTTTTTTTGTGTGTAGGAATTGTGGTGTTCTCTGCTTTATGTGTGGATGTGTATTTATGTGTAATGAATATATATGTGTGTGACTATGGATCCTTGCAGAATATACATTCTAATTGTATGTGTGCGTGTGTGCTTGCATCCGTGCGTGTGTGTCAGGATTGCGGTGTTCTCTGTGACGGTCTTCTATGATGAGAGGATAGTTATTGTGGCAGAGCAGAGGCCAGATGCCAGTGAGGAGGACAGCTTCCAGTGGATGAGCAGAGTACTGCAGGTAGCTAACCCCTCTACAAACCCCTCTTTCTTGGTACATTCCAAATTTACTCTAAACACTTGATTAGGGAAGTTGTCTAACTGAGGGGTGTTGTGTGTGTGTGTGTGTCCATTGTCCAGGCCATTGACAGTATTCACCAGGTGGGTCTGTACTGCCTAGCTCTGGTGCCTGCCAACACGTTACCCAAGACCCACCTGGGAGGGATCCACATCTTCGAGACCAAGCAGCACTTCCTGGACGGCAACCTGCACCCCTGTAACATCCTCATGTGCCCCCATACCTGTGTCACCAACCTCCCCAAACCACGGCAGAAACAGCCAGGTACAGTTGGCTCAGTTCAGAGGATCATACAGCACACTTGGCAACTGATTGGCTTACAGTGGCCAGGACCTTTGAGCTAGGGACTGTTTATCTGATTGTAAATATTCATGTCTCTCTCTCTCTCTCTCTCTCTCTCTCACATTCTCTCTCCCTCTCTTTAGTGGGTGTGGGTCCAGCCTCCATCATGGTGGGGAACCTGGTAGCAGGGAAGAGGATAGCCCAGGCAGCAGGCAGGGATCTGGGAATGATCGAGGACCAGGACCTGGTCAGGAAGGTAGGACCACCTCAGGACCTCTCTCATCATCACACCAGTTAGAAAGGACCCAGCTAGCACATGCACAGTGACCCATAGCAGGGTAGGGACGATAGCGGTATCTGGCACTAATAACCTGGTGGTAGCCAAAACTACTAGCAATGGCATGCCGACTGCCGGATAGTCACGGTCAGTATGCTGTTGGGGTGCCAGTGGCATAATACCACCATATTGGTTGCAAACAGCGGTCCGATATGGGCTTGCCTGCAGTGGTGTGCTGCCTCTTTGCCACCAGTGGTCCAGTAAGTGTTTGCTAGCTGGGTAGTTAGACAGGACAAGATAGCTGGTAAACCATGTGGGCAACATGATGCATTCTCTTCTCTGTCCTAATGCACCCATCTCTCTGGATGTATATAGCTCCGTATGTGGCCTACTATCATGGTAAGAGCTACTGCCCCCTCTAACTCTGTAACCCCTACACCCCAAACCCTGATCCTACCTTTGCTTCTGCCTGCAATGGGCTGTACAGTGAAGCTCCCAATGTGAATGGAGGCATTTTTCAGTTGCACACGCAGATCTTTATATGGATGCATCGCTAAGTTCTGGCAAGATGTGAGATCTTGCATGGTGTCAGAAGTGATGTGCGGAATCTGCATGTGCCAATGTATTACGCAGTTTTTGGTTATTTTTCTGCATCACAGCACAGTTATGGTGACAGTCTGTCGTGGTACCTCTTAATGCCACCTGATGCCCCATGCCTTCCATTGTCCCCCATCACCTCTGAATGTTCAAAATACTACACACACACACACATACACTAGCAATGCGCATGCCCGCCTACCTGAGGAGCTGTCTTTTTCAGCCATCTGTTTCCTGTGTTTTAGGGGTGCAAAATCTACTTGTCACTTAAATCTCGTTGGATTGATTGCTTTCATTTTACTCCTGCGACTCTTTGATACTCTTGCTTGTGCCTGACTTTTTTCCCTTTAACATTACGACCGCGGAAATGATTGTAATGACCTATCAACCCCCCCTCCCCGGTAAAGGCTGAAATGGGCTCAATGGAATACATTGTCTTTCCGTTGCATCTATAAGAACGCTAAAGCTTTGTATGGGATTTAACGCATCGTCTCAACACTTACATCACAAGAAAGAGAAGAAAGATAACTTTTTATTTGATGGGTGTTCATTTTTTTGGAATTGAAAAAAGTAGTCATTTAATACAGTTGAAATGTTTACAAATTAGATGTGCTGAAATTAAAGCAACTTCTGAAAATGAACACTCAGATTATAGTGATATTATGTCTGATCTTGCAAACAATGTAAAGTATAGCTGGGTATCATCTAGAGCCAAGCATGTTGATTTTTAATCCGAGGGTATCCTGCTATTGACACACTTGTTGAATTATGCAACAGAACGTGACAACAACAGTAATTCATGAGGCAGTCGAGACAGCGCAGGTGAGTGTAGTGTAGGTAGGCCTAAATAGAGCAGGTTTGTGGGGGTTACAGCCCTATTCCACCCCTTTATGTTAATGTTTTCATATATGCAAATACACCCAGTGTATTTATGCAAATTGGGCACATCAAATTTTCTTTATTTTAACACAAAATATATATTTAAAAAATACCATTAGAAAATGTGTATATATGAGTGGATTCTAGAAAATGTATATATGAGTGCATTCTCACCAAAATCCCTGACATTTGGATTATCTTTATCCATTGTCCAACTGTTGCATTTATTAGAATAGTTTTTAAAATGTTGATGACCGTTGCTACACACACACAGACACACACACACACACACACACACACAGGCCTTGCTGATACACACACACACACACACACACACACACACACACACACACACACACACACACACACACACACACACACAGGCCTTGCTGATCTGCAGAGTTGTGTGGACTCAGAGGAAGTCCCTGGCAAGCCATCTTCTCGAAATCCAGACATCCATATCTCCTCTTTATGTGCTTTGCTTTCTTTCCCCAATCGATCTCTCCCCATCATTGCTGTTAGCTACAACTTCAGTTTTTCATTATTTTAAGAAGTAGTTTGGCTAATGCTTTGCCAATGGGAGTGACAGTTGCCTTCCTCCTGGGAGAAAGCTGCCTACGGAGGACATTTTGGCTCCAGGTTTATTTACTGCAGAGTGACTGTATTGACCATCTTCATGTCCTTAGACTTAAGTTAAGAGAATTAACTTAAGGAAATTAAAGGTATATCGAGTTCCTCCCATCAGCAAAATAAAACTCCTATTATATTTATGTGTGGTTATTTTGTCTTAACTTTATATCAATGTATTATACAAATCTTGTTTAATATAAAATTGACATCCATATTGACATGATTGCTATGGAATGACCTTTGACCCTCTCTTTTCTCTCTTCAGCACCAGTTCCTGTCCGAGGCTCTACAGTGGAGGGCACAGACTGACCCAGACCACTGTCTCTATGTGCTGCTCAATGCAAAGGTAGCACTCTCACTCTTATAGACTGACAATAAACAGAACCCCCCCATATACAGTTGGGCCCAGTTTTAAATAAACCCCATTGCCCCTACCCTCGCTGTCTTCAGGGAGTAGCGGTATGCACAGCAACATGTGTGCAGCTGCACAAGCGGGCAGAGAAGATTGCAGCGGCGCTCACAGAGAAAGGCACCATCAACACCAGGAACAACGTGGTACTGCTCTACCCTCCTGGTGGGTCATTCCGTCCACCTGTCTGTCTGTCTGTCCGTCTGTCCATCTGTCACACTCACACTGAGAAGTGGCATAGTCATACACATTCAGGATGACTTACTGTTAAAGTCTCTCTCTCTCATTCTGTCTCTCACTCTAGGTATTGATCTGATAGCCTCCTTCTATGGCTGCCTGTATGCTGGCTGTGTTCCTGTCACTGTCAGACCTCCTCATCCACAGAACCTGGCAGCCACACTGCCAACTGTCCGCATGATCATCGACGTAAGTGTGTGTGTTTGTGTGCATGTGTGCTATCTTTTGATCACGTGAGTGTATGAGGTTGGGTGCTATTTTAGGAGCATGATGTTTGGGTGTCATTATTCTGGTCTTCCAAAGGTAGGAAGTTGGAACCATACTTTTCTACTAACTAACATGTTGTTTGTGGTGCCACTGTCTGTCCCCAGGTCAGTAAAGCTGCCTGTATCCTCACCACTCAGAACCTCATGAGGATCCTGCGCTCCAAAGAGGCTGCTGCCACTGTGAACATTAAAACATGGCCGACAATCATAGACACAGGTACCATAGAACAGGGGTTCTAAAAGAGTGTGGTGCAGGGGACCCCTTTTGTGATAGTGAATTCATCAGGGACCCCACATAATCAGAACACAACTCGATTAAGATAAAAATAGCATAGAAGGAGTTTTACTATGACTTCAGCAGTGCATGGCCAGACAAACCAAGTCTCATGCCCTGGGAAGGAACATTTTAAAGGGCCGCCTATTGGCATCTGAGAGATTTTTGTTAATTTTCAAGCTAATTTCCTGAAATTCTACACATTTTGTCATGGGGCAGAGATATTTTTTGTTGTTGCAGCTTTAAAGAGTAACTTTCATGAAAACGTTTTTTTCATCGAAAACCAGATGTTTTAGGCTTAGTTATAGTGAAACACATCAATTCTGGTCTTCATTTTGACAGTTCGTAGCAACTCAAAAGTGATATATTTTGGTATTTTAGTAGTAAATCTAGCTCTTTTTGCCCCTAGCGGTTCAACTCTGCCATTGAAATCGTGATGTAAAGGCACCTTGAGAAGGTGCCTCTGTGTCATCACAAGGGAGGGGTTCAGTATGAAATTACCTCCCTTCTAGATGAGCTGGGTGGTACCACCTCAAGGCTTACTATAAAAGCAGGTGACAGCGCACCTTATTTGGCAATGGTCTTGGTAAATGGATTGTGCCAATATCTTTTGCATGATGCTTCCTTGACTCGACTGACATTACACAACATTCTAAAGGCAGTAAGGCACATTTCAGCATATGACCAAATTCAACGTTTTTGCTTACCATTTCATACATCTGTATGTGCTTTGACAAAGAAAAAAAACATGTAGGCTATGAGGATCATGCGTTTATTCGTAGCTACATCCATTGTAACAAGAAATAGATGACAATGGTGGTCATGTCAGTTGGTTGTAGTGACTGGTGGCGCAGTCTGCTAAAACAGTTGCCTGGCTCATAGTTCAATGGTTGTGAGTTCTAATCCCACACGGGGCAGATGTCTTTTTAAACATTTTAATCCTTAATTTACAATATTCATCCTGTGCCCACACACGTCTCATTCTGAAAAGTGAAAGCATACCTGTGAGAGGGGTTGCCCTGGTAGTAGTTGTAGGTTTTTATACAGTACCCAAGACCAATCTGTGAGTTAATTTGCAATAGATGTCAGGAAATCCGCACCTTACCACTGTGAGCTAACTGTCCAGAGCTGTATTTGTTCGCAATCCATATAGGTTTATTATCAGAGTGTGCCAGTGGACTTCTGGTGAGTATACTTAAGTGAGAAAGTGTTGGGATCAGGTACAACTACATTTACCCACCCCCAAAATGAATATTTATGAGCAAATCCCCAACCCACAACTTCTCACCTCAATGCAATTATAAATATTTTCAAGTCTGCCCAAATGTGCCGAATTGGTCAATTGATACATTTTCAAGTACATAACTATAGAGAACATACAAAAATGATATGGTAATACAAAATGTAAGTTTACACTCTCCCATTTTTTTGAAGAGGTTGGGCAAAGGCTGAATTTGGGGTTGAGCGTTACCTTTCAAGCTAATATCCTACAATTCCACACATTTTGCTATGAGGCTGAGAGAACTTTGCTTAGATAACAGTGCATTTGTAAAAAAATTAAAAAATTAAAAAAATTCTAAATCATTCTGGGTATTACAATAAGTATTGAGTTGAAAAATGTGGAGGACTGTGGATATCCCTGTGAGCCACCTAGGCCCATGTTGCCCAGGGTTAAAAACAGAAATTGTAGATGAATAATATCACATCGTATTGTATTACACTCTCTAAACTTATTCCACAGATCCCTTGTCCATAATTTGTTTAACCTCTTAAGGATCGGACCCTGTTTTCGCTTTGTCATTATGGGGTATTGTGTGTAGATTGATGAGGAAAAACATAAATTTCATCAATTTTAGAATAAGGCTGTAACGTAACAAAATGTGGAAAAAGGGAAGGGGTCTGAATACTTTTCGAATGCACTGTGTGTGTGTGTGTGTGTGTGTGTGTGTGTGTGTGTATGTATGTAAGTATGTACAGTGGGGAAAAAAAGTATTTAGTCAGCCACCAATTGTGCAAGTTCTCCCACTTAAAAAGATGAGAGAGGCCTGTAATTTTCATCATACTCATATACTCCCGAGTGGCACAGTGGTCTAAGGCACTGCATCGCAGTGCTAGCTGTGCCACTAGAGATCCTGGTTCGAATCCAGGCTCTGTCGTAGCCGGCCATGACCGGGAGACCCATGGGGCGGCGCACAATTGGCCTAGCGTCGTCTAGGGTAGGGGAGGGAATGGCCGGCAGGGGATGTAGCTCAGTTCGTAGAGCATGGCGTTTGCAACACCGGGGTTGTGGGTTCGATTCCCACGGGGGGTATGAAATAATAATAATAATAATTTTAAAAAAGTTTAAAAAAATATATATATATAATGTATGTACTAACTGTAAGTCGCTCTGGATAAGAGCGTCTGCTAAATGACTAAAATGTAAAAAAATGTAATCATAGGTACACGTCAACTATGACAGACAAAATGAGAGAAAAAAAATCTAGAAAATCACATTGTAGGATTTTTAATGAATCTATTTGCAAATTATGGTGGAAAATAAGTATTTGGTCAATAACAAAAGTTTCTCAATACTTTGTTATATACCCTTTGTTGGCAATGACACAGGTCAAACGTTTTCTGTAAGTCTTCACAAGGTTTTCACACACTGTTGCTGGTATTTTGGCCCATTCCTCCATGCAGATCTCCTCTAGAGCAGTGATGTTTTGGGGCTGTCGCTGGGCAACACAGACTTTCAACTCCCTCCAAAGATTTTCTATTGGGTTGAGATCTGGAGACTGGCTAGGCCACTCCAGGAAATGCCTTGAAACCTTGAAATGCTTCTTACGAAGCCACTCCTTCGTTGCCCGGGCAGTTTGTTTGGGATCATTGTCATGCTGAAAGACCCAGCCACGTTTCATCTTCAATGCCCTTGCTGATGGAAGGAGGTTTTCACTCAAAATCTCACGATACATGGCCCCATTCATTCTTTCCTTTACACGGATCAGTCGTCCTGGTCCCTTTGCAGAAAAACAGCCCCAAAGCATGATGTTTCCACCCCCATGCTTCACAGTAGGTATGGTGTTCTTTGGATGCAACTCAGCATTCTTTGTCCTCCAAACACGACGAGTTGAGTTTTTACCAAAAAGTTATATTTTGGTTTCATCTGACCATATGACATTCTCCCAATCCTCTTCTGGATCATCCAAATGCACTCTAGCAAACTTCAGACGGGCCTGGACATGTACTGGCTTAAGCAGGGGGACACGTCTGGCACTGCAGGATTTGAGTCCCTGGCGGCGTAGTGTGTTACTGATGGTAGGCTTTGTTACTTTGGTCCCAGCTCTCTGCAGGTCATTCACTAGGTCCCCCCGTGTGGTTCTGGGATTTTTGCTCACCGTTCTTGTGATCATTTTGACCCCACGGGGTGAGATCTTGCGTGGAGCCCCAGATCGAGGGAGATTATCAGTGGTCTTGTATGTCTTCCATTTCCTAATAATTGCTCCCACAGTTGATTTCTTCAAACCAAGCTGCTTACCTATTGCAGATTCAGTCTTCCCAGCCTGGTGCAGGTCTACAATTTTGTTTCTGGTGTCCTTTGACAGCTCTTTGGTCTTGGCCATAGTGGAGTTTGGAGTGTGACTGTTTGAGGTTGTGGACAGGTGTCTTTTATACTGATAACAAGTTCAAACAGGTGCCATTAATACAGGTAACGAGTGGAGGACAGAGGAGCCTCTTAAAGAAGAAGTTACAGGTCTGTGAGAGCCAGAAATCTTGCTTGTTTGTAGGTGACCCAAATACTTATTTTCCACCATAATTTGAAAATAAATTCATTAAAAATCCTACAATGTGATTTTCTGGAAAGAAAATTCTCAATTTGTCTGTCATAGTTGACGTGTACCTATGATGAAAATTACAGGCCTCTCTCATCTTTTTAAGTGGGAGAACTTGCACAATTGGTGGCTGACTAAATACTTTTTTCCCCCACTGTATGTATGTATGTATGTATGTATGTATGTATGTATGTATGTATGTATGTATGTATGTATGTATGTATGTATGTATGTATGTATGTATGTATGTATGTGTGTGTGTGTGTATATATGTATGTATGTGTGTGTGTGTGTGTGTGTGTATATATATATTTTTTTAATTATTTATTTAGCGATCTGGCTGCGAACCCCCTGCAGTACCTCCGCACCCCACTTTGAGAACCCCTGCCATAGAAGGTCTTACATACAGTACATATCTGACCATAGAATCTGAGCCAGAGAAACTCAATCTTGTTGTATATGTTCCCTTCTTCCAGATGACCTCCCTCGCCGTAGACCCCCAACGATATATAAGCCCCCCACGGCAGAGATGATCGCCTATCTGGACTTCAGTGTGTCCACCACGGGCATGCTCACTGGGGTCAAGGTAAGGTCACCCACAGGAGGCTATGGCTTGGTCTCAATACTCTAAAACAGCCCCAGATAGTTTGCAAACTTATGGTGGCCCATGAGCGGCCTGCCATCGGCAAAGTCAGTAGCCAACAGCCCATTTTGCAAATCTGATTTACAGTGGGCCAATGTCGGTGGCCAATGGCGGTAGCCATAACCATGACTTTACCAGTTGATTCTGCATCTTTTATTGGTTGTTTCTTTGGGAGGTGTGTGTGACTGGCTGTGTGCCTCTGTCCATCAGATCTCCCATGCGGCAGTCAGTGCTCTGTGTCGCTCCATCAAGCTGCAGTGTGAGCTCTACTCCTCACGTCAAATAGCCATCTGCCTGGACCCTTACTGTGGCCTGGGCTTCGTACTGTGGTGCCTCGCAAGGTAACACAACACACACACACACACACAGGGTATCTTTATCTCTCTCTCATACAAACATTTTGAACTCCTACCTTCTCTTGTTTCCTGTGTGTAGTGTGTACTCGGGCCACCAGTCCATCCTAATTCCTCCTCTGGAGTTGGAGAGCTGTCTGCCCCTGTGGCTGAGCACCCTGAGCCAGTACCGCATCAGAGACACCTTTTGCTCCTACTCTGTCATGGAGCTCTGCACCAAGGGGATAGGCACGCAGACAGAGATACTCAAAGTGAGTACAACACACACATGGTCATGGTCATGCTCACACACACACGCTAACTCCCCATCTCCTTCTCTCTTTCCCTCCAGGCACGGGGTCTGAACCTGTCATGTGTTAGGAGCTGTGTGGTGATAGCCGAGGAGCGTCCTCGTCTGGCCCTCACCATGTCCTTCTCCAAGCTATTTAAGGACCTGGGCCTCTCACCCCGCGCTGTCAGCACAGCCTTCGGATCCAGGGTCAACCTGGCCATTTGCATGCAGGTACTCAACCAGTTAGAACTGGTTCTGTGAGGAAGTACTAGGCAAAAGGGAATTTCATAAGATGCAAGCATAACTAATTTGTTTGGAAAAATACTTTTATTAATGGCTAAAGGAAAACATAAATGTTTTGACGGCCATGGCCAATGTTCCTATGATTTGTGGTTGAACCTTGACTCATGTTGGTTAATGCACTGACCAGTGTCTCCCTGAACTGGAGGCTAGAGCCTTCTGTTTACTGTACATAACATACATGTAAATAAAGGCCTCTGAGGGTTGTCTGCCTTAGTTCAGGTGAGTTAGTACAGCAGGACCTCCCTGTGTGTCTCATTAAGGACTGATCCAAGTACAGTGGATGTGTATCCAAGTTTTCTGTGTGTTTCTCAGGGCACCACTGGACCGGACCCCTCCACTGTGTATGTGGACATGAAGTCCCTCCGCCATGACAGGTGAGAACATATACACTACCGGTCAAAAGTTTTAGAACACCTACTCATTCAAGGGTTTTCTTTATTTTGTACATTGTAGAATAGTAGTGAAGACATCAAAACTATGAAATAACATATATGGAATCATGTAGTAACCAAAAAAGTGTTAACCAAATCAAAATATATGTTATATTTGAGATTCTTCAAATAGCCACCCTTTGCCTTGATGACAGCTTTGCACACTCTTGGCATTCTCTCAACCAGCTTCATGAGGTAGTCACCTGTGCCTTCTTAAAAGTTAATTTGTGGAATTTCTTTCCTTCTTAATGCATTTGAGCCAATCAGTTGTGTTGTGACAAGGTAGGGGGGGGGGGTGTACAGAAGATAGCCCTATTTGGTAAAAGACCATATAGTGGCAAGAACAGCTCAAATAAGCAAAGACAAATGACAGTCCATCATTACTTTAAGACGTGAAGGTCAGTCAATACGGAACATTTCAAGAACTTTGAAAGTTTCTTCAAGTGCAGTCGCAAAAACCATCAAGCGCTATGATGAAACTGGCTCTCATGAGGACCGTCACAGGAATGGAAGACCCAGAGTTACCTCTGCTGCAGAGGATAAGTTCATTAGAGTTACCAGCCTCAGAAATTGCATCCAAAAGAAATGCTTCACAGAGTTCAGGTAACAGACACGTCTCAACATCAACTGTTCAGAGGAGACTGTGTGAATCAGGCCTTCATGGTTGAATTGCTGCAAAGAAACCACTACTAAAGGACACCAATAAGAAGAAGAGACTTGCTTGGACCAAGAAACATGCGCAATGGACATTAGACCGGTGGAAATGTGTCCTTTGGTCTGGAGTCCAAATTAGAGAGTTTTGGTTCCAACCGCCGTGTCTTTGTGAGACGCAGAGTAGGGGAACGAATGATCTCTGCATGTGTAGTTCCCACCGTAAAGCATGGAGGAGGAGGTGTTATGGTGTGGGGGTGCTTTGCTGGTGACACTGTCAGTGATTTATTTAGAAGTCAAGGCACACTTAACCAGCATGGCTACCACAGCATTCTGCAGCGATACGCCATCCCATCTGGTTTGGGCTTAGTGGGACTATCGTTTGTTTTCCAAAAGGACAATGACACAACAAACCTCCAGGCTGTGTAAGGGCTATTTGACCAAGAAGGAGAGTGATGGAGTGCTGCATCAGATGACCTGGCCTCCACAATTCCCCGACCTCAACCCAATTGAGATGGTTTGGGATGAGTCGGACGGCAGAGTTAAGGAAAAGCAGCCAACAAGTGCTCAGCATATGTGGGAAATCCTTCAAGACTGTTGGAAAAGCATTCCAGGTGAAGCTGGTTGAGAGAATGCCAATAGTGTGCAAAGCTGTCATCAAGGCAAAGGGTGGCTATTTGAAGAATCTCAAATATAAAATATATTTTGATTTGTTAAACAATTTTTGGGTTACTACATGATTACATATGTGTTGTTTCATAGTTTTGATGTCTTCACTATTATTCTACAATGTAGAAAATAGTAAAAATAAAGAAAAACCCTTGAATGAGTAGGTGTTCTAAAACTTTTGACCGGTAGTGTAGACTCCTAGTGGTATGTTTTAATATGTGTGAGCAGCTTTGATGCTGAGGAAGACATTTTTTACAGTATTGTGTTCACCATCACAATGTGCTTTCATTTTCTGTCTCAGAGTGAGGCTGGTGGAGAGAGGAGCCCCTCAGAGTCTCCCTCTGATGGAGTCTGGCAAAGTTAGTCTCCCCTGATGAATCCACACACATTAAATGCCCTTTGTGCTCAGATACAAGATGTGTTGTTATGGGAGTTTGTTGTTCACCATCTGTCTGTCTACTCTATCACTCTCTCTAGATCTTACCAGGAGTCAGGGTGATCATCGTGAACCCAGAGACCAGAGGACCTCTAGGAGATTCCCATCTAGGAGAGGTGAGAGGAGATCAGAACACTAATATTAGAGTGAAAATGTCAACATATGGCATAGAGAAAAGGATGGGCATTATGAAGGGTACAATTAGGAAAAACTCCTAGCCCTATCAATAACCAACAGTTCTCCTCATACATAACTCTCCTATTCCATCCTTAACTGTACCTTGTCCCCTTCTCTGCTGTCTGTCAGATCTGGATCAACAGCCCTCACAGTGCCAGTGGCTACTATGCCATCTATGGAGAGGAGAGCCTGCAGGCCGACCACTTCAACACCAAGCTGAGCTTCGGAGACCCCACGACCCTGTGGGCCAGGACTGGCTACCTGGGCTTCGTCAAGAGGACTGAGCTACTGGACGCCGCTGGGGGTGAGTGGCTGGGCCTGGTCAGGGCTATGGAGGCTAACGCTAATGGCTAACATGAAAAGGGATGGCTATGGATGCTAATGTTATTTGTTCCCGTTTTTTTTTTAACAATACTAAACACACACATACAAATGGCAGCATACAAACACACACAAACATCAACGACATCACCCTGCCCAGACCCACCTGCTCACACCCCCATCCATCTCCAGCGCCCGTATCACTCTCTGCCACATGGTCTCAAGCGGCACCATTTTGTTTCTCTCCATCGCCCACACACTTTCAACATTTAGATAGTAAAGCATTTGACCTATCCATTGTATTAACGATGGAGGATTGGTTGATTTTCCCGTTTTTAAGTATATGTTTTTCAAGATGATTGACAAGAAAAGTATTGTCCAACCCATCAGGTATCTCACTGCACCCTCATATAACATGTCTTGAAATATACAGACAGACTGATTAAAAGTACATTTACATTGTAATACTTCTGACAGCCAACTTTCTAACTCCGCCCATAACTTCTGGACTTTATAGCATTCCCAGAAGGCATGGATTGAGTCATTGTTAGTTTTACACTTAAGACATGACTGCCGTTGTGCTGTAGAATTTGTGAATTTTGTCTCTTGAATAATACATTCTATACATTAGTTTATACTGGATTAAGCATACATTTTAGTTAACTGTAATTTTGTTAGTTATGTTCCAACATTCCCTCAATCTTGTGCCAACATCAGTTATTTTTAAGTCTTGGTTCCAATAGTTTATATTTTTTTCCAAGAGATTGTCAGTTGGATATGCTCTCTAAGGTTTTGTATATCTTACCTATCATATGAATATCATTTTCTGACTCAAATAGGATTCCCTCAAGATTGCTCTGATTTTCAAAAGATTTCAAATAGACATTTCGTGATACGAAACTTTGAAGTTGTATGTATTTGAAAATATCTACATTGGTCAGTCCAAAATTGCTTTTTAATTCTGTCATGGAAATAAATATATTTCCTGTTACCAAGTCATTTATGGTTTCTATGCCTTTAGTTTTCCATGGCGACCAAGTTATCGGTGAATTCTGAAACACTATCCAAGGATTGTTCCATAGGGTTGTGTTTTTACGGAATGATATTGGTTGTTGTAGAATCAGTTTCATTTTCTTCCATATTGTTATTGTTATGAAGTTGTTAATGTTCTTAGCTTTATCCTTTGAAAATAGACACGTGAAAAGATTCTGGGGATGAGCATGCGGATCTTCAATATGCACCCATTATTCCTCCTTAGTGTATTTAACTATATGTCACAAGTAAAAGCCTTGGGTAGCGAGTTGATACAATTCCAAGTCTGGAAGGTTAAAACTACTGTCAGACTTAGTGTGGTGAGTGATTTTTGAAGGAGTCAGGCGCAGGAGGGTAAATCACAGAATAAAAGGGTTTATTCTGAAAACACAGCGGTACGCAGCAATGCGTCAAACACTCCAGTGCGTAAATCAGGCACACTGGAAAACAAGGCACACGGGTGAAATAGGTGTGTGTAATAAACAAGACAAAACAAATGGAATGATGAGATGAGGAGCGTCAGTGGCTAGAAAGCCAGTGACGATGAACGCCGAAGCCTGCCCGAACAAGGAGAGGAGGCAGCTTCGGAGGAAGTCGTGACACTTAGGAAGATGTAAAACTTTCCTTTTTATTCTATGAGTTTTATTTGCCAATATAAAGTCTGTTATGACCGAGTATACTTTTTAAAAAGAATGTCTTCGGTGGGGTAATTGGTATTACTAAGAATAAATATATAAACTTTAGGAGTCATGCCAATCTGAAGAGGTTAATTCTACCTGTAAGATTTATGGGAAGATTGTTCAATTGAATTAGATCTGCTTTCATATTGTTAAGTAATGGGATGAAGTTATCTTGATATATTTGTTGTTTGCCGTCACTTATTAAGCATCCTAAGTATTTAATATTTTTTGTGGTCCACTTAAAGGATTGCTGTAGATCATGAGTTATTATTTTTATTTTTCCTATTGCCATTATTTAGTTTTTTTTGGTCAGGATTATCAGGAGATCATCTGCAAATAAGTTTAGTTTATATTCATGTTTACCGGTACTAATACCTTTTACGTTTGGGTCCTTTCTTTCTGCAAGCGGTTCAATTGCCAGTGCAAGCAGGAGGGGGGAGAGAGGACATTCCTGTCTTGTGCCCCTTTCTAAAGCAATTTCATCAGATAATGTATTACTTGTGTATATTTTGGTTTTAGGACATTTATATAATATGTTTATTACATTTTATTATTTCAGCTGGAAAGTTGAAATCTTCTAAAGTTTTTAATAGAAAAGGCCTTTCAAGATGGTAGAAAGCCTTTTCGGCATCAACAGCCATTTTTGATAAATCTATATCTTGTTTTTTTGCCATTCTATTGCTTATGAGCTTGGTTATTCTTTTATTGTCACAATTTATTAAACTTATGGGTCTGTACTCAGCAGGGGACTCTCCAGATTTTACTGGTTTTAATATAACTGAAATAACTGTTTGATACATGGAACTAGGAAGCACTGAATTGAGTAACGTGTGTTACTATGGATGCTAAAGCTAATAGATAACATGAAAAGGGAGATATACTAGGGATCCAATGAGGTCTAAATGAGCTATCCCACCATTCCCAGTATTCAGTATTGTTTGCACCTCTGTCTGTCTCCCGATCTGCGGTCAGATCGTCATGACGCCCTGTTTGTGGTGGGTTCCCTGGATGAGACTCTGGAGCTGAGGGGACTGCGCTACCACCCTATCGACATCGAGACATCTGTGTCCCGGGCTCACCGCAGCATTGCAGAGAGGTCAGAACACTGGGGGTCCCAGGAAACCTTACTATTATCCATTGGTTTGTCTGTGTTTTCATAATTTGAGTGAGGTGTGTGTGTGTGCGTGCATGTGTGTAGATGCGCATGTACGCATGTATCTTAGTCTGACATTTGATTATAACCCCTTTCTCTCCTCTCTCTCTGTGTGTCCCATGCAGTGCGGTGTTCACATGGACCAACCTACTGGTGGTGGTGGCTGAGCTGTGTGGCTCAGAGCAGGATGCCCTGGACCTGGTGCCCCTGGTCACCAATGTGGTGCTGGAGGAGCACCACCTCATCGTGGGCGTGGTGGTCATCGTGGACCCGGGGGTCATACCCATCAACTCCAGGGGGGAGAAACAACGCATGCACCTCCGGGACTCCTTCCTGGCTGACCAACTGGACCCCATCTATGTGGCCTATAATATGTGATGGGCCAGGGGGATGGGCTGGTTATTGTATGATGGAAGAGATTCCGGCTGGTGGAGAGGGGGTTAGGAAGAAAGTGGTTTGGACCAACCTACTCCACAGACAATGCATATTGTACCACAAGGGGCAGTAGGAGGTGAGTGAGTGTGTCTACACCAAACACAGCTGTTCAACTGGAACTGGACGGGAAGAGAACTCTCTAATCTCGCCACACCCCCTACAACCCTCCTGCCAAATCAAACAACACCTCAACAGCCTGACTGGCCCTCTATTTGCACAGAGTGTCAGGGAGTATTAAGGTGCTGAAGTCAATCTTAACTCTCTCCCCACTCCTCCATGATCCAATCATCTGTGGGGTATTGTGAGGGGCCAAGGGATGAGGACTTCCTGTCTCTGATGACATCTTTTCCTGGAGTTGAGTGATATGTACAAAATACATCAATTTTACTCCATTCTAACTGTTTTTCCTCCCAAAGCTTTCCAGGTCTTTCCCAGTCCTTATTTGCTTTTTCTTATCTTGTACTTATTCTAAATTGCCACATTTGTACTGTACACACACACACACACACACACACATTCACAAACTCACACTGGTGCTTGCTTCACCCTGTAGTGACCTCCTATCCGTGCACTTTGAGGCAGGGGGTTATGAAGGATGTGTGAAGGCATGTTAGAACACTAAATAACACATATTAGCAAGACCAACCAGCAGCCGTAGAATAAATTAAATCAGTCAGTCATCATGTACTGTACTTACATCACAGGTTTATTGCTTGAAGTTGTACAAAGGCAAAATATGTAATGGAACACATTCTCATCTTCTTGAATTAGATTTACTTCTTGCCTTATAAAACTTTGCCCATTCACGTTTTGTTTTTCTCCATTGCTGTTCTTCCATTTCATAACCTTTTGTGTTATTGGGGTGAGAATCCTGATTGATATCCAAAGGGATGTTTTGAGTAGAAGTTAGAGGCCATTTACTGTACTGTACCCGTCAAGGCCTCTGTATTTTCGATATACTGTATTTCACTGTATAGATATTATTTTTAAAATATGTGTATAAATGTGAAAAAACCCTCAACTCATCCCTCTCACCTGATTGTTGTCTGGATAACTAACATAGTTGTGAGCAGATGGAAGCAAAAAATATATTGTACATAAGATTTTAAACATTTTAAAGGTAGACTGAATTGTAAAGATCTTAACACTGATCTTGCACTTTCTCCAAAAATGTTATATTTTTTAATGATCCAATTATGCACATTCCTCATGTTCAAGGAGCATATTAATTGTGAGGAATACTTTTTGAGGAATCAGAGTTCACTAAGGATTAGCAGAAAGGAACTAGCTAATAGGGCCAGGAGTTTCCCCAGGTCAGGTCCCATCCGACTCGAAGGACCATGAAAACAACCCCACCATGAATAAGGTTGTCAGGGATTTGTACAGTCAGGGATAACTCCTGGCCCCAACCAGAGATTGCTTTGATGTTATGAGCTTGGGGAGAATGATTAAACCAATATAAATGACTGTTGTTTTGTGGCAAATTAAAGCAAGCTCTTATTTTTTCTGTGAACCACTGATAAATGAGATTAGATGCAGGGCACTTTTCACTGACTGTCCTAGGCTGAGGGATTGAAGAATGTGAGTGAGAGAATATGGCAATGCAACATTTTGCATACGAAAAGGTAGCCAATTAGCAAAATAGGACTGTAATATTTAATGTAATCAAACATTGGACACTGTCATAGTGGTCAGGTTTGAAAATGGAATCATATTCTACTTTAAATCACTGGAACCAGTTTTTTCCCCCTGTAAACGTCAATGGCTTTTGTAAACTTCAATATTTTATTAACAAGTACAGTTAGGCACAGTCCTGTGGATGAAACAGGTAGAGCATGGCGCTTGTAACACCAGGGTAGTGGGTTCGATCCCCGGGACCACCCATACGTAAAAATGTATGCGCACATGACTGTAAGTCGCTTTGGATAAAAGCGTCTGCTAAATGGCATATTATTATATTATTATTATTATTATTATTATCCACAAATTTAGCTTTTGATATGTTCCTCTCCTCCCCACACACAATTTGTAGCACTCTGGGAAAAGGTTTCTCATTTACTGTAAACTTTAGAAGTTTTCACATAATTATAATTATATTGTATGCTCTTTCCGTTCTGTGCTCCTCAAAAAAAAGTAATGTCTCCTTGCAGTGGTATAGGAGTCCATGATGAACTATTAATTATCATTGTCTAACATGTAAATAGTTTTTTTTTAAATGTTTTTTTTCATCTTAAATATGTGAGAAGTGTGAATGGGGTTTGTCTTTATTTAACATTCAGTCATGTTCAACAATACCAATTTGTAAGTCGCTCTGGATAAGAGCGTCTGCTAAATGACGTAGACGTAAATGTAAATGTAAATACAGTTTAAAAGCTTGAAAAGAAGATGCATTTCATTTTGTCATAATGTATGAATAAGAACAATGTGTGAAGATTGAACTAACTGCAGCACTGCGCTGTACTAGAGATGTGTATGAGTTAAACAATTGTCCCCCTTGTGCTGTGCAATTACGATGTTTAGAGAGATGAGATGGTTGCCATATGATTTGAACCTATCCATGCAGAAAAACAAAAGCAGTGACAAGTTATAGCGCCATATCCTGCCTTTGAATTTACATTCAAAGTTCACCGTGGAATGTCTATCTGCATGACTCAGAGACCAAGCAAAGTTAGACATCAGATTCAAGGAAAGTTAGGCATCAGATTCAAGGAAAGTTAGGCATCAGATTTTTGGGAGACATTTCAAAGAACAATAGTTGGCTACTCTGACAACAGGGAAGGACCAGGTGGTCCCCCGGTGCAGTCTGTGAATAATACTCCCCATGTTTTAGATGTTTGTCCCAGGACTTGCTTGGCATTACTGCTAAGACTGCAAACATTAAGAAGAGTAAATGGGGGGTTACTCAGTGCTGCAATCCATCTACGACAGGGTGGTCAATAAGGGCTTCCTCTTCTCTCTGCTCCTGCTCTCTCCAAAATAGTTTTTGACACTATGCAATCAATGGCCGTGAAGTTTAACCCCTTACACAGGCTGGGGGAAATTAATTTTGTAATAAATATACAAAGAACGAGGTCTTAGGTTTGACTAGTGGTATTGTACATATAGCACAGCACACATCTCTTTATCTGGGTTAAATCAATATTTTGTGTAAGCACTCTTGGTATGCTGTGTATATACATTATTTGGTTAATAATGATAATATGAATAATGTCAATTAAAAACAGGTCTGTGATGGGGATGATCCAATTGTGATTTTGTTGTGGTCTGGGGTGATTTAGCTCATATGATATATTTTAGAAATAAAGACTTGATGATATTATATTATATTACCCTCTCCCCATTATTTTCACTCATTTAGATTTTGCATCAAATGTTCTTTTTTTCTCACAACTTTCAAATGCATGTTGGGTGCATTGTTCAAGGACATTACTCATGTTGATCATTTCAACTATTGAAATGTACTCGTTGGTTTTGGCTCAGCCGAGAAGTGGTAGGCCACACAAGCTCACAGAACGGGACCGCCGAGTTCTGAAGCGCGTCTGTCCTCGGTTGCAACACTCACTACCAAGTTCCAAACTGCCTCTGGAAGCAACGTCAGCACAATAACTGTTTGTCGGAAGCTTCATGAAATGGGTTTCCATGGCCGAGCAGCCGCACACAAGCCTAAGATCACCAATGCACAATGCCAAGCGTTGGCTGGAGTGGTGTAAAGCTCTCTGCCATTGGACTCTGGAACAGTGGAAACGCATTGTCTGGAGTGATGAATCACGCTTCACCATCTGGCAGTCCGACTGACGAATCTGGGTTTGGCGGATGCCAGGAGAACGCTACCTGCCACCATGCATAGTGCCAACTGTAAAGTTTGGTGGAGGAGGAATAATGGTCTGGGGCTGTTTTGCATGGTTAATTTTGCCTGTGCTGCAGATGGCTATATCAGTCCGCTAATACAGGACTACTAAAGGCCCAGTGCACTACTTTTGTGAGAAAAAATTTCCCCCCGCCCCCCATTTTTTTCTCCTGATTTTCAGTGGGTGCTGCAGCACCCCTACTTCCCGCAGCTATGCTTGCTTCAGTTTGGCTCCTAGAAAACGTTTTGCAACAGAATCTGACTAATGAATACACCCCTGGCTAGGTAGCCCTTGGGAGAATCTCAATTGCATACTCATCGGGTCCTCTCTCCTTCTCAAAATCCATTGGATGAGAAAGCCAGAGGTCCCGCCCCTCTGACCTTCTCTTCCAATGGGGTTTGATAATGCGGCGGGGAGAGAGGACACGAGGAGTATGCAATTGAGATTCTCCCCTTGTTTAACTACACTTTAATTTTAACTTTTAATTTTACAAAAACACTAGTTATACAGGAAGTATACAAACAAACATACATATACGCTATATGCTAGAGGGTACAAATAATTACAGGTATACAAAGGCCTTAAAAGACAGACCTATTGACTGTTTTTACAACTTTCTTATTCAAAGAATGTAGAATGATCTTAATGTACTGCTCAAACTCCTTATAGAAAACAAGTGTTTTTTTATTAGTGAATTTACATTTATGAATATACAATTTTACCATTAGCACAATTACATTCAAGAGGTACATTTTGTTTTCGTTATCCTTATTATAGTTAAGGAAACCGAGCAGCACATTCTCCCATAATAAACAAAAGTCATCAAAAATATTATCCATTTTAAATCTACAAATATCTTAGATTTAGATTTTAGTCATTTAGCAGACGCTCTTATCCAGAACGACTTACATTTAGTGAGTGCATACTTTTTTTTTGTTTCATACTGGCCCCCCGTGGGAATCGAACCCACAACCCTGGCGTTGCAAACGCCATGCTCTACCAACTGAGCTACATCCCTGCCGGCCATTCCCTCCCCTACCCTGGACGACGCTGGGCCAATTGTGCGCCGCCCCATAGGTCTACCGGTCGCGGCCG